GACAAGTGGGGTAAAATTCAACTATCACTTTTGGGACGGGTAACAACAATAAAATCTTACGTTTTACCGAAGTTTAATTTTTTGTTTCAAACTGCCCCAGCGAATCTATCAAAAAAAAATTTTTATGGATCTAAATCAAGCAATAACCAAATTTATTTGGCAGGGGAAAAAACCCCGGATTTAAAAAAAAATGATGCAGGAGATAAAAGAAAGGGGAGGGTTGGGTTTACCATGTTGGGAGAACTACTATTCAGCCGCTCTGTTAGTCTGGGTAAAAGAATGGATCACCTTAGGCAATAGTCGTCTTCTCAAGATAGAAGGTCATGATTTACAACAGGGCTGGCATATGGCAGGATAACACTCCACAAAGCAAATGGTTTACCCGGAATTATATAAGGAATATCTTAATCCGAAATCGGGAGAAGATCAGTAAAAAATACTATATAAAAACACCGTGCTGGATATCATCTCTAGAAGCATTGACATATCCAAAATTATACAACCCTGTGAAAAAATTAACGTACAAAGACTTGTTGAATGCACGAGGAGAGCTAAAACCAAAACAGGAGTTGAATTCCCAGGGATTACAATTGGATTGGTGGACCTACCTACAGATCCAATCAAAATATAAAAAAGACAGAGATAGAAAAGGTATAAATGTTGACTTGCAGGAATTAGATAAGATCTTGATGGGCCAGGAAAAAGGCATGATTTCTAAAAGCTATAAACTATTGATGAGGTTAGAGATTGGTGACGAGATAATAAGGACACAATGATTGCCTGGGGGAAAAATTTTGGATACTCAATTCATCTGGAAAAATGGCAAAAGATTTGGTGGGGGAATATGAAACTAGTAGTTTCTACGGCATACAAAGAAAATATTTACAAGATGCTATATAGATGGCATCTCTCCCCCGATAGAATGGCCAAAATGTTCACTGGACAGTCTGTTGATTGCTGGAAGTGTGGGTTTGAGCATGGCACTTACTATCACCAATGGTGGACGTGCCCAGAAGCAGTAAAATTTTGGGGAAAAATAAAAAAGTGGCTTAACGAGATCTTAGATCAAGAAATTGAATAGCGACCAGAGACATGCTTGCTCGGCTCCAAACCGGAAAATATTTAAAAAGATTCATGGTACCTTGCGCTACACATTATCACAGCAGCGAGATTAACATATGCTCAATTCTGGAAAAATAAAAATACCCCATTAGAGGAAGCAATTATAAAGAAGATTTTGGATTGTGCAAAAGCAGATAAATTGATGAAAAAACTGAAAGATAGAGATCAAACACAAACATGTTTATCTTGGGAAAAACTATATATTTGGCTATCAAAGAGAAAAATAAAACCCAAACCAGATTAGGAGTTGTATTTATTGAAAAATTTATATTATACAAGTAAAGTGAGGTTGGATAGACCTAATTGATTTATAAATGTAAATTAGGTTGTTCTGCCTCCCCCGGAATGTATTATAGATATACTGTACCGAATATTAAGTTATTAAGGTACTACTTATAGGCATATATGTTATTTGTCTTATTGTTGTTTGTCATTTATATGGTGTGTTGTCTTCTTTTTCATTGATAAATGTAAATAAAGATTATTTTAAAAAAAAGTTTGCTTATCTTTTTGCTTAACTTGAATTACATTTTACATTGAACCTTATTTTGTTCTCTGTCTCTCTATCTGTGTGTCTCTCTGTGTCTCTCCTTCTCCCTCTCTCCCTCTCTCCTTATCCCCTCCAACCCTGTAAACTGGAAGGTTAGATTATAACATAGATAGGAGAAACAGATTTATGTCCTCGGCAATTGAAATGGCCTAAACTGCTTTTTGGAAGAATTATGATTAATTTATCTGCTTTTAGGAACACTCAGTCTTTCTAACTTAACTTCCTTTTAAAAGAAGCTTTTTGGTTTCTTTCTTTTGCCTGTTTTGTTTAAACAGTAAATCTGCTACTTTTAATGCATTACAATAAGCAAAAAAAAATGTTTGTTTTTTAATAACCATTTGAGCATTGTCTTCTCTTAGGGATCAACTATTATTTTCTAATTACTTGAAAGAATATTTTAGTATTCTCAGCATCTGGGAAGTTATATTGTAACTGTAATCATGGATAATTTTCTAGTATCTGGTATTAATAAAGATTCTAGAAAAGAAGGCATATGCTAATATACAGTGAAACTAAATACAATTTAGTGAATTTAGTGAAACTAAATACAATAATATCTCAAATATATATATATATTTTACATTGAACTACAAACAAAATCTGGAATATTGAAATTGACAAATATATATATATATAAATTATTAATTTTCAGCCACAAGGTTTTTATTATTTTATGCTGGAGGATAAACTCTACTTCAACATGACTTCATTAAATGATAGTCACTACATTAGAAAAAAGAAACCATTAATAATTGTTAGTTTGGCTATTGTTAATAAAGTGTGTTGAAAGCTTTGCCAATCCTGATTTCATCTTAGTTATGCTGCAATTTATACTGATAAAAAACAATTGGGTTGTCTATTGATAGCTAGATGCCTCACTGGAAAACTATACTTGGAGACATCTAAGAGTTTTGCCATTTCTATGGGAAGATAAACAGCCTAGCTCAGTGGTCCCCAACCTTTTGGGCTCCAGGGACCAGTTCTGTGGAGAGAAGTTTTTCTACGGACCAGTGGGGGCATGGTTTTGTGTGCTTCCTGCCTCCCATGGATGGGGCTTCGCTTATCTGAGTGGCCTGGTTTCTGGCATGCTGAGACCTGGTGCCAGTCCACGGATTGAGAGTTGGGGACCCCTGGCCTAGATCTTCTCTCTACTTAACAGAAGACCCTGTTTTATTCTATCTAAGGATTTCACCTGGTACAACCAGAGGTGGGCTGCACTTACTTTAACAAAGGGTTCGCTGGTTATGAGCATGCATGTGCCTCTTTGGGAAAGAAATGGAGCTTCAAACATACTCCTAATCAACTCAGGCAGCTCCAGTGAGTACAACAGGGGCAGCGCGTATCATAGCTGGGCCAGCCAATGATTCAGAAAGTTCGTTATAAATGGAAAGCATAGCACAGGGGCGAGTGGGCGGGCCCAGCCAGCAATCAGAGCTAAGGGTTCACCCAAACCCTTGCAACAGCCCACCACTGTGTACAACCATGGCTCTAAATCAGTCTATTTTAGAGTCCTTAAACTTGAAATTCAATAATTATTTTATAAAAATTCAGCATCCAAATCATTTTAATCTTGAGTTTGTATATATTGTAAAACTGCATCATCATATTGGACTGACGTGGATTCTTGTGACTTTCCAAATCTGAAAAAAATTATAGCTATGCAAAAACAAAACTCCACAATTCATACATAATGTGAATAGTGCTTTAGCAATTTATAAATAATTGGTCATTCATCTAATGTTACAGTATCATTCTGTTTCATATGTGACTGTTCCGTGACACCTCCATTTTTTGCAAAGGTCAAGCAGATGAAATAGGTATAAAGTGCCTTTTCATTTGGTAGCAGGATCAGGTCTTAGAGGCGCTTAATGGTTGCAAAAGCTATTTTTTCTTAGATGTGCTGTAATCTGTATTATACATGGAGAATATATATGTTGTTTGGCCTCACACATATCAGCCTATTCTGTATGTTGATCTAATAATGGGAAAAAAAATGAAGAAAATGTTGGGGTGGGATTGGGAGAGATTAAGACATTTGTTTACTTACTGTAAATAATAATTATGTACCAAAATAAATGGTTTACACAATTAAAATGCTTCAAATTATTTATGGTTTGCTATTTAAATATGAGCCAGCAATGTGCAGCAGCTGCCAAAAAAGCCAACACAGTTCTAGGCTGCATAAACAGAGGGATAGAATCAAGATCACATGAAGTGTTAATACCCACTTTATAATGCCTTGGTAAGGCCACACTTAGAATACTGCATCCAATTTTGGTCACCAAGATGTAAAAAAGATGTTGAGACTCTAGAAAAAGTGCAGAGAAGAGCAACAAAAATGATTAGGGGACTGGAGACTAAAACATATGAAGAACAGATGCAGGATCTGGGTATGTCTAGTTTAATGAAAAGAAGGATTAGGGGAGACATGATAGCAGTGTTCCAATGTCTCAGGGGTTGCCACAAAGAAGAGGGAGTCAAGCTATTCTCCAAAGCACCTGAGGGTAGAACAAGAAGCAATGGGTGGAAACTAATCAAGGAGAGAAGCGGTTTAGAACTAAGGAGAAATTTCCTGACAGTTAGAACAATTAATCAGTGGAACAACTTGCCTCCAGAAGTTGTGAATGCTCCAACACTGGAAAATTTTAAGAAGATGTTGCATAACCATTTGTCTGAAGTGGTGTAGGGTTTCCTGCCTAAGCAGGGGGTTGGACTAGAAGACCTCCAAGGTCCCTTCCAATTCTGTTATTCTATTCTATTTATATGCATGTTTTGATTGCTTGCATGACTTTAGATTTCAATTAATTTCTGGATTATGGTGCTGCCTGTTGGAACTAAACATCATTAAAGTTTAATGACTTCTTTCTGATATCATGTTATAGCTCGATTCATTAAGAATGCAACTTTCATTGAGGCTAAAAAAGATATCTGATGTTCTCTATTTTAAAACAAATTAGAGTACATTCTTGCTCAATGTGTCAAACTTTAGAGATGAGTCAATGTGATTCCTCTATTTTATTTTAATTTAACCTAAGCCTTGAAAGCTGAATACAAAGTATGAATTAACCACATACATTGTAAATGTTGAACCTTCCATTTAGGTTTCAAATAAGGCTTTCTGCTAACTCTTTCCTGGTCAGCTCCTTCCTATAGACTCCTGCAAAAGAAGACTAAAGCCAATCTTCCTTTAATCATCTTTGCTCAAAGAGAGGTTAGATTGAAATTCGTTGTCCTTTCCATGAATATAGTAATAGACCAAATTGAATAAGAAGGAAAAAAGGAAGGAGGAGGAAAAAAATAATATATACTTTGTGTTTTCTTTCAACAGCCTGATGTCAGGACTAGCAGCTCTGGATGCTAAAACATCTAGTCGATTAGGCATCATTACAGTCACTTACTATCTGTGGACTACATTTGTGGCTGTGATTGTGGGAATCATTATGGTCTCTGTTATCCATCCTGGTGGGGCAGCCCAGAAGGAAGACACTGAAGAAGGTGCAAAGCCAATCATGAGTTCTGCAGATGCACTGCTGGATCTAATTCGGTAACAACTTTCGCACCGCTTTTATGAAGGTTCAGATTTTACATATTCAGTGATATTATGTTGAATGATCACATTTTAAAATTTATGTTTTAAAATCCATGATTGCTAAAAGTCAATGATGAATTCATTTAAAAGAACCTGGAACTTAAGTGGAGCTACCTTCAACTCCCTAAACTGAAAAACATTTTGGCACGTATGAATTTATCCTTTCTTGCTTCAGGACCACCATTTTTCCTAATAGCTAAAAGTAAGTAAAGGAGACTAAAGAGAAGAATAAATGTTTGGCATGAATTCTAATGAAATGTATACATACAGTCAGAAGAAAATTACAAGTATTACCTAAATTGTAATCTGGGCAACCAGATGGTCATAGCTGGTAGAAGGAGAAAAATATGGCAGCCATTAAAAACCTGATAATGATAGAGTTATACCTGCACTTCTATAAAAGATAACTGTGCTTCATCTTGTGGGTACATTTATGATGGAGAAATTTATTACAGAACTGAGCTGAAATTCCAACATACTGTAAACATCAAGGTGCCTAAGTACATCTTCTTTGAAATCCTTTAGTCTGCCTTCCTCAACTAATTCTGAAAAAGGCAAGCTCTTCCTCCTTGCTGCATATCCTACCACTTGTATTGTTGGTGTCTTTTCCTTTAGCGTCCTTTTGTTCTGTTCCTCTCAGTAAAACCCCTTTTAGATTTGGAAATTCTTTTAAGTCTCAAAGTAATGTAAATGGGTGGCTTGAGGAAAGATATAAGATAGTACAGTGCTTGATTAAGATAGGAAGAAAGACTTAAAAGGTAAAGGTAAAGTTCCCCTCACACATATGTGCTAGTCGTTCCCAAATCTAGGAGGCAGTGCTCATCTCCGTTTCAATGCCGAAGAGCCAGCGCTGTCCAAAGACGTCTCCATGGTCATGTGGCCAGCATGACTAAATGCCAAAGGCGCACGGAACACTGTTACCTACCCACCAAAGGTGGTCCCTATTTTCCTACTTGCATTTTTTACAGGCTTTCAAACTGCTAGGTTGGCAGAAGCTGGGACAAGTAATGGGAGCTCACCCCATTATGCGGCACTAGGGATTTGAACTGCTGAGCTGCCAACCTTTCGATCAACAAGCTCAGCGTCTTAGCCACTGAGCCCACTGCATCTTAGAAAGAGTTAATATTTATTAAATAATCGAATATATGGGGTTGAAAGCAGATTTATGATATGATAAGCAATTGAAAAGTTGTGCATGTTAATCTGTAGAAGAGAAATGTTTAAAGGAAAGAAGGATAGGAGTTGTCTGTCTGGCATGCTGAGTCTTCCTATTAGTACCAAAGGCAAACCTAGAAGCAGTAGATATAAACTGACTTTTCCTAAACATTAGCAGAAACTTCCTAATAGCAAAAACTGCTGAGCAGTGGGAAATATTGTGTCATGAGGAATTGGCCTCTTCTTTGACATCCTGCATTACATATCCTGCATTGCACAGGGAATAGGACTGGATGATCTTTGAGAACCCTTCCATTTTTTAAAAGATTGGGGGAGGGGGAATCTGAAATTCTCCATCAATTTTATGAAATTAAGAAAAATTAGAAATCAAGTGGAAGGAGAAACCATGAACAGTAGCAAGAAAAATGACATACATTTAAATAAAAAATAGAAATGACCTAACATCATATTAAAATGCATTATTCTGGTCATAGTTCACTCTGTACTAATGCCCTCCTTCATTTGATCATCATTGTAGTTTGCTGCAGTCATAACTATATGTCATTCCTACATGGATCTGTGGCTATGCTTCATTCTGAATGAAAAATATGTGTGCCATGCTTTAAATTTGACAATCAAAACCTGTCCTGAAAATCTTTCTGGCTTCATTTTTTACATTAAAAAAAAATTGCCTGAGCCCATTGGAAACTGAAGTATGCATCAAAAGCAAACAAAATGGTTTATTAAACACAGAGATAATTAACAAATGTTGGCTTTTCTTGCTCCACATTTCTCTATTATGATACTCTAGGGCCCATGGGCCGGATGTGTCACACGGTGGCCACGGTCACCTCCAGTTTAGCGAAGGGGGAAAAAGTCACGATATGTCATGTGATGACAACAAGACGACACAAGTTTGACACCCCTGCTCTAGGGTATACATTTTGTACACCTACTCACAGAAAACTAATTCTTTTTCTCATGGCAAGTTACAATTCTTTATATATGCGTATATGTGAAGCATGAAGAGAGTATCTTAAAAGAGAGGCATGGCACACTGCAGGCTGCCTTTTGTATGCTGAGCTCTTCATTGGCTTTTATTTAGTATAAAGAAATCAATTTTATTTTCATCTCTAATCTAACAATATTATTTTAAGTAATGGAATCACATTAAATCAAGTGCACATTAAGATGATTGCATTTGTGAATATCTCCCCCCAAATTCTTCCCGGTACTTCGGATTATTTGTATATCTAATTCCATATACTGACTCAGATGGAGGCATTTCCTATTACCTGCTATTTGATCTTTTAAATTGAAGAAGCTAGAAACTGAAGCTGAGACTTTGTCCATATAAAACTTCTGCTATGATCTTATGATTATGAAAGATAAAAGATCATAAAAGATTACAATCTTTTCACCAGTATTTGATTCTTCCCTCATATAAAATTACGTGATGAAATCTCCTTAATTAGTTCTTCGTGTTCTTTTATTTTTGGCTCCTTTCTCTCTTTTATAGACTATGAGTAAATTATAAACTGAACATAAATGTATTTCTATCCTCAGAAGAAACTTGGGATTCTCAGTGTTGATAGTCAGAATGTTTGTCATGCTTGTTGAGGAAATCAAATTTAAAGCTGTTTATAGCAGGAAGCAGAGCTAAGTGGAAATATAACTGAAGCCATTAGAATTAAGCAGTGAATTAGTCTTTTTTATGTCCTGAACAATTTGCATAGTATGCATGCAGTTGACATGTTTGTTATCTCTATGTCCTTGAATGTACCCTCCTTCCCATATTAATTAGTGGTAAAGTGATAATTAGATGCCAGGCACGGACATGTCTACATATCTTCACTGACAGCCAAACGTAGTTATACATTGCAAAAGTAGCCCATGATCTCCCTGGCTAATGTTTCAGAGAGGTTTAATGAAGTTGTAGAATTTTTTCAGACTGGAAACGGAAAGCCTAAGAACAATGGCATGCAGCCTTATTACAAAGCATGCTAATCTTGAATTGCATTCTGTGATCAGAATGGCAAACTGAGGATTTGAGAGGAAATGGATGGGCTTATCATACACCTAGAACTCTTCTGAAGGTGGGCGATGCTTCACAAATCCTATTGAGAGATCATGAATGGGTTCCATTTGTCCTAATCTCAATACAGGGACATGTCTCAGGCATGCTTTCCTTATCTTCATCCAAAGTGATGTTTTCCAACTCACACTGCCATTACTTGCTGTTCTTTAATTCATTCTAAGCAACTTCTGTAAATCTACTGGTTGCTGTATGGAGCTGCCAGCCTTTCCCATCCTTTTCTTTGTTACTGTTTGCTGCCCTCCAAGTCCCTTTGGGCAATATCTGTACCCAAGAAGAGGAACATGCCTACATGAGGCCTGATTTCTATATGCTTGGTAAGCCAGACACACTCCTCTGTATCTCCAATAACCATCAGTTCTTTCTTCCTATCCACATATTTAGCTATTAGGGTGTGACCACAGCTGTCAAAGAGAACAAATGAATGGTGGACTGTCTATGGAGATTCTTAATGATCCAGGTCAGGGTTGTCCCAAAGGTGCTTTTTCAAAAGGCAGCTAGACTTTTTTTGTTTTTTGCTTGAAGATATTTTGCTTCTCATCCGAGAAGATTCTTCAGTTCTGACACTGAATGGCGGAGAATGGAAGGAATTATATTCCTTGCAATTGTAGTAGTTGCAGTTAGCAACTACTTGTAGTTAGCACTCTCTGTGGGAGTCATTGAGGCCACTTAGAGGTTTATGTGTGCCCTCAGGGTCACCTGAATAGTGTAAATGAATGTGGAACCTTCTTGGAACTGCTGAAAGGACTGTGTTGTAAACAGTGGACTGATGAAACATTGGGCCTTTTATTTATTTTATTTGTAAAATTTATTTGTAAAATTGGCCGCCCATCTTACTTCGAGGTAACTCTGTTTTAAAAAACAGAAACAAAAGAGATCCAGGTTGCTTTCCCCAGCATGGTGGGATGCTAAAGAATCATGGAAACTGACTAGATAGTGAGGAGCATGTACAGTAACTACTCTTCAGATGAGGGGTAAAATGCTCCCGGTTCGGACCGTATCACCCGATCCGGTAGCGATAGAGGCGGGTGGTTCGGAGAACCGGTAGCAAAAATTCCTGCCCCCCCCCCCCATTGCCCAGCTTAGCCGCGCAATCTTCAGAGGCTTTTTTTTATTTTAAAAGCATTTTTCTACAACCTCTTTGGCTGAAAAAAATGCTTTTAAAAGTAAAAAAAAAAAGCCTCTGATGATGGCGTGGCTCAGCTGGGATCATCAGAGGCTTCTAAAAGCATTTTTTCTACAACCTCTTCAGCAGAAGAGGTTATAGAAAAAATGTTTTTAAAGGGAAAAAAAGCCTCTGCCGATCAGGCAAATCAGCTGGGATCGTCAGAGGCTTTAAAAGCATTTTTTCTACAACCTCTTCAGCTGAAGAGGTTATAGAAAAAATGTTTTTAAAGGGAAAAAAAGCCTCTGCCGATCAGGCAAATCAGCTGGGATCGTCAGAGGCTTTAAAAGCATTTTTTTAACAACCTCTTCAGCTGAAGAGGTTGTAGAAAAAATGGTTTTAAAAGTTAAAAAAAAAAGTCATATTACCCTCACACACCAAGCCACGCCCACAGAACTGGTAGTAACAAATTTTACATTTCACCACTGCTTCAGATAGAACGCTTGGTTAGCATTGTTATCAAAGCTGAAAATGAAATCTTAACAGACATGTCTTAAACCAGCTTTATTCCCAGTCATTTCTGCTCAGGAGGCAAGCAGTTTAAGGCCGCTGCACAAAAAAGCTTGAAGGCAAGCAAGACGAAATACATCAGCTCAGCAAATGGAAAAGAAAGAAAATCATGCCATCTCTTTGAAACATAATGGGACCTTACTGGCAATAAAACATTCTTCCTAGCTGCCATAGACAAGCTACGGCAGAACTAAGATCAGCAGTATTCAGTTAATAGCTTTACAGAATTAAATACTGATATTGTCTTAGCAGCTTATTTGTTCCATTTGATTATGAGAGAATATGAAAGAGATGAAGAAATATAAGGGCATCACTATGAGATGGATAACAGCATATCTTCCAGAAGAATCTGAATATACAGGCATGGATCTCTGTGCTGCCCAAATAGTCCCGTTTAAAAAAAAAAAGTATCATCACTGTAATCTTCGAGATTAGTGTCTCCATTTGAAAATAATTATAAATAATCATCTAAAATCTGCTGGGAGAGTTTGAAAGACTTCAGCACCAAGGTCCCACCTCCAATTAACCAATAAAAGCATCATACAACACTAATGAGAACTGCAGAAGCACAAATTTCATGTTCAATAGTGTAGCTTCAAAATGGGCAGAAATTGTTTTTTGAAATCTAGTATTTCAAAATCAGTAGTTTGAAGTTTTTACAAGAACACGATGGAAAGAACAACTATTGCCACCATGCACAGACTAATTTGTTTAGTGACATATCAAGATTGTCTGTCAGGGCCTGTACACTACTAGAATTGATATGACCCTAAACACCTGTTCTAGTGAAATAGCACTTTATCTTATCTTTTGGTCATTTCAACAAAGTTAATTTTGAAAAATGATTTACCATGGAAAACCAGTCTATTTAAAATATATTGGAAGAGTCCCAGTCGCTTCTATTAAAAGGTTGTTGTTCAGTCATTAAATCTTTGCCATCCCACGGACCACAGCATGCCAGGCTCCCCTGTCCTCTACTGTCTCCCAGATTTTGCCCAAATTCATGTTCATTATGTTGATGACACTATCTAACTATCTCATCCTCTGCCATCCCCTTCTCCTTTAGCCTTCAATCTTTCCAACATCAAGGTCTTTTCCAATGGATCCTCTCCTCTCATTTGGCAACCAAAGTATTTGAGCTTCAGCTTCAGTATCTGTCCTTCAAAGAACAATCAGGGTTGGTTTCCTTTAGTATCTAAGGAACAGTCCTAATTCCTGCAAGAGAAAGAATAATGAAAACAACAACATGCTAGAATCTTTAAAACTTTTTTTGACATTAAATCACTAATGACCATCTGACAGATGTTTCTTCTTCCATATAATTCTAATTGCATGTCAGTGCAGCTAGAATTGAGGCACAAGTTCAAAGGTTGCTAAAACACACATACCTAGTTCCTCTTCAATCTGAAGGCAACTCCCCCCTCCAACAGTTGCTCCAGATTAATTATCCATCATAAACTGCTAATCTATCATTTAATCAGCAAAGTAATCCTTTGCAGGTCTGCAGCCCCTTTCATCCAAATTACATCACAAACAGAATTAATGAAATTCCTAATGTACATGGATACAATCTATGGCACCAGATGATTTGATTGTATGAAAGAGTCAGGATCCCTTGGAACATTAAAAGGCAATTGAAAAAGAATAATTTTAGATCTCTGGGGGAAATTGTAGATATGTGTCCTAAGCATGGGGTGTTTTTTTAGGTAGTACAGTAATATGGGGAAAACTAAAATCCTTTCATAAAAATGAAAAATTTACTGAAATATAATCACATTTCCATCACTCAAAATTACAACTTTTTTCAGGTAAAATGTCTTTCTCATTACATGCTGATTCAGAATTTAATTTTTAATTGAAAGTGTGAGAAAAATGCATGGTCAGATTCATACATGATGTGAGGATTTATTTGATGTTAGGTGCAATCTGTCTCTTACCCAACAATGAATTTGTACAGATCATGCTTGATTGAACCAAACTAAGCAAATCTGCTGGCACATACAGTACTAGCCTGTAATGGCAAGTCTTGAGTGAATTTCCAAATAGTTACAGGTGCATTGTTGCGAGATAACCTTAGAGATTACTGTTGTGGCTTAGAAGTATTGTATCAGATGGTTTTCAAATTCCCAAATTTTTACGACAGGATGTTTGCCTGGTGTTTACTATAAATGTTTAGAAATATTAATTTTAAAAACCTTAAATTAACAGAATATCACATTGTTCCAATTTTTCCCCAAGTTCTACAAGAGGAAAAATAGGAAAATCCCTTACCATAAAGAATCTGAAGTTATTTTTTTAGCCACATAATATGTTTTATATTATAAATGATAGCTTATTTGTAGCTTGCAGAGCTTTGTGTTTAAAATTTTATTTATTCCCTTGACTACTTTTCTTTCTCTTTTCAGGAACATGTTTCCTGCCAACCTTGTGGAAGCCACTTTTAAACAGGTGGGAATCTGGCTCTTTGAATCCTAAAAAAAAAATCTTTGCAATTCATAAGAAAAAACTAGATGAGCCATATACAGCTCATCAGATAAGCCACGAGTACCTCTAAAATCACCAGCATTTGTATTATTTAGTTTAATAAAGGTGTTGACTTAGTTTTGGTGGGGAACTCTTCCTGATAGCCACAAACATTAAAAATTCTCACTGGAGAAAGCAACTATTCAAGGGGAAGCTAATCAAGGATTCAACCAACCTAGAACTAAGGAGAAATTTCCTGACAGTTAGAACAAGTAATCAGTGAAATGAGTTCCCTCCAGAAGTTGTGGGTGATTTAACTGGAGATTTAAAAGACGAGATTGGACAACAATTTGCCTGAAATGGTATAAGGTTTCCTGCTCTGGTGGGGGGTTGGACTAGAAGACCTCCAAGGTCTCTTCCAACTCTGTTATTCTGTTAATTATGTTGGGAAGAGTTAGTGGTAAAAGGAAACCAGGCCACCAAAGAACATAGTGACTGGACACCATCAAAGCGGACACCAGCCAGAGTATAGAAAAATTCAAAGAGGTAGTGGAGAGATTCTGGTCCACTGAATTGCTAAGAGTCAGACATGACTGAATGGATAACATCATCATCACCATCATCTTCAACCATCAGTATCATCAATTTATTATTACCCTTAACAGCAAATGTTAAGTAATATGAGAATTAGCAGAAGGCAGAAATACCTACATTCTAAACTATTCAAAATTCCATAAGTGAAATATGGTCTTGATTTTTTAAAAAATATATGCAGGTCAGGTAGCTTGAAACTTTCCAAATATTATGAACAACAACTTCCACAGTCACTTCTCATGATGACAATGGAAATGTAAAAATGTGGAGAATGCCAAGTTGCTTATGTATTAGCATTTTTGTATGCAAAAATATAGTTATAGCATATCAGTTGTAGTATATCCAGTTTCTGTCAGGAAGATCTCATCTACAATCCTTAAAAGCTGTTCCTGGGTAGTGTATAAAGCAGAGTTTCTCTAACCTGGTGTTCCTCAAAGAGAAGATGCGATTTAAGATATCTGGAGGAATGTATTTGGAGAAAAGTGGTTGTAATTATTGTTGCTCCAACTTTCTTTCCCCTAGATATATTATCAGTGCAAACCCCAATGCATCTGGAAGGTAACTCTTGGGGAATGTTGCTGTAGATAATATTCAAAAAGAGAGTTGACTTATAATGATAGGAATATGTTCCTATCACTATTATTAACATTACGTAGGTCTAAGATCTGGTAGCAAATAGATTTGTGTTAACTTTTAAATGCAGTTCAGGAGCTACACATGGCATGCCTATTAGACTTCACAAAAACACAGTATCTATTTATTAATCAATTGATTCACCAATCAATGAACCATCTGTCTATTCTTCCATCCTATATAAAAGTACCCCCTGAATTGTTTGTTCTGGTGTAGAGAGAAAATTGATAACGAGAGCTTTCAAATGCTCTTGGAAAAAAATCAGTATTTTCATAATCTTTGCAATAATAAATGGCAATGATTTCCAGGCCAAAATATATGTATGCTTCCAGATTGATGACGTGTAATAACTGTTAAAGCCATTAATACACTAAAGTCCATATCTTCCAGCTTCTGTGAAAAGAGACATGACAGAAAAGTGATAGGAAAAGAGAGAGATGCTACTAATGGAGGAGAATGGCATCGGTTTTCTACATAAAATATTATCCTGTTGGGTGATATGGTTTATCCAGAAGGACAAATTGGAGATGGAATCCTAACTTTTTTTCCCATAAACAGAGAACAATGAGATCTTTAGATCTCATTCTCCCACCAAAAAACTATTTTTGAGTTGGAGACCTAGAAAATGTTATTGGATAAGATGTGAGGAGCTACAGTATTATTGTTTTGCATTTATTTACCAACTTTGAAATTTGGGTATTTGAAATTATCTTTGACATGCTAACCTTATAGAAATGTTTTGAATTTTTCTAAATATATATGTCTATGTGTGTGTGTTTTCTACAATTGCATGGGTTGGAATGTTGTTTTTCAATTGTATTGTTTTCTTCATTTAAATAATAATTTTAAATTTCAACTGATAGAGTAGTGTTTCACAGCCTCAGGAACTTTAAGATGTGTGGACTCCAATTCCCAGAGTTCCCCTGCTGTCTGGAGAATTCTGGAAGTTGAAGTCCACATATTTTAAAGTTGCCAAGAATGAGAAACACTGCAATAGAGTATCCTTCTGCACATAACCCAGATAATCTATGTTCTTTCAGTATCGAACCAAAAGCATTCCAATTGTCAAAGTGAGCAAGACATCCTCCGAAAGTATTACTCGCCGAATTATAATCTATGGTGTGCAAGATGAAAATGGATCCAACATCCAGAATTTTGCTTTGGATATTACACCACCACCAGAAGTGATTTATAAGTCAGAGCCAGGAACTAGTGAAGGCATGAATGTGTTGGGAATTGTAATATTCTCTGCTACCATGGGTAAGTTTTTTTTAAAAAATAGCACATCAAATGAAATTATTGCATGAAATAGTGTTATCTAATGCTTTCCAGACAAGTTGAGCAACTGCATTATATACTATTTCAGTTATTTATGCTAATTGGATTTCATGAATTGAAGTCTGGTAATTTAGAAGGTGCCTCAATTAATTGCTTTTTCTAGAATGCCTAATGTTTTAACTTGGAAAATATGTTTCACAATTCTAAATATATAATCTAAGGGCTGTGGCTATATTTATAGTTGTATTAAAATAATGTTAATGCTACATGGCCCCATTTTTTTCTTCTTTTCCTAAACTGGAATTTTTGTTTTATTTAACTGTGTTTTTGTTTGTTTTGCTTCTGTCTGTAATTCCTAGAGTTCTCCTGAGAAATTTAAATGAAAAGGAGCAAAGCAAGTCTGTGGCTAGAGTATTATTTTCTGTGGCTAGGTCATGTATAGTTAAAGCAATGGAGGAAAGTGTGCGCTATTAAACAAGAGTTATGGCTACTTGCCTTCATTTGCTGATATATCTTTATCTAAGAATACAGGTAGTCCTTGACTTACAACTGATTGCTCAGTGACCATTTGAAGTTATAACTGACTCAAATGACTTACAACCCAGATTTGAAGTTCCCACGGTTGGCCTTTCTGAGGACATGTGACTGAATTTAGGGCGCTCAGCGAGATGAATGCATTTATGGTCACTTGCAAGTTATGACTGTCTTTGATGACTGGCATTTCCGATTTTCAACAAAATCACACCTAGAGTGAACCATTGGTTTATTTAACATCTGTGGCATTTGGTTTATGACTGCCTCGTTTGCTTAACAACTGTTGAATAAAATATCATAAAATTGGGTCAATGGCTTGACTGTTACGATGCACAACTGTAATGACGGCCTCTCTGCAAACAACAAGCTATTTGGTTCTTAGTCTTATTCATAGGAGATACTTATGAAGAAGTAAAATATATGTTTAAATCACAAAGTGTGGCAGGTTAGATAACACTCTTAAGAGACATGAAAAAAATGCAGATATTATCTTGGAGTTTACCCCATTCAATGGGTAGGACCTGCAGAAGGGTAACAACTATGACAAAAAAAAAAAAAAATACAGTCGTACATTTTGATAGGGGATTGTGAAGGAGAAAGTGAGAACCAGTTTAGTGTAGTGGTAAGGAAAGAACTATTTGGAAATTCACTCAAGATTTGTCATTACAGGCTAGTACTGTATGTGCCTAGAAAGAAGGCAAGGGCAAGCTACTTTTTAAAAGGCTGCTGAGAAAACTGCATGTTCCAGGAGTCAAATTGGCTTGGAGGCACACCCATTAAAAGAAAGATAGCATGTAGTCAGTAAATTAAAATAACTTTATTTCCCTAGAACTTCTTTGTCAGGGAGTACTTCCATTTAATCCCACTCCACTAATTCTAAATTTTAGAGTTTTTTTAATTTTAGAGTTCACATTAAAGGAGAGAAAAGATCTCCTGGCTTTTTGTATGACAGGACTGGGGGCAAAGAGAGCAGCTGTGGATTTTTATTAGGCACTTCCATAATTTACCCACTGTGAGTCTAACTTGTTCTCTATTGCCAGTTTTTTAATATTGACATGAAACTGAAACATCTTTTCCAGTCTAAACCAAATGATATTGAATGATTCTGGCAGAATCAGTCTAGCAGTTTTTAAAATGTCCTCTAGAGAGCAGCGGAATGTTTGACTAGCTTAGCACAATTTATAAGCAGTTCCGATTGTTTCTAGTTTGAAAGACAGGGATTTTATTCAAAACCAAGACTTAGCTAGAATGATCAAATGGAAGTAAACCACATCTTCTAAATAGGGACATCCCTCAAGGTGTCCAGCTGTACATTAGAACATTTGGAGCAGTCATGGAGCGGTTCTCTCTGCAGAGATGTCACTTCAACCTTTTCAGCTGAAGATGTGTTCAGATAATTGCTCCGTTTTTATGATGTGAAGCGATAGAATCAATCCTTTAGCACTTCTAGCAAGATGCCTGAAAATTGGACAAAGATTTTCAAGGCATTCTTTTTAAAAGTGAAGAAATAGGCTTAACCTTAAATGAGGTTGTCCTCATTTAGCAACCACAATTGGGACCAGTGACTCAGCTGTTAAACAAAGCAGTCCCTAAGTGAAACACATAAGTGTGCTTATGATTTTAGTTTGATTTCTTTTTGTTTTACAGACCTGCAAAGTTGTAAATGCAAGGATTGTTTGTAAACTTACTTTTTTATCACTGTCGTAACTATGAAAGGTCGCTAAGCGAGGCAGTCACTAAACGACAACTGCCTGTATTTAATGACCAAAATCGTTCAGGGTTCCTTTACATCTGTCATTCTAGCACCACTCCATACTGTTAGAAGAACCTGTCTTCCTTTTATATGTGGTAGCTATGAGATATCTCACCCCTTCCTTCCCCTCTATACCTCCATTCCCCAAGAAAACATTCTTGATAGGATGACAGATGAAATGTCATATCAGTTAAATTTAACCTGTGAAGTTTCGATGTATTACCATATACACTTATTTTATAGCCCAGCAAAATGTATGCAAGAATCTGCTAGACCCATCTTAATCCAATATTCTGTTCCTTATAGTGGCAACAAGGTTACTCGGGAGTCCTGGCAAGACATAGCCCTCCTCCATCTTGTTCCCCTGAACTGGCACTGTCCCCAACCCAGAAATCACTGTGGCTTTTCAAGGCCAATAACTTTGATAGTTCTCCATGAGACTAGGTTTTTTTGCTAGGATCCACCTGTCATAATATATCTTTTGCCAAATTTGTCACCCATGAATTAGAGTGATGCAGCAACTCCCTCTGATGAGGGGCCTAGCAAGCTGCCTTGTGAAGGGGTTGGTCACTTGGAGAACAGGCTGAGATGGACTAGATTAGATGGACCAGACCTAGCAGGGGTCAGTTATTTCCTTATGCTCACAGTTATGACACATAATGGTGGAGTTTGTGTTGTTCAAAATACGTAATTCTTAGCATATGTTACTCAGAACTGTGAGTTTAAAATAGTAAGTTGTAGTGGCCTAGGGATCAAGAGAGAATTGCCGTGTCATATACAGTACTCCAATTATCCAAACCTTCTTTGACCAGCCATACAACTTATCTGGTAATTCAAATTTCAGATATATTTCCAGATCGCAGTGAAGATCTTTCCTCAAGGCTAAGCTGAAGTGCTTTCCTTTCACCCTTGAACAAGTAGCAAATAAACTAGCATGGAATTTAATATTCCCACTGCCAATCCCTTATTTGCCCCATGTCTCTGTTCTCTATCTCCCTAATAACAAATCTTAATTGATTTTATACTTTAGGCTGCTCTTAAATGGTATTAGAATAAGGGTAATGCTACTTCAACACAAATATAGCCAAGATTGACTTTAAGCCTGTCTCATTCATGGGCAGGGGTTGAGATAAAAATAATGTTATAGGAATAGAGAAGGGGGAAAAAGTTGCTAGGGCATGTTTTTATCATGGTTAGGTGCAAGTGATGAAAGATTCAAAGTATATTATATAAGTTTAAATGAAGATAAATAAGAAGAAACTTAAGACATTTATATATTTGTAGGTATAATGCTGGGCAGAATGGGTACCAGTGGAGTTCCCCTGGTCAGTTTTTGCCAGTGTTTAAACGAATCGGTCATGAAGATAGTGGCTGTGACTGTATGGTAAGTAAATGTCAGGAGAAATAAATATTAAAAGTAAAAGTATGTAATCAACAATGAAATCAGTTTACATAAACTGAATGGGTTGTTGAGTGATCTAAATAACATGTACAGAGTTGCGTGCATTCTCCTTTTAAAAATATATTTGTAAACATTGGCTTGCAGGATGTTTTCAGGCAGAAATCAAATTCCACATGAATATTGTCTTGATATTTCTTGTGCCTCACTGCTTGACATTGCATTGGGATGAGGTTCTGTCTACACTAAGAGGAAAACTCTCTGCACCCAAAAAAGAAATAGAAATTAGGGGTCCTTAGCATAGTGTTTCAAAACTATTTCTTCCTAACCAATCTACAAGTGATGAGTTCCTACCACAAGGACATACACCTTTAGCACTTCTGTCAAAAGGGAGATTTGCAAAAGTATCTTGCAGAATAAGATCCATTTTGTCTTACAATAATATATGTGGTACTTCAAGGATGCATTTATTTACTGCATTTCTATTTCTTGTTCCATTTCAGAGACAAGGTAATATATAGAGATTTATCTATATTTTATCTCCACAATAACAACTCTGTAGGGAAGATTGGGTTGAGAGAATAGAGCTGAATAAAGTCATTCAGCAAGCAGTTTGGTCAGATGGGGACTTGAGCCTAGATCAGGGATCAGCAACCCATGGCTCTGGAGCCACATGTGGGTCTTTTATCCCTCTTCTGTGGCCCCCTGTCACTGGTCAGCTCCACAATTGATAGGGTTTTCAGTTAGGACAGGTAGAGGAAAAAGGATGCTGTGCTAGGAGGATAATCTATGGTGAGGGAACCAGACTTCTGGTCGGCAGAGGAAAAAGGACGCTGCGCTAGGAAGAGACTATGGTGGGAGAATTCTGGACTTCCGGTCAGCTCCAGAATTGAACAGGGGGCTTCTGGTTAGGACCTTTGTGGCTCTTTGAGTGTTTAAGGTTGCCAACCCCTGGCCTAGGTCTCTGTAATCCAGCTGCAATACTTTCACCAAAATATTGCACTTTCCATTCATTTGGTTTCCCCCCCCTATTTTTATATGGATATATTTTTTGCATAGAATATCTCTTTATTCTTTCTTAGGTATTTTCCATTTGGAATAGTGTTTCTTATTGCTGGTAAGATTTTGGAAATGGATGATCCCACAGCCATTGGGAAGAAACTAGGATTTTATGCTGTTACCGTACTTTGTGGACTATTCTTTCACGGACTTGTTATTCTGCCAATGATGTATTTCTTCATCACCAAGAAGAACCCCGTTGTCTTTATCAGAGGCATTCTTCAAGCACTGCTTATTGCTCTGGCCACATCATCCAGGTACACGCTGCAATGATTAAAGTTGAAGAATGATGCTTTCTTAATTTTTAAGGAAAAAAAGATGTTTCTCTCAAGTCATTTTTCAAGTCTGGCGATATCATGGTTACAGTCATGAAATTTTCCTAGCGCTTATATGGCAGTAATTTGCCACTTCGTTGTTACAGTGGGTTGTTTCAATTCCTGGTCCAGTCAATAGTCCTACAATTTGCTGGTGATTATTGATCCTGCCTGTTATCCTGGCCAAATACTACTCATTCATGATTAGCAAAAATCAGTTAGTTGCTGGATAAAGTTTTTAAAAACACATTATCACAGCAAACTTGGAATACTGTTTTATTTTCTGAATTTAATCCTTCCAATTTCTGTCCCTTAGACCAGCGGTCCCCAACCTTTCCAACTTGGCAGACGGGCAGGGAGGGGGAGGTGCATATGGACCTCTGTGTGCATGAGCTACTCATGCAAGTAGAGCTGCACGCTGTTCTGCCCCAGCTCCGTATTCCCGAGGATATTGACACACACCAATGGGCCTTATCAAATTTATTAAGTAGCAAGAATAAAACAAAGTCTGGCAAAGGTTGGCAACCAGCCCAGAAAGCAAGATACGATAAGACTTTTCCAAAAATGCTCTGATGATAATTACAAGTTGTTTTTAGCAAGAAACTCACTAACGGCGTGCGACTTAAATAGGCTAAGGGAGAGGTCAATTATCCTCAAGCCTTACTCTCGAGTAGACCTCCTCCTCCTGAGTAGCCACTCCTGCCTTTTGGCAGTCCTGCATGCTTGAGCATTGAGAAGAGACTCCTCCACTTCACTCTCTCCACTTGAAGGAGCCTCTGGAGGTTCTGAAGACCCTGGCTGAGTCTCTGCCTCTGGCACCACATCCTCTTCAGCCTCCTCGCTGTCCGACGCAAGCGCCAGCTGTGCCGGCTGCTGGCACAACACCACACCAGCCTCTTCGTCGTCGGGATCAGCCACGATCTGCACAGGCAGCTGGTGGGCCACAACACACACACACTCACCTGCCCCTTGTGTAGCCCGGTTCCAAACAGGAAATGAAATATTTTCCTATATGCACATTTATAATTATTCCCATTCCCTTGTATTTTATTTCATTCCCAGATTTTAAAATAAATAAAAAGCATGGGGGAAAAGCAAAAGATCCTAAATATGTTATGTTATATACTAATACAAATATAATTTTCAGGCATTGGGTCAAAGCAATAAAACAAAACAATGAGACAGGATCAATGTTGGGAGGATAATTCGTTACTGACAAAAAACTCTGGAAAATATAAAGAGACATTTCCAATATTCTGTTGGGTCATAGCTTTTGCACTCTTTTTCCTTAAATAATATAATTCATTTTTTCATAGCTTTATTATTATCAGCTATGATACTGAATGAATCAGAACATTTATGTAATAGTTTTTACCCAATAATGCATGGGCGCAAATAATTTTGCCTTAAATTTGCCTTCATAAGCAAATTTCTAAATTACATTATTTTGCTAACTTCAGTCTAAACTACGCTTATTTTTTGTTGTTGTTTTGCAGTTCAGCCACTTTGCCTATAACTTTCAAGTGCTTATTAGAGAATAATCATGTGGACCGGAGGGTTGCTAGGTTTGTGCTCCCAGTAGGGGCTACAATCAACATGGACGGAACAGCCCTATATGAAGCAGTAGCAGCTATTTTCATCGCCCAAGTAAACAACTATGAACTGGATTTTGGACAGATCATCACCATAAGGTAAAATGGGAGGGGGGCAGAATCTCTGATTCATAGGCTTCTGCAGGAAAAACAATGTTCTGGTCTTCAGTGTCCAGCATAGCAGATAGTAATCTAAAGTTGTATGAAATGACTTTCAGAACTAATAGAATGTATAATCCATATTAACAGTGCAGATGGAAAATCTTAAGCATTTGATTAACTGCTGATTAAAAATGTCAGCAGTTCCTGAAGAAAGGAAATGGCCAGTCACCAAATGCATTGAGTACACTGTACAGCCATGGAGATTGCATGCTTTGTTGGTTGTTAGACATTTCTCTTCCTGACCATGTCAGTAATGACACAGTTCGGAAGCAAATGGGCACCATACCAACATCAGAGACAACACAGGAGAAACCAACGCCTACAGTGGTACAGCCGTGTCCTACAAGCAGCTCCCCATATTGTTGCCTACATCCCCTTCCATTTTAATGTAGATGGCAAGCACCCGCATGGAAGGCCAAAAGAAAGATGGCCAGACAATAAATGCAGACATGAAAACTGCCCAGTCCGACACAGATGCTGTGTCTGATAATGCAAGATCATGCTTGTTGACCTGAAAAGCAGACCCTGCACTGCGGGGAAAATGCTACGATGATGATGATCAGGAAGAAGATGTGCAATTCCTGAAGAAAATAAATCCTTTCCCTCCCATTCAACCTCTCACACAGAAAGAAATAAAGAAAATATATAACACTCATCCATTCACAAGGCACTTATCCAAAATACCTATTCGATGTGTTGTCTGCACTCTGGGAAGCTAGACAGACCTCTCTGGTTGCATTTGAAAGTGGAATCAGAAGAGTGGTGCACTTTTTTCTGCTTCAATGTAAAACAAATGAGGTTGGTTGCTAGGAGAGAGGATCTATGAATCTCCTTTTCCTTAACCTGTAAACAGAAAGTTACATCAGATGAATATTACTTCAGGTGAGAGTTCCTCCTAGTGGAAGACATTTTCTCCTGAATCTCTGCTGTGTTTCCGTGTCCCAAATGGAAAGGCTGCTTTTATTGATCATTTGCATACCACAGTGTGGGAACCCAATACTCCACAACTGATTCTGGAGCTTTACAAGAACTGCATATAAATGATTCTTTACTTTTAAGTGACATTCCTTCCTCTAAATAAAGCATGCTTCTCCAGCTGAAGGAAAAGTTGTCAGCAAGACTGATAAAGAATTTCCTGGAAAGACATTTTTGGAAGAGTTGTTCTCCCAACAGATGGAAGAGAAATCAAAGCCTCCCAAGACTGCGATTTCACTGCTTTTTAAAGATCTGCCGTTTTCTTGCAGAAAACATATCCACAGCTTCTCTTTGATTGTTTAAATATGAGTGGATTAGTATCCAGAGATGGTATAGTTTATTGAGCTAAAATAAATAAGTTTATTGTTTTAAAGTAAGTTTTAAAATAATAAACTTATTTTACCAAAGGATTTTAAGAAAGCCACTTTACTTACCCTAACCCTTGGATTTCTATACAGTTGAGGATATTGTAACATATAATTCAATTCCTTTTCTTTTTGTGCTGCATCTGTTCCTTCTGAATAACTTTTATTTTTCAATTATTGTAGTCTAGTTCTGAAAATCATCCCACCAAATCTCAGTTAAAATTTTGATTCATATTTGTTTTCCTATATTGGGACCTCAAACTCATCTGGTTTATTTTCCATTCTCTGAGTATTAATATATAAACAAGGGAGGACATGAACTTTACAAATCAAATTTCTTTCTGAGTTTTTATTGTATGATTTAAGAGGCGCCAGAGGAATTAAAGAAAGAAACTCTGTACATGTTACACAACATATTCTTTCTTTTCTTATTACTTAGTATGTACCAGCATTGAATCCTGATATCATGATTTTTGAGCCATTTTTGAGATTTCTGTATTAGACTACGTATATTTAAAAAGATTCAGAGGTTGAACTGAAGAACTAAGGAATGCATAACTTAAACAATCCTTTTTCTTTTGTAAATATTCTTTTAGCTTTCTTTGTTTTTGTAAATACAAAAAAAAAATGAGGGGGAAGAGCAGACCCATCTGGAGAATATTTACTAGCAATACTGTACTGCTTAGCATAAAACATTAAGCAGTTGTGATCTGTACAAACTTGACAGGTTCCCATAAAGCAGTATTATCAGATCAAAACAAAACAAAACTCTTTTGCAAAATGTCTAAGTATGTGACTACATTGTGGCTAGATCAGACATACTGTTACTTTATCCCAATTCAGCCTATTCAACTTTGTATTAATAGGGAAATTCCTCCTATTAGATGAAGTGCTATGATTGCCTTATTCTTTACTAAACAGAATATTAAAGAAGACTTGAATTACTTACAATGCACAGATCAAATAGCTGAATACTGTACAATCTAGCAGCTTTGGTAAATCACAATATATACCATAAAAGGTAAAGTTTCTCCTCGCACATATGTGCTAGTTGTTCCCGACTCTAGGGGACAATGTTTCAAAGCCGAAGAGCCAGCGCTGTCCAAAGATGTCTTCATGGTCATGTGGCCAGCATGACTAAATGCCAAAGGCGCATGGAATGCTATTACCTTCCCACCAAAGGTGGTCCCTATTTTTCTACTTGCATTTTTAATGTGCTTTTGAACTGCTAGGTTGGCAGAAGCTGGGACAAGTAACAGGAGCTCACCCCGTTACGCAGCACTAGGGATTTGAACTGCTGAACTGCCAACCTTTTGATTGACAAGCTCAGCATCGTAGCCACTATGCTGCCACGTCCCTTATATATACCATAGTTTATGGCTATATCACCTTGATCACACAGAAGTTGACAAGAATTTAGTGAAAGATCAAGACTCATTTTACATTTCTGCAACAGCACAATAATTTCATTCATTGCAATAATTGAATTATTTCATATACAATATTTTTAAAGCCTGTTGGATCTCAAAGATTTAAGAGAATTGTAATCATACCGAAGCGTGCAATCCAACCCAATGTTAAGTAAATAAAGCCCATTTATTTTAATGGATTTAGAAGTGCTTAATTCTGCTGAATTATGGCTCATGAATATAGTTGTTTCCCCTGCCATATGCAGAGACCTATTTTTTTGAATTGATTGCCACCTCTAGAATACAAATACCACTCTGGGGCAATTGCAACCTGATGATTTGAATGTTTCCATAAATTTTCAGCAAACTGACAAAAAGTTGAATTTAGGCAGTCAAAATATTGTTCGGGTTCTCTTAAAATGGATAAATAGCAGCCAGTGTGGAGAATCTTGGGACGGGAATGTATATGTCTTCATAACACCACCCCCTTCTTATAATGATCTGCATTTGAAGAGCAAGAGATAAAATGATGGTTACTATAAAATTGTAGTCCATTGGTTCTATTTGAGGTGATTTTCCTCTGTGATGCTGCATTTGGGAAAAGTTCCTGCTCTTGTCAGAGAAAAATCCTCTCAAAAGACAAGTAATAGTCTGAGAAAGAGAGATGGTGGCAGAATAGAAAGAGAAAACTTCTTTTCAGTTTCATGATCCCTCAGGCTGTTCTACAAAACATGCATGTAACCTACTGTGATAAAATTAAGGCCACATTTACTTTAACCAAACCTTACAGCTGGTGGCAGATGCCTTTAAATTTCTGCCTCTGAAATGTCCATCTTGTTGCTTTTCCTTGATTTTATTTCCCACGATCCAAAACAATGAAATTATATCCCGGGCCTAACTCTACTAGTAAAACTCTGGCTTCATGCAAAGTTGATCTTACTTATATTGGGCAGTCCTGTTTTATTTACCTTGTTCAGGGATATTCTATGCAACTGAATGCAGGGTAAAATGTATCTGATTCTTATGTCAAGTACATTAGTTCGTATTAATGATCAAGTTATCCAGATTTGGATGTTCTTCTGTGTTACATCATTATGATCTTTCTGCTTGTTTGTAAAAGCATTACGGCAACAGCTGCCAGCATAGGAGCTGCTGGAATCCCACAGGCTGGTCTTGTGACCATGGTCATCGTTTTGACATCAGTGGGTCTGCCTACAGATGACATCACTCTAATAATTGCAGTTGATTGGGCTCTGTAAGTAGTGCAAATATTTTCTTTTCTTTGCATTTTTCTAATTGGATATATGAGGATTGAGTGGTTCAGTTTATAGGGAGCTATCACTCACTTTTGATGTTGATATTGAGTACATGGTCATGTCAAGGGGGTAGCACAGCTCACTCATGATTTTACTTTTTGTTTGTCTCAGTTTTTCATCTACCAGTTCATTACAAAATGAAAATATAAGAATTATCCTTCCAGATTCAAACCAAAAGTTGTCTTTTCAGTGTATAGGTAGTTCTTGACTTGCAACTTGGTCGCTTAGGGACCATTCAAAATTCCAAAGACCTCCCCCCAAAATATTTACAACCCAGAACTGAAATTCTGAAGGACAGTCTCCCCACCCATTGTCATGTGACTGCATTACAGATGCTTGACAACATATTTGCAGCCATTTTTAGGATCATGCAGTCACATGATCACAATTTATTATGGTTTTGCTGAAAACTGGCATTTATTTCAAATTTTCAGCAAAAAAAACGTGAAGAATGGATTAACAACCATGGACAGTACAAAAACAGAAGCATCCTTTATAGGGGAAGCAAACTTGTGAGAGATTGCAGAGCAGATTTTAACAAAGCATTAATGGGAATGAAAGGCACAATATGTGAAAATAAACAGATCCCTATGTTTATTTGCACCTACATAAGTGGCAAATTAAAAAAATCATTCTGTTTCAACTCAGTTTTATGCTAAAGAAATCAAACTCTGAACATTGCTGATTTTGGATCTTGTTACTCTTTTCTAAGCCAAACATCTGGATGTTCCTGAATTTTAGTTTTATGACCCACATCAATATAATAACCATTGTGATTGACTTCTCAGATGGGCTCATTGTACTGAAAAAAGAATGAAGAAATCATACGATGCATTTCAGATTTAATGTACCTCTGCCAAATGAACTTGAGTCAGCTTCAAACAATGCATTAAAAGTAACTCTGGCTAATACACCTGCCTTTTCTTCTAAGTTTAAATTCCTTAAGTCAATTTAAAGCTGTACTTGGCAAAAAAAAAAAATTTCAGCATTGATCTGTGAAAATCACAAGTCAGAATATAATTAATTTTTTCTTACAGTTTTAAAACCAACTGTGCATTTATTTAAAAAAAAAAGTTACCAAAAGCTGACATAACAGCAAATGCGTACACTGGAGAGAGATTAATCTAAAATGCAACATCAGACATTCTGTTCTCTATTTGTCTTCTGACAATTTATTCCTCAGTTTTCCTACATTCTTCTATATATCCCTCAGCTATAAATGTCAAAATCTTATTGTTTTTCCAGTTGAAATCCAAATGTTTTCTAGTTTCCATTTGGACTGGCTTCACATCTCTCTTGCTTGTGTCTTTGGCTTATTTTCTTTCCCTTTTTTTTTAAAAAAAAATCCTATATTGTCTAGTCTATCTTCTTGTTCTTCTGTTTTCTTCTAAAAGCATTTTCCAGTTTTATTTAACATTTGGCTTTTAAGATTGTTTGCTTCTTTGTTTATAATTTCCTTCCTTCCTTCCTTCCTTCCTTCCTTCCTTCCTTCCTTCCTCCCTTCCTTCCTTCCTTCCTCCCTCCCTCCCTCCCTCCCTCCCTCCCCCAATCTCTCTCTCTCTCTCTCCTTTCTTTTTTCCTTACTTTCTCTTTAAAGTTGTTGCACCAGACTCTCTATAATTAATTCCAGATCAATTCTCTTGGAGGTTCCTGGTGCCAATTATATCACAATTCTGGGGACCAGAAGCACAATGCTGGTTGGATTTGAGGATTCGGTTTAGGAAAATTCAGTTATTTATTTCTCACAAAAAATATTTTTTGCTCTATTGTTTCTTGGTTTGAATCATACCTAGGAAAGCAAACAGAAGGCAATAAAAAATCCATGCAAGTTTTTCTTTCTCCACTTGTTGGTCTGCTTAATTTTGTAAAACTGGAAAAATAAAATACCAGAGTCAACATAAAAAAAATAGGCATTTATGAAACAGATTAAGAAAATGTTCATGGAATGTTTTTTATTTCTTGTTGGCATTAGGCTTTCATAGCATAAAATTAATTCATGGTATTTCAGGATTGGAGCAATTTGATCTGACATAGTGTGATGGCCTACACATTTAAATTAATTGGGTACTTTTATTCCAATCCCTGTGCTATATTATCTGTTGAGTAAAATAACACCATAAAATAACCTACCTTGTGTGCAGGTACTGTTAATTTCTGTACAAATAACTATGTAGATTGATGACCATTTACACAACAAGGAAAAGGAAACACTGTTTTAATGTCTTCATTTTGTTTCACAGAGACAGATTTCGGACAATGATCAATGTCCTGGGTGATGCTCTTGCTGCTGGAATAATGGCACATATTTGCAGAAAAGAATTCACTTCAGAAAGATCTGAGGTAGGAGAAAACTGATATGATACTTTGAGGACTCACTTTACCAAACAGAGATAATTAGGTATCTCTTTTAGAGACATTCTGTGTAACAGTGTGTCCTACCTATAATTTTGTTGGAGTACTGTGGCTCACGTGGTTAGAATGCTGGGTTGGAGGTTACCAAACCTGCGTTTGAGATCCAAGTGCTGCCGTAGGGTGGAGTGACCTCCTGTCCTTTGCTCCAGCTCCTGCCAAGGACATGAAAGGAGCCCCTAACCGAGCCTTCCCCCCAAGCAACAGTGATGTCACCGGCTAATTCTTTCAACCCAGAAGTGCCTTGGTGTTTCCAACATGAGTGTGATCTATAATTTTGTATGCTAAAATGAAATGTAAGTATAGAAAAGTGTTCTAGAATAATGAAGAGTAGTAACGCTATGAACCCCTTGTTCTATTCATAGGTGCCTTTGATTGGAGAAACAAAACCTGTTAGTATCCACAAAATTATTGCTTATCAGAAGAATGGCTGTTTGAAGTCCATGAATAAAATGCGTGGACCTGAAGCAGTCAAAACAACACTGCATCACTTACCTATTCAAGTGGAACAAGAAGAGAATCAATCAGAACGTTACACAGAGAAATCCAACAATAAAGACCACTGTACTATTGAAATCAATGAATTGGAAACAAATGTGTAATGCACAATTAATCCTAAAAGTATCTGAAAACAAAAGAATATCCTGTAAATGAAGTTGGGACATGGCCTGCTTCTTCAATGGCAAGGCATGAAATGACTGTTATTCCTGAACTGAGGTTATAAGATAGCTGTGGACACCTGTGAAGACAGAAGGCTTCATGGAAGATGGGTTCCATTGGTTGGTTGGGTTAGTAGAAAGGAATTAATCACTGGACAAATGTTGTTTACTTTGGAAAAACAGATATGGTGATGTTTCTAAGAAGAAACGTTCTGATCCATTGAAATGATTTCGACTAAATCACCCTGTCTCCCTTTTTCTAATCAAAATGAATATACCAGAAATATATTAATGTTCTATTCTTAGTTTAAAAATGTATTACTAACTAACTAATGGATTAAAGCTAAATTGTGGATGGGACCAAGTCCTGGTTACTGACCCTGAGTTATGAGAAATAAAGTATTGTTATTAATCTGCTGATTTGGATACACTGTGATCATAAGCAGTGGTTAGTTTAAAATGAAAATGGGTCTGCTTTCCCTACAGTTGCAAAGATGAAAGTGGAGAGAACAGTGCATGAATTCAGTGGCCTTGAGAGGTCATTAAACTACCGTTTGGTGTTACATGTAACCTTGGTTAAAATTGTTCAACAAATTGTCCTTGTTTGCAGCTTCATTCTGCATTCTTCAATGTTCTGAGTGAATACTGTAGTAGTTTTCTGGTTGTAGTCCAAAGTAATGGCTTGACACCTAAGTATCTTTGGGACTGCCTCCTTCAGCCAGGTGAGACCTGTCTGTTCCAGGAGAAACTGTTAATACTGTTAATCCCCAACACCACTTTGGAAGGGGAAGGGAACTGAGGCCCAGAGGTGTTGTTTCTCTATGATGCCCCCGTTATATAGAATGGCCTTCCTGAAGACAAGACTGGCTCCATCAAAAAAAGCCATCTAGAAGCTAGTTAAAATCTAGAAGCTAGTTAAAATTGGGGGACTAGGGATGAATTATGATAGAACTGGAGCTCTTACATAATTCTAATTTTAATTTAAATTTAAATTAAAGTAACTTAATTTAATTTTAAGTTACTGCAGAAGTTTTAGTGTTGCATTTTACAATTATTATGAATCATCCAAGAGTTTCTTGATGTGACACTATATAAATTTAAGGAATGAATGAATAGACCAATGTAATCTTTATATCCACCATCACATGGATTTCAAATAGTCAATTTCTAATAGTAGTGTAGATGGCCTTTTGACTATGATGGTAGCAAAATATAATGATCATGTATAGAAATTCCATTGTATATTAAAGATTCTCAGATCCCTTTCATTTTTATTTTGTACTATTTGGAGAGATAAATTGCAACTAATACTGTTTGTTACATATTATTTTCTATGGTTTACAATGTATATACAGTATTATAGTATATTTTTGAACCGAGAAATATTATGTTTTGTTTAATGAGGTGATAGAGAAGGGGGGTTTTATTTTTAAGATCCCTAAAAATAAAGTATCAACCCCCATTCTAAACTTTCCCTAACATATTAGCCTCCCAAGTACTTCCTTCTCTTTTGCATCTCCTTTTCTTCCACCTCTAACTTGGTAAAATCCACAGTGACTAAATTTGTGTTTTTCAACTGAAGTACAGGTTTAACTTTAAGATGTATGGGATACTGGCTGGCAAATTCTGAGATTTGAAGTCCACACATCTTAAAATTGCTACGGTTGGGGAAAAAAACCTGGTCTAATTATAAAAACCCCTAACCAAAATAACTGGTGCTAAAAAAGGCTATACAATGTTCTGTAATTTATATAGCTTCTATGTGTGATAGTTTGGGCCCAAATCCCTTGTGGTCTGAGTGTTCCCATAAAAATAAGTTAGAAATTAGCATATGCAATTGTGGCACAATTTCATTGTAATTATATATTCAATTTAATTAATGTTCCTATGATTGCTGTCTGTAAATACAAATGGTTGAACTTGGTCCCTTTTCCGCCCCCACTAATATACACACACAAACATGCTATGTAAGGTATCTTGGATGACTTTCTTCAGAGCCAATTCAAATCTTCAACTCTACAGTCTTGTGCTTTTAATTTGGCAATGGCTTCCATTTGGAGCAGTTTAAAGCAAGTCTGAGACAAGAAGCAAAGCTGTGACTTTTGAATTGCTGCACCATTCTTACAGCCCATTAGATGGAAAGGGGCTAGAGGGAATTAGTGCTTTTATAGCTTTAATACTTGGGCTAGAAGTTTGAATTTCTCACACAAAAAAAAAGAGTAACATTGAAGACTCAGTTACGAAGCTCATCTCCTGAAAGTGAACCAAATATTGTCATTCATGACCCAAAAATATTCGGATAACAAAATAGAGGAATATGGTGTTTATCACCAGTGCTGTTTGCAAGGGAAAAAAAAATAGCATGCAATCAATTTAGATTTTGGCAGCCGTGCTTATTCCCCCTTAGGACGAGGTATATCTGCCAATTTTTTAACTTGTTTCTTATATATGTATTTTAAGCATGCCTTTCCTTTGGCAGTAGTGTCCAAAGCAGATTTTTTTTCTTTTACCTTTGGACACTCTAGATGCAATATAGCTCTATGGAATCATCAGCAGTGGCCTTCACCAGGTTGGCAATGACCAGGGTGGTGGAGATTCTGGGCTATATATCTCCCATAAGGAAAACTTGTAAAGAAATTGTCATTTTGTGCTCTGTTCAAGGAAATCTGGCTTCTTCTACAGCTGGAAACAATTCTCTTTTTCAGTGCCTGACATGGAAGAAGGGTTTTTGTGAAGTTTTAGCTTACAAGTCCTTGTGTGACCTCTTTCACTCTCTCTTCTTCAGTGCTCTATCTTTTATGTTTTGAATGTTTATTTCCACTGATTATTTATTATTCTTGCAAATATTTTATCCCTGCCTTATTCCTAACTGGAGAGAAAAAGAAGTTTTATATTTGTCTCGATTTTTCAGGAAGAGAGATGGGACCATTTGGGAGGAAAAATATTTATGAACTAACCCTGAAATTGTATTTTTAAATGGGAATTTGCTTGTTCTTTTTCTTTTACTCTCTCTTTCTTTCTCGTATCCTTTGCATAATAAAATACCTTCTAGTGATTCTAAATGAACCTTGTATATTAAAATTGCTTCCAGCAAAAATGTTTTTAATAAATAAGTCATTGTGGAAAAAAAAAGATTGTCTGTGTACTATTACACTAAACTTTTCCTTTTTTAAAAAAGGAACCACACCAATTTAACAAATTTATATTTTACCATAAAAGGTAAAATCTCCTTCGAATCGACCTAACTCTTGGTGAATTAATGAACACATCCATGTAGTTTTCTTGGCAAAATATGGGAGGATTATAGTTTGTAGAGATTATATTCTGAAAAGATTATCTCCTCACAAAGTATAACATTCTTTTAATAGATATTTGGGGGATTCAGAATTCAAATCTGCATTTGAATGTGAACATATTCACAAATTTAATTTTAAATGCTCTTGACATTTCCTCTTCAAAATTTTAATTTTGAGTGCATTTCTCAACTGCTTTGTTGGATATAAAGTCTGGTAAACTGACAAATACAGGACCACTTTTTACATTTGTGCCATATGCAGGTTGGTATTACATATGAGAAAATGCTTTCTAATCAGAACCATTACATTCCAACAATAATAAATAGCCAAATATTGAATACCTCTGCATATTGCCAATCATGTGAAGTCAAATATTACACATCAAATTAGTTTTCTGAAAGTAGGGCTATGCAGACTGAAGATTCATGTATTTTAATGGCTGAAAAATCTTAGGAACATCAAGCTTGGATTTTGCAAAACCAAACAGTAGAATTAAATTCTCCAGTTGCATGCTGAAAATAATATTCCTCCACCTGAATTCCACACAGCCCTTTGTCTTCCTAATCTCATGCAAAGTTAGGGTGTGGACAATGAAGCACTGGAGTTCTTGGGAATTCTTGAATGCTGATTAGCATCAAAGAATGCATTCTCCCTTGGATAGAGCAAAGCAGATGTTATATATTTGTTTGTTACATTTCTGAACTGCCCAGCTCCCTCAAAGAAGGTCTCTGGGCACTGCACAACAAAATGTCAAAATATAAAAACAGTATATAAAATTAAAATGTTCAAGTTAAAAATTTGAAATTATTTTTTTAGGGGGATTTTTACACCCTGTTAAAAATAATTTAAAACGTGCTCTCAGGGCACCAACCAGCCACACAAGTTGTAGGCTTTTTTCGGCTCCCCATATGAGGCATTATTATTATGTAGGTGGGGATTGGAATTGTATTAAGCAACTGTTCCTTTGTTCTCACATTTGTCAAGTTGCTTGACTACCAGGTTTAACCCCTGACATCTGATTGTCCTCCCCCAATGAAAAATAGTGTGTTATTAATATTGATGTTATCCATTCAATTGTGCCTGACTCTCGGCAATTCTATGGGCCAGGTGTTACCTTATTTTCCATTCTTACAATACTTTTTTGGAAAAATAGTGTATTGAATTGCAATGAGCATTGGAAAGATATATTTGTATCTATGTTAATCCAGCACTAGAACAATCAGTGACCTCCCACCCCCCACCCCGTTGTTTTTTTCCGTAGGATTTGAGGATTTTTTTGAGATTAATTGTGGGGAGGGAATATAGAGGGGGGTAAAGGTAGAGGAAGTTTCAAGTCTAAGCAATTTGAGATATTACTATTGATTGATGTCCTAAATCCCATCTTCAGTACTTGAGAGTTCACACTATGCTACTACTTACATTCCTCTTTGTCCCTTGAAAATAGATACAAAGGTTTTATTCCTAAAATTGAGAACATTGACTTGGAGATGAAAACATGTTCTATTCCAATTTCTCAGTTATCTAGGAGAACAGTATATTTTTATTCGTCTTTCCATTTGAACGTTACTCTAGCAGTTGATCTAGGGTTTTTTTTTTAACCAGATTTTTGTCTAGGACATATGTTTTTAACACACATTCTGAAATTTCAAGAACAAAGGATTGGCAAAAGTTGAATTAGAATACTGGACTAAGAGAAGTTTGACTTATTCAAATTGCGGTGGAATGATGTTCCCCAAATGTTTAGTCACCACCTCTCATCTAATACTATGACTAGATTAATACAAAATCATCATCTCCATCTTCATCCTTCCTCCACTGTTCTCCCTCCCTCCTTCAATTTTATTAAAACATTCCTGTGAGTAGCTTGATCCAGGAAATAATAACCATCATGTTTCTTAAAGTTGTTTATAATTAGCACTGTATCAGCTGTCTTTGTTGTCATAATTTCATATTCAGTGGAATTGCAAACTAATATATGCTGTGATGAACTGCTTGAATTAAGCCTCAGGACAACATTTGCCTAATAAAGTAAGATTATCATTAGGTGTTCTAGGTCAATAAAAATTACTGCTGTATGTTAGTTTTGTAAAATTGATAATGAAGAATTGTAGGAATCAAGAAAAGGATTGCATTAATTTGTAATTAAGGCCAAGTATAGTTCTGTTAGCCACAAACTTGGAAAAATATTTAATCTTATCAGCACAGCTTCTTACCAAGTATACCTGGCTATTATCTTTCATTTCATGTAAAGGATACATATTCTGCTTCCTCTTTGAATCTAGAATGAAATATTAAAATTCTATCATTGCAATTTGTAAATAATTTTTGAAATGTTTTTATTTTAAAAAGTTAACCTGTAATACTGAACAATAATGTTGTAAGAACCACCATATTTTTATTGAGCAATTGAAAATTAAGTGAATATTCAAATAAGCAACATTTTTCACCCATCTGTTTCCTGGCATAACTTCCAGACTATAATTTGTGCATAAAGAGCTTCACCAAAATTCTGTGTGGCTGAACTGATATGTTGCATAATTAGCACATTTCCATATATGAATGCATTTCCTAATAACCAAATATATTCCTTTGGAGATTTTACAGCAGGGTGATCACTTTAGACTATGTGAAATAAATGAATATTTTTTCTTATAAAAATCATAGTATTCATACTGGCTGAGGGGGAAAAAATAGAACATTTTTTGGGGGGACAAGTGAACTTTTACAAAATCAAGAAAAATAGGGGAAGGTACAAGTTCTCCATCTGATTTTTCCCCTCCCAAGATATAAGAGTACAAAAACCATATTCCTAGAGTTCTTTTAATTCATTTGTAAAATACAGATTTTTTTACTAATCATAGCAGAGTGGTACTATATGTGCCATTCCTAGTTTTATATAGGAGGCAGTGTAAGAATATCACCACTGAACTCCCAATAACAACAAATATAGCAATACTAAATTATGCATTTTACATCTAAAGTATCCTATTTCAGGTGCTGATAACCTTTAGGTTGTTTCACAGTGTATAGTCCTAGTGGAGGAGAAGGAAGACTGACATGGATGTCTAGTTATTTTAGATAATGTTTTGATTTGGATAAAGCTAACTAAATAGAGACAAATTATTTTATTCAATTGTAATATTTGTTTGCAATTGGATTTCTTTGTTCCCACATATTTAAGTTCCTAAGAAATACATGACTGAAATCTTACCACTGGATGTAATTTTAATATGTGATGCATGCTCTGTTGGAGATACAAATCTGTGCCAAAGGGAATTATAACTTTTAAATTACGCATTAGATATAAAACAGGTCCCTGAAAAATACTGCTTTGGCAGCATTATTTTACAAATCACCCCAGATTTCAAGAGGAAACTTTGGGGCTGGAAAATATCAAACTATCCCCACAAATTATTGCAATGTACAGTAAATAATTAAAAGATGTAATTTCCCCATAACAGAAGCTCTTACTTTTATAAAATCTGTCTAAAACTTTCTCCAGTTCCTGTCCTTGATGGAATAACAGCTGGATTTATATTGTGTAATAATGCAATTGTTTGGAGAATGCAAGCAGGATGTAAATGGCTATCATGATCTTAAGGTTTCTTGGCAAGTTTGGCTGGCATAGATATTTATCAGGTGTTTTCCCTACTGATCTACAGTTAGAAACTGGATTGCAATTGCTCAACTTCTGCCAAGTTCTTTGCTAGGCCTCAGCAAAAGCAGAGCTATTCCCCTAATAAGGGGAGTGCATAGTTAAAAGTTGTTTACAAATGAGAGGAACTTAATAAAAAACTATTTTTAAAAAAACCTATGGAACTATGTGCAGAAACTTCACATAACGTTATGAGTGCTGGTATTTTGCAGCTTTCCCTCTATGAGGGAGATAGGTGGATTAAGAAGTTGATATATAAATAAAACTGGATTTCCAGCTGTAGCCAGAGAATTACTTTTAGATAGCTCCAGTTAGTCAGTGGGTAAGAAAGAGCGATCTAATAGGACTGGCAAAGCATGGCTGATAGAATGACCAGGTAGTTTGCTTCATAGCACCAGGGAAGAGAAGGACCTTAAACATAATATCTTTCCCTTTGTAATAACCTAAGATTTTAGACCAAGTTCCCCCCCCCACATTTTAAATAAGGTGACCAATCATCCTCCTTTAGGGAGGACAGTCCTTCTTTTGTAAGTTCTGTCCTCTCTCGAAAAGTGTCCTCCTACATGTCCTCCTTTTCAATATTTGAAGACTAATCTGTAAATCTCCGTATTCGATCGATGCCGATCCAATCCGTTGCGTGTGATGTGACGTATTTGTATTTGACATGACGATTCATCAAGGCTCAGTACAGTGCAGCGAGATGCAATTATGAGACGCATGCACTCCACACAGAATTGTTTTGAGAGAGTGCGCCATGCGCAAGTGGCTTTGTTTACTTCTTACCGAAACACTACACGGCACACACGCATGCATTAGACTCACTTCTTTCTCAGTGAATATTTTTTCTTCAATTTATTTGTGTCCTCCTTCTCATTGTAAAAAAGTCGGTCACCTTCTTTTCAAGAACTGATTAAGCATGATACTGTGAGTGCAGAAAGCAAGATTATGAAATAACAAGCCACTCTGGAGCTGTTGGTGCCACAATCTTGCATTAGTATATGAAAATTTAGAAAAAGCTGGGCCTTCTTAATTAACACATTACATTTCTTTTTCTTTGTGGATAAGAGTAAGTGGCCACTCTAATTGCTAGTATTTTGCAGCATGAACTCATGTTTAAAAATCCTAATATTTTCTATGAATAATACAAAGCACAAAGTGATCTTCTTCCTGACATTTTGTTATTCCAAGGAAAAGGAATTAAGAAATGCAATTGGGTTTACAATAAAGAATTATTACTTGTGTTACATAGACATATCTAACTTTTTTCTATGGTAAACAGAATTAGGGCTTTGTATTTGCAACATCTATTTACCTAGAAAAAATAGGCATGTTATTTATTTATTTATTTATAAATTTATATACCGCCTTTCTCCCTGAGGACTCAGCGCGGTGTACAGACAGAATTAAAAAACATGGAATACAAATATTAAAAAAAACAATTAAAATATATATAAATTTGGCCCAAAATTAAAAATACAAACCAATTAAAACATTTAAAATTTCTTCTTAAGCCAGCCCGGCTTGCTGGAAAAAGTGGGTTTTAAGGGCACGGCAGAAGGCACTAAGGTCTTGGATTCTCCTTATCTCTGGGGGCAACTGATTCCAGAGGGTAGGTGCCCCCACAGAGAAGGCCCTCCCCCTGGGGGTCACCAGCCTACATTGATTGGCTGATGGCACCCTGAGGAGGCCCTCTCTGTGGGAGCGCACGGGACGATGGGAGGTCGTCGGTAGCAGCAGGCGGTCTTGAATATAACTAGGCCCGATGCCATGGAGCGCTTTAAAGGTGATAACCAACACCTTGAAGCGCACCCGGAAGACCACTGGGAGCCAGTGCAGCTCGCGCAGGAGCAGTGTTACATGGGAGCGCCATGTTGCTCCCATCACTACCCGCGCTGCTGCATTCTGGACCAGTTGGAGCCTTCGGGTGCTCTTCAAGGGGAGCCCCATGTAGAGAGCGTTGCAGTAGTCAAGGCGAGAGGTGACGAGGGCATGAGTGACTGTGCACAGGGAATCCCGATCAAAAAAGGGCCGCAACTGGCGAATCAGGCAAACCTGACAAAAGGTCCCCCTGGTTACAGCTGTCAGATGTTCCTCCAAGGACAGCTGCATATCCAGGAGGACTCCCAGATTGCGAGCCCTTTCTGTGGGGGCCAAAGACTCGCCCCCAATAGTCAGTGATGGAGTCAACTGACTATATCGGGATGCTATAATACTGTATCCTTTGGAAAGCAAAGCATTTCTGTCGATCCAGATATACACCTTTTCTCATCTCTCTTTAAAACTACAATAGACCCACCATAACTCAAAAACTAGAAGAAATTATGGAACTTTTCATACGATTTTATTACCTGCAGAGAAAGTTGAATGCATATTTTTGACTAATGGGATTTGTAAGGGCTGAAGATGGCAAGATGAGGATTCAGAGCAGAGAAAGCCTTTGTATAACATTGGTCAGTTCCATTATAATCTCATGGTTGAGGGAAAAACAATTAATAATCAACTAACAGGAAACAATTGGAAACAAGTAAAAAGTTGGGTTTGCAGCAAGTGAATTCTCCGCACATATATGGATTCTTTGATTGCAATAAAACAGTATATCTAGCAGTGTCTAAACTTTTGTTAGCAAATTCTTGAATATGAGGCCAAGCTTCTAGAAAAATAGTGATTAATAGCCACGTCAGGCCCAAAATCTCATACATATATTGTTCAAATTTAGTACATCAAGTTAAATCTAATACTTGATGAATTTCAGATTCATATGTCCTTAGCAAAGAACCTCACATGCACATACAAAATAAATGTGACAAATCACTCCAAGGCAAACATATACTTTAATTTTCACAAAACAGAATAAGTTGGTATTTTAAGTCTTCAGGTAGAGTTGTATTTCTGGCTTTGGGAATGGGGATAAATTAAAAAGAAAAATGGGATCCAGCCATAATAGAATTTCTTTTTTAAAAATCCAAATATATACATACTGAGCAAGTGTCCAATGTGGCTGTGTTGACTGTGGTGCCACTTAAGGGCTGAGATGCCGCACACTGGATTTACAATGAAGCTAACGGACATGTACTCCCATCTTACATGGATGAGTATAGCTGTTTGATGAAATGCATTGACTCAGTAACCTTGGATTGGGCCCTTAACTCTACAGAGTCTACCTTTTATTAACAAGTAAAAATGGTGGGTTGTTTTTTTTTTTTTTTAAGGAAACAAAAGCCAGCTTTTGTAAATTCTCACAACACCACAATGATCCAAGAAAAAAAAAAGTAGTACAAGTAATAAGACTAGAGGAGGGTCACCCACTGCTCTGATATTAGCAAACTGTCTTGGCTAAGCTTGGCAAAGGATTAGAAAGACTGAATACTTTCATAAGATTTGTTGCATTTCCTCTTAAGTGCTTTGTATCTTTATGGACCATCAAGACGAATCAGACTGAGACAGATAGACAGTCCAAAGAGACATTCCATTTTGCTGAATTAGTTCCTGATGAATATGAAATCAAAATGTTATTTATGTAATCATTACCATTTATCCCACCCTAGAATTTATTTGGCCATTTGCTCACTAAATGCTCATTAGAGCATTTTATTAATGATTTGTTGCTCCAGCAATGCTATAAATCTGTAGGGAGGAAATAGTTTATTTCACTTTTATCACAATCGGTGGCTACCATTCAAAATACAATCTGCCAAATAAGAGTTTCAGATTGCAGATAGGAATCAGACGCTTGAAAGATGACCGTACTAGTAATTTGTTTAAATTTTATAAAGCCAGATCTACTCAGTGACTCAGAATGAATGATACTTTGAAATGCACATAGCCAAAGTAACTCATATATTTAACCATTTTACAGCTAAAGCAATAGTCAATGTGGCTCTCCGGATGACAATGAATTGCAATTTCTATCACCTTAACTAAGGTGGCAGATGATAAGTCATACAGTATTTTAATTTAGCAGTATAGAGATGTCCACTGGTTGTCTGTTTCTGAAGTTTGGTCATTGATACGATTCTTTAAAAATGTTGTAGATGTCAGCACTAGAGTAAATGCAGCTGGACAGGGTTAGCATTTTTCATCCTGGGAGGCCACAATGAGATGGTGATGTCATCAGATTTTTCAGAGGGATGAGGAATTATTTTTCCTATAAGAATGGAGGAGAATATATACCTATATTGTGCAGAACTGACGAGAGGGTGCAGTGAGATTAATTAATTACTACCAATTTCATTTCATTGTTTGCTCCTTTGAAAGGAGAATCTCTATGCTGAGACATCCTCCATTCCAATATACAGGTAATTATTCAGATCAAAAAAACACACACTTTGTCTTCCTATCAAGTAAATATGATATATCTGAGCCACAAAATCCAGAACCTATCAGTGCAGAATCAGCCTATGGCAGTGGTGATGAATCTTTTAGACACCGACTGCCCAAACTGCGCACATGCATGCCCAAACTGAAAGGTGTGTGTGCGTGCATGTGAGCATGCATGGACATGCACAGACATGTGTGGATATGCATACGCTTGCGCATGCATGCATGGGCATGCATGCATATGCAGCAGAGACCCAAAGACCAGCTCGCCAGCAGGAGGCGGAGCATCCCAACACTAGCAGCACGGCAAAAGGTAAGATCTTTTTCTTTCGTGAGCTTCTGTTTCGGCATTTGCAGGAAAACAGAAGCTCACGAAAGAAATGCCACAGAGATCTGACCTGGGGCGACTGTGCGTGTGCCACGAGAGAGGGCTCTGCATGCCACCTCTGGCCACGCATGCCATAGGTTCGCCATCATGGGCCGATGGTATGAGGTACCTTAAATCCATAATGGATGTGATACTGCTGGCCAATGCAGATATACTATCTTTATCACTTGTTCATCTGTGGTGTTACCAATTATAATGATTGGCAGACTTGTGAACTATATGTTTGTTTGCTAACTTAGCCATTCATGGGATGGGGCCATAAAGAGCTTTGTTTTTGTCACAGATGCGTGGGTTGAGTAAATGAGATAATTTATGTGTGTCCTTAGAAAAGCGTTTAACTTAATTTTCTGCCATGTGATACGCTTGGGTCAGCAAAGATTTGTTTTCAGGTAAATGCCACTTCCCGTTAGTCCTCTTCCTCTATTTCCTCCTCTGAGTGATCTTCATTTTTCAAGGGGTCACTGAATTCAAAATTTCCTTCAATGTCCAGCACTTGCAGATGCTTCAGTCTTTGGAAGGTGCTCTCTTTCACAGCACTGAATGCAATCTTGTTAAACCTTGAAATTTAAAGGAAAGAAAATGAATAGAATTACTTCCCAATACTTTATTACAATGTCCTTCCTTGTCCTATAAATTCTATACTAAGGGAAGGATACCACTAAATGGCTTTTTGTAAAGAGAAAGGAGGTTAGTCTGTTTCTCTCCCTTTTCTACTCACACTTTCAGTTTTTCGGTTTCATCTCCACCCATTCTACCTCTCTTCATTCTTACAACTGATGTCTTACAATTTCAGGAGATTTCTATGTGCGTAAAGTAAGATCTAGAAACAGGTATCTACGATCACAATTGAGCCCAAAATTTTGGTTGCTAAATGAACGTTTGTGAAGTGAATTTTGTCCCATTTTGTGATCTTTCTTGACAGGGTTGTTAAGTGAAACTGACTTCCCCATTGGCTTTGCTTGTCAGAAAGTCCCAAAAGGTGACCATATGATCCCAGGACACTGCAACTGTCATAAATATGAGTCAGTTGCCAAAGTCTGAATTTTGATCATGAGATCACAGTTATTTTTCACAATGCTGTGAAAAACAGTCATAAGTCAGTTTTTTCAGTGAGGTTGTAACTTCAAATGGTTACTAAACGAACTGTTGTAAGTTGAGGACTACGTATACTATATCTGACAAGGATTTATAAGCACAACGAATGCACAATTTCTTGTCCATAAACAATTAACGCACATAACAAAACATGCTTGAAGTACAGTATAGAGTTCATACATAAAGAAAAAGGTATTTTTTACATTTGTGAAGCCATTTGTGAGAGTCTTTTTCCTGGCTACACACCTGAGATAAATTCCCTTGATATTGGGGGTGGAATCAAAGGCATCTTCTGGCACAGTGCTGATCTTGTTGCTCTGGAGATATAGATATTCTAGAGTTTCTGGTAAACCAGATGGAATCAAAGTCAGATGATTGGCAGCCATGTCCAGTATCTGGAAAAAGATCCACAAGAGAACAATTTAAATAATTAACAAAAGTCATTCTGATTTACTTGAAAAGAGTAAATTACTATAAATCCCACATTCTATAATTCACTCAGATCTATTTTTTAGGTGCTAGGTTTACTCAACACACCAGTGAGATACCCACAATACTGTAAGCATCAGTACCCAATAGCAGAGTGCAAGCTCTCATCTCTTCCCAGCAAATCCAACATTATTACCTTTGTAACTATATTTCTCATCCTCTCTCCTTCACAGTTACACAGACACACTATTGCTTTTGATATTCCATGTTCCTTTGTCTGTTCTGTAGTGTTACGTTTAACTTCCTTTTCTTTCATCCTGGTCAGCTAACATATTAGCAAGAGGAATTCCAGTTCTTTCACAGATACATTGAAACACAGCTATGGAAATGAGCTGAAGCTGAGTGCAAGGTGAACCTTTCCTTTCCTTTGGGGTTGGCTTTGACTTCTGTTTTCTGCCTTTTGGTTTTGCTTGCTGTAGATTTATTCTGGTGAACTGAATAGCAATAGCATAATGTTTGGTGTTTCAGATTGTGCCCATATAAACAGGACAGAGGGAATTCATTGATTACAGCTTCTGATTGCTTACTGTCACTGCTTAATTGTTCATGGCTCGTGACTGAAGTTCAATATTCTATATACTTTCATATGTAAGTGTCTAATTCTATGAAAGAATTAGACATCTCATACTAGATGAAACCATCAGTCTATGTATCCCAAAAGTATATACATCCAGGTTTGAACAACTTCTGGCCCTCAAGCTACCTGTGGCCCAATTTCAAAACTTACAATGAGTGATATGTTCAGATATTTAAGAATTATCTGTCCCTTCCCTACATTTTCCTCAGAAGAGGGGGAGGGAAAGAGATTGGTGGATAATGGATATCGTACGATTTTAGTTTCTCCCCCCCCCCCCACACACACAGAGAATTTTCTTCAGGTCAGCCTGAAGTAGTAGTACTTGATTTATGATCACAACTGAGCCCAAAACTTATCTTGCTAAGCAAGATAAGTGAATTTTGCCCCATTTTGCAACCTTTCTTAACACAGTTGTTAAGTGAATCACTGCAACTCTTAACACAGTTGTTAAGTGAAACTAGGTTCCTCATTGACTTTGCAGAAGTTGCAATTAAAAACTGTTGTGTTTTTTCCTAATTAGTACAGAGTCAAAGGCACTATCACAAGAACTTTAGAAATACATAGCAGGGCATGTCAATCCCGTGATTAGAGATAGAAATGTCTTTGATTCCTTAATATTCCACCCATCTCAATATACCTGTTGGTTTTTTATTCCTCCTTCCCCTTTTACTTGTCCATACTACCTACAGAACTTCAGATTCTATGATAAACTAGCACATTTTTTTTTCATTTTGTGTGGTTTGAATCATTCTTTCATTTTATATCTATTCCAGCTATGTTTTTCTCAGAACATGCACCTTAATTTTTCTCCCATAGATCTGTCTATATGAAAAAGTTAATTACTATTTTTATATCATTTATACACATCTCTAGATCTAGATACTCTGTACCTTAAGACTGGTGAGATCTCTCCATGATCCACTGTGAATTAAATTGTTTTTCAATTTGTTGGCGCTGAGATATAGCTCCTGTAGCTTTGACATGCCAGAGAGTGTGCCTTTGGGAATGGAACTGATCAAATTCATTTTTAACTTGAGGCTTTGCAAATTCTTGGGGAAGCCATAAGGCATGGTGCGGAGTTTATTGCCAGAAAAATCCAAGGACTTCAGTAGTTTCAGTTTACGGAAAGACTCCCGATGAATCTGTGAGCTGGTGATCTTATTGTAGCTCAGGTTGAGTTCCTCCATGAAATAAGTGGTAGCAAAATCCTCCCTGCCGATTTCTGAAATCTGATTGTAGAGAATCATAAGAGTTTTTACTCGCCTGGGCAGTCCACTGGGGATTTTTTCCAGCAGGTTGTTATATAAATGAACAGTGTGCAATTTCTTCAGACCATGAAAAGCCAGTGGATGGATCTCTCGGGCCTTGAGTTTGTTATTGTGAAGCAGAAGATATTCCAGGTTCTTGATTTGGGTCAAGACATCATTGCCAATTGATCTTATTGCATTCTTCTCTAAGTGGAGAAGAACAATGTTTCGAGGCAAACCGGGTGGAATCTTGGAAAGATTATTGCTAGACAAATCCAGGTACTCGAGTCTTGAGAGTTTCCTGGGGGGAAAAAAGGAATTCCTTATAAGTGTTTAAGCAGCCAAACACACAGTGTTAGTAGAGGGGAAATGAATAGGTTTTGCCTCTGTTTCTCATCACCGTAGCAATTGGAATAACTATACCTGCAATTCTGCCAGACTTTTTTTTTCATATGTACATAAAAACTGTTTCTACCTATAATAGTTCATGATTAATAAATCTCAGTTCAAGAATCCATGCCTAATGATTGCCCCTTTAACACTGCAGAAACAGGGAGTGGTAAAAAATCAACCTGGCAGCCATGACAATGTGATCAAAACTCCTGGGTCATAACACCATTATGGGTTTCAGATTGAATTTTTTGACCACACTTTGCAGACACTTGAAGAAGCCTCCTCTTGTAAGATGCCATTTTAATCTCCTGAAGAGCAAGATAAACAGTTAACAAAGCTTGTCAAAGACTAAATCAACTCCAGTTTCCAGTTTAATATCTTAATCAAAGGATGAGGCAAAAAAAGGAGTTAAAAATAGTCAATTATGTCTTACAATCAAAGAAAATAAATATGGATCCCTAACCCTTTAACAGTTGAGTATGTTTAGAAGAGTCCCATGGTTGTTTGTGACCATGCGAAATAATCCAGCTGCTATTATCCATTAAATGTGCATCCATTAAAAACTAACAAACTCACCAAAAGGTTTCATTGTCCATCCCCTCATTGTTTAATTTATTGTTCTGCAAATATAACTCTCGAAGATCTGACAGCTCATTGAAAGCTCCTACAGGAATCTTCTCCAATTTGTTATTCTGTCCAGAGACAAAGGGAACAAAGTGTGAGCCTCTTCACTGAAAGTTCAGTCCTCAAAGCATAAGAGGGATGTTCTAAGGTGATTGCGGTGACAGGAAGAGGCCAGAGAAAAAGCCAAATATGACCTTAAGCCTTAAGGCAATGTTCCCCACTTGTGTGATCTTCAATGAACATAAGAAGACAATCTCCAGAATTTCCTGCCAAATTTTTTTCTGTTCTAGAGCTTCCACTGTGGAATATCATTCTCAGGGGTATCAGCAGGAAGGAGATCAAAGTCTGACTCACCTCATGAGGTTTGTTTGGCATTGTGCTGGTATAGTTTGGCTACTGCCTAGAATGCAACTTTGATGTTGCCACTACTTTTTAAAGACTCTATCAGGTAGTTTTCTTTTTTAATTCTTTTATGGATTGTTTGTTCTTGGGCAGACAATATGATCCATAAATGCAATAGCTAAGCAGTCAATGTATTCAATAATTCAAAGGAATAAGCTTTATAAAGGCTGAGGTTCTCATGCAATGGAACTGATATTCTACCTTAAGGTGTAGCTTATACAATGCTCGTGGTAGATTCTTTGGAACATATTTTAAGAAATTGCTGGACATGATTAAGATTTCCACATTGTCAGAACCGTTGAACATGTTTTCTGGTAGTCCAGCATCATCAAGCTTATTGTTGTGAAGGTAGACTGACCTAAAAGAAGAAAATGAGAACTCTCTTATATCAACTACTCAGTCTAGTTATGTCAGCAGCTATCCACGCTCTTCCTGTCAGATATAATTCAATACAACTCTATCATGTGCCCACTTACCGCTTTTAGAGCTAAAGTACTCCAATTTTTGCAATGTTTCACTCTTAAGGAATTTGCTATCGAATCAGCTCAGCTGTCCTTTGCTTCACTTTTTCTAGCTCTAGTCTAAGGGTCTCTCCTTATTTGTCCTAACCTTGGGACCAACATGTCCTAGCAACCTTTTCTCTCTCTGGTTTCTCTTGATACTGTCTTCATTGCATGTCCACCCAGGAGCGAGAAGACAGCCTGATGTTGTCCTTAACTGTACTGTGGTTGAAATAGCATTTTTCCCTTACTCCATTAAGGACACCCTCAAAATTGATAAAATCTATTTGGAGTTTTTCATCCATGAGCCTTTATCTCATGGAGGAAAGTAAGGCAGTGGCTGGGAAGATGTCAATAGTGCAGAGTAGGGATCAGTGAATAGGACAGGCCCATCACAATGAGAAAAATATTTCCCTTGAAACGCTCTCCAATCTGAAATTAATCTCAGCAATATATTAGAGAATTATTTTTCTATGTTTTTTTCCCAAGGGTATCTTCTAAGTTATTATAAACCTTGTGATCAGATTAAAACAAAAAGGTGAATGGGTCAAGTGCATGGGAATCAAATGTTACCATGTGGATTAAATAACAAACTCTTTCTTGACACAAAACTATTTTGGAATTTTTTGAATAGTAAAATAATCAGTCTCATCCTTCCCAGTTAAATATGTGGTAATGCAGATGTTTGACTGTGAAAATGACCAAAGACTGCATAATTTGGGACAGTTTGACGCAGACGATAAGCTCAGTGACAGACTGGCAGAAAACCCAGGTTCAATCACAGGCAATAGAAGGCAAGAATCCTTGGCAGCCAGTGAATGTAAGCAATGCTGAAATGGGGGATTTAACATGGGCAAGAGAATTCCCTATATTTAGAGATGAAGAGAGAGGGAGGGGCTGTGTTTTTTTATTCTGTTCAAGTACAAGCATTTTAAATGCTTTACCTTTCCCAGAACTGTGCTGTGGAAACCATTGAAGCATTTAAACCAAACAAACAAGCAATTGTGAAATCAAATATAATTGAACTTTGCAAGATTTCGGTGTTCTTGCAGGACATCTTACAAGATGTCAGTCCTTCTGATGTATTATATTTTATATATTTATTTATAGTGTCAACACTATGCAAAATCACCCAATAGTTTAAAAGCCTAAAAAATGTCTGACTCCTGATTTAATTTATTCTTCCATCCAATCTGTAGTGGCATATTTGTATAAGAAACCTTATGCAGAAATATTTCAGAAATATTGCAGCGTATTTCCAAGCTCTCCTTTCTAAGAGAATCCAATATCCACTCAGAGTCACCCAAAGCACGGGTAGCAAATAAATTTGATAAATAAAAAAAATAAACATGAATAAATATGGTGTTCCTAGAATTTCTCACCTCCCAGAGAATCGGAGAGCATGCATTCTTATTCTTGCTATTGAAATACGTCCTTTAAGAAAAGCTAAAAGAAAAAAAAATAGCATCCCATGTGCATAATAAATCTCAGAACTAGCAAAGTCTTAATTAACAGGCCTGTTTTCTGAGAGATTTTGCAATCTGCATACAAGCAAGCAACATCCAGTCAAGATGCTAACATAGGTTTGTTTGTTTGGATCACTTCCTCCTGAAAGAAACATATTCTTACAAACATTCATTGTATGACTTTACATGCTGCTTCTGCTGTTGCTGTTGCTGATGATGATTCTTCTGCTGCAGAAACAGGGTCCATTAAACCCCCTTCTTCTCCCCCCCCCAAAAACCTCTTTTTTTTACCTCAGGTTTGGTTTTTGTCCAAAAGTGAGATCATAAATTTTTGTGAGATTATTGGCGGCAAAATCCACACTGATCAAAGTCTGTGGAAGGAACTTTGGAGCCATTGTGAGCTGGAAAAGGAGAGACAAGGCCAGAGAAGGAAATCATTGTCAGAGATATAAAGGCTTCAAGCACACTCATCCTTGAACATTAAATGGCTATTTGTTCCAGTGAGGAAAGGTATTATGACAGATACCATAAAGTTGCTTCAGATCTCTCAGGATTAAGGATTTTTACCTTCCTCTCTAATACTAATAAATACTAGTGTGGAATGCATTTAAGCTTTCACTTGGAAAGTTGTGCTTATTGGACTCAACAGATATATAGGAAGCACAGATTGAGAGAACAAATATATTTTGCACAGTTTGTGTGTCCTTCCAGAAATAGCTGAGTCTTCTTTCTTGGGAAAGTCCCAAGAAAACCAAGAGCTTGGGAACAAATCCTGCTAAACATTAATTCCACAATCCTCAGCAGAATGCAATATAAATAGGCCATTTATTTTTTTTTTGCAGAAGACTGTTTTTCTGGTTACCTTTGAGAACCATTGAGGTGCTTCTGACTCTGTTGTAACCCTGTGGAGATGTAATGGGGAAATCATGATGACTATTTAACATTTATTTTGGGCCAGTTGTGCAGTGAACATTGAATGGGGGGGGGAGACAAAAAAGATAAAAGAAATGCATTGCACATACAGAATGGCCTTCTGGTATTATTTTGCTTGCCAAGATCTATTTTAAAAAAGAAAAGGGTTCCTCTCATATGGTTTTGTTGCAAGATTCCCAAGATTTACATGTTGATTTTAAGTTGATAACTATTTACATAACATTTCATAGGAAAATATTATTTAATTAACTTCAAAATGCATCCAACAATTATTGCAGATTGAAGGAGTGTGATAATTGATGGAAATAAAATTAGGAAATGGGAAGAGGACAGACCGGGGGAGCGAGTGTGTATCTGAGCAGTTTAGAATTCTATTTGGGAGAATTTCACCAACCAACATTTTGCTGCCAGCTCTACCTCAATCTGAGAATCCCCTACCTGGAAGAGGCCAATGAGACCAATTTAGGTTATTAAATTCAAAACTCAATTCTGGAATCCCAAATTAAAGTATTTGCTATTCTTGACAGATGGCTGTTCATCCTTTGCTTGAGCAAATATACTTTATATGCCCAAGCCAGAATGAGACTGCATTTTATATACTGTATCCAGTTCTGGTTTTAATTTTTTAAAAAAAAAAAAATAGACAAACCTACAGGAGACTTTTTTGAACAACAAATGTTGTGGGGATATCCACAACAGAGACTTATGATTTTAGAAAATAAAATCCAACTGTTAGGAAAGATCCTGATTATTATTTTAAAGAAAAGCCTTATTATTAAAAAATCAATGAGGGATATTTGATTCTGGATGGAGCAGAGGCAATGATTGTGGTGTCTTACAGTAGAAGTGTTGTGGACTTTCTATGTGCAAAATACAATAATAGACTGTTACAAAGGGCATTCAGGTTTAATTCTACTATTGGTTTTACTTGTTAATAGGTATTTTTTTCTAAGTAGTAGATAAATGTGAGGCCAAATGGCTTGGTAATCAGTATTCTAGAAATTTATAAATTGTGTGCCTGCTTCGCAAGACTAGAGAAATATTATTTTTGAAATATATTTATCAGTATTCCACTAAGGGGGACAATTTATGTTTGTTTTGTTTTTTTCTTTTTATGCACATTTTTTCTTTGTGTGGTCTTGGATAGTTTTGTTTTGTTTTGTTTTTGTATTTCCTTTCTCTATTTTTTTTTAGACTTTGCATTTTAATGTTTTGAATAAAAATTAAGGAAAATATACAAACTGAAAGAGGTGCAAGAAAACGCAGCAGGGGAGGGGGCACTACAATCAGTCATACGGACTGAGAGGTTCTTTCCACATTATCCAAGTTATTCATGAACATATTGAAAAGTACTACTTGTAAATATCCCTATTCACCACTGCTACATTTACTTTGATATGTCTAAAATTCCTGATGTAACTTTTTAAATTTAATCTGAATGTTTTTATTTGACTGTAACACCTAAATGCACATTGTTAGAAAGCCTTATCTGCGGTTTTATAACCAAGGCTAGGCATGTAATGATTCACTGGGGAGGGCTAAAACTCCAGCCTATCCCTGTTGCTCTGCTCGAGATGAATTTCAGCTAAAGCCTGAAAATATATTTCAATCTCTTAGTCCTGAATATATAAAGTCATATTTTTTATGTGCCTCTGACGTTTGGTCGAATTCTCTTTTAAACAGGTTTGCTTTTATTATTTGGATGCAGTTTTCTTTTGCAGCACCAGCAGCACAAGGAGAGACCAATGGTAGCTATTCTATCTCGTAGGGGGGAAAAATTGGACACAAAAGTTCTGGAATATTAGTCATAGCCTGGCTTCGATTTAGTTTTTATGAAGCCCTCTTCACTGCCAAAAGTGTTACATGGAAAATTGTTGTAAATGAAGAAAAGGACACGGTGTTACTGGATAAGCAGTTTGGTACAGCAACTCCACAATAACAGTGCCCATTGTCTGAAAAAAACTAAGTTGCTGAACTTTCTCTTTATATGATGATGGCTGTCCAAATTTTTAATTATCAGCTACCAGCAAATACTATGGAGCAGAGGTGTTTCCAAAGAGTTATGGAGACTTTCATAACTGAACTCCAAAATTAAGAATGTCCCCTTCACTTATCACTGAGTTATTTACTGACCAGGCCAGTACATAAACAAATTAAATAACATTAATAAATAAAACAAAACCCTTGGGCTAGAATAAGGTTTGGCCAATGCAGAGCTCTAATGGAGACTGGCAGGAAATTAGCTAGTGAGGAAGAAAGAAAATATTTAATGTATATATTTATTAAACAAGTGATAACACAAGAATTTAGTGCCAATGATAGAACATTATAGAACATTGGAAACAGTATAACCAGATTTTAGGTCCTGAGCTTTCAGTGTGATGCTTGTTTTTCTGCATTATTGTAATTAAATATTTTCTCTTCATAGAGAACTTTGGTGGAGATACGCTAGCTGTATACTGATCTAAGATCAAATCATATGATTCAAATATCAGTGTTTATATAACTTCATTTCTCAGACATTTCAAATAAGGCAACAGTTTTCTCCCCTCTCTTGAAATTCCCCAGAGAGACTTGTGGCTCGTTTTTACTGGATGTTTTGAGCACAGGCTGAACAGCCAGCCATCTGCTGGAAATGCTTTTAATCAGATTCTTGCACTCAGGAAGGGGTTGGATTTAAATATCTAAATGGGCCTGTTGATTATTTCTATCATGCTATCAAATTAAGGGAAAATTTTGTGGTCAAGGAACTCAGCAACACAAGCTATCTTCCAAAACTGCAACAATTGTTAGGTGATTATTTGAATCCACCATTTAAATATTTAAGATCATCTAACATGATCTCACCCATTCTCTAATTTTCTAGTGTTCTAATTCATTTTTATATATAACAAATTCATGAAGATCCTCAAATACAGGAGAAACAGCATTAAATACAATGACTTTCCCTCAGAAAGGTAATATAAATTTCATCTCAATGTCACATACAGTACATGTAAAGATAAGTGAAGATTTTAACAGGAAAAAGAAACTATTTGCCTTTTATCATATCCTCATGAGTTTAGAGTTTGAAGAAAAATCTATGGTTCCTATAGGGAAAGGTGCATACATTTTTATTGATAATATATAAACAGGTGGCTGTGTTCCGGTTTGTTCGTTTATGTAAATGTATATCTTATCATTATGCAAATGTGTATCACATAACCCCTTCAATCTCTTTATATTATTAATTTTCATAGCATTATTATGTTGCCACTGTTGCCTAGCTCTCATCTAACTACTGTGGTAGTTTCCCTTAATTCCTCAAACTTCAAACCCACAAAGTTTTACCTGCCAAGGTATTATATTCCAGTTTACTTCCTTTTATTCTAGCTGGGGAATATGGGAGTCACAGGGCTACATATTGGAGGACACCAATTTGAGAGAAATAGCAACTCTTGAAACATTTGCTAACCTGGTTATTTGCAAGGTACAGGTAATTCAAATTCTCCAGCTGGTCAAATGTATTCTCTGGAAGCCCTTAAAAGAATATGGATACAGTATTTTGACAATTAGTATCTCACTGGTTGTAACCACTGCAATTTTTACCTCATAAAATATTTTATGTGTGTTATAATATTGGTTGCTGCTGGTGCTATTTGAAAACCCCCCAAAATACAGATTAACATTTTTATAAAGGTGTTTTTAATTATATACTTTGGGATCATCCAAGCAGATACTCCTGGCACATTGACTATTTTGAACAGCAAATTCCTGCTTCAGTTGATATTGGTGAGTTGTGTAGAACTATAGACTATTATCCCAATTAGGATAATGGTAACCACAGTCCTATCAGGAGTGAAATCCAGCAGGTTCTGACAGGTTCTGGAGAACCGGTAGCAGAAATTTTGAGTTGTTTGGAGAACCAGTAGCAGAAATTTTGAGTCGTTCGGAGAACCAGTAGCAGAAATTTTGAGTCGTTCGGAGAACCAGTAGCAGAAATTTTGAGTAGTTTGGAGAACCAGTAGCAGAAATTTTGAGTAGTTTGGAGAACCAGTAGCAGAAATTTTGAGTAGTTTGGAGAACCAGTAGCAGAAATTTTGAGTCGTTCGGAGAACCGGCAAATGCCGCCTCTGGCTGGCCCCAGAATGGGGTGGGAATGGAGATTTTGCAATATCCTTCCCCCAGGAATGGAGAGGGAATGGAGATTTTGCAGTATCCTTCCCCTGCCACACCCACCAAGCCATGCCCACAGAATTGGTAGTAAAAAAAATTGGATTTCACTAGTGAGTCCTAGTCCTTACTTATCAACTGTTTGTTCAGCAACTGTTCAAACTTACAACAGCAGTGAAAATAGAGATTTGTGACTGGTCCTTGAAATTGTGGCCCTTGCAGCATCCTCATGGTTAAGTGATTGCAATCTAAGTACTTGGCAGCTGGTGTGCCATTATGACAGTTGCAGCATCATATGGACACATTATTGGCATTTGCAACCTTCATAACAAGCAATTAAAGTCAATGGGGAAACCAGCAGGACGTCACAAGTCATGATCATGTGACATTATATTTGATGACCCAGAGTTATTTACTTAACAACTGCAGTCGGAACTGATGGAGCAAGCTGGCACAGTCACATGACATCACACTTAGCAACCGTACTGCTTAGCAACAGTGTTCCTGGTCCCTATTGTGGTTAATAAGTGAGGCCTACATGTATATCCAAATGGTTCAAATAGTATAGTTTGTTACAGAATAGGAACAGAGGATTATCATCCTTTTAAAGGCAATCTAGACTAAAGATAAAAAAAACTCAGAGGAATTTTTGAAGTTATCTGCCTCACAATTAGGTACATTAGAGCAGCAGACTGAGAATGTTAAATAGATACTGTCTTCTCAATGCTGATGAGATATTTTTTATTTAAAGCACAACATTTTCATCCAATTTTGTATTTATACAGAAATGATTCTTTTGCTAATTTTGTGCCAACAGTGGTGGGTTTTTTTTCTCTTTTAAACTCCCCCTCCCTTTTTTCTGAAACACAAATAAATCCATCAGATTTAGAAAATGCATCCATCAAACTGATAGTTCAGACCACAGTAAAGCTCTTCAGGAACATAATCATTTGCCAGGGGAAAAAAACAGGGCCAGGATATGAAATATAGCCATTTTTTCCTGTAATATTGTCTTTGCTGCCTATTATATTTACTTTTAAACTATCTTGGATTTCCCAACTTACCTTTGGATGTGAGTCTGTTGTTTTGTAAATTCAGTGTTTCTAGCCAGGGGAGACGTGCAAGCTGTTCTGGAATGATTGTTTCTATCTGGTTGTTCTAAAAGAAAAGATGCATTAAAAATAAAAGAGATTAGCCGAAAGCATTTGATCCCTAGTTAACTTCATTGCACAAGTTTTCTTTTGAAACAACAGGATCACCTGACTGGCAAAGAGACCACTCTTGAATGTGCTTATGCAGTGATACAAGTAGTCTTCAATTTACAACAATTTGTTTACTGACTGTTCGAAGTTACAATGGCACTGAAAAAAGTAATGACCGGTTTTCACATTTACGACCGTTGCAGCATCTTCACAGTCACGTGATCAAAATTTGGCTGCTTGGCAACTGGGATATATTTATGACAGTTGCACTGTCTTGGGGTCTGCAGGGTCACCATTTATAACCTTCCCAGACAACTTCCAACAAGCAAAGTCAATAATTGGGAGAAGTCAGATTCACTTAATAACCCCAATTCACTTAACAATTGCAGTGATTAGCTTAACAAATGTGGCAGAAAGGGTCATAAAATGGGGCAAAGTTCACTTAACAACTGCTTTGCTTAACAATGGAAAGTTTGAGTTCATTGTGGTGATTAAGTCGAAGACATTTGTTCAATTTTGTCTGTGTCTACAGTAAGCTTATTAAAATAGGGCCAGGACTGAAAGAATTCCTCTGAATCCACTCAAAAGCTTAGGCATAACAATTAATTATGTTGTTGTTGTTGTTATTCCTAGTGATTTGCAGCACTTTGGATAGGAAGGTTTTAAAAAAATATTTTGGCCTATGTGGGGGTGAAACACAGCACCAATTTGCAGTTCCTTAACTCTGAAATTTTCCCAGGATTGGGCAAATGTTTTTCCACCCCAGCTTTTTGTGTAAATGATATGAAAACAACAAGTATCTTAGATCAAAGTGCACTTGCCAGGTAAATAGATTTTACCTATTTACAGGTAATCCTCGACTTACAACAACAATAGAGCCCAAGATTTATGTTGCTAAGAGAAACATTTGTTAAGTAAGTTTGCCCCATTTTACAACTTTTCTTCCCACAGTTGTTAAGTGAATCACTGTAGTTGTTAAATTAGTCAAACTGTTGTTAAGTGAATCTGGCTTCCCCATTGACTTTGCTTGTCAAAAAGTCACGAAAGGGAATCCCATGACCCTGGGACACTGCAATGGTCATAAATATGAGTCAATTGCTAAGCATCTGAATTTTGATCATATGACCATGGGCATGCTACAACGGTTGTAAGTGTGAAAACTAGTCATAAGTTACTTTTTTCAGTACTGTTGTAACTGAGAACGGTCACTAAACAAGCTGTTGTAAGTCAATGACTTACAATAATTACAATTAGTCCTTTTTAGGCACTGCGTCATTAAAGGACCAATCCCAGTTATGATAGTGATGGAAAAGTAACTTTGTAATCAATCCTTGCATTTACGACCTTTGGAAGATAAAGCAAACAAAAGCTGAAGTAAGATCATAAACATAATCACCATTTCCGTTAGCGCCCGAATTGCTGGTCCCAGTTGTGGTCACTAAACAAAGACTACCTCTAATGAGTTCATGAGTGACCCAATTATGGTCACTAAACAAGGACTATCTCTACCTCTTTCCCACTAATCAGTTTTTAAAAGTCAGTTACAAATTTTGCAGTGAACAAATATTACAAGGTGACTAAGGTGCAAGGGGGCTTGCCTCATCCAAGAGTTGTCAGTCCTTGTTTAGTGTACCTATACCTGTAAGGAAAGGTGGCTTGTCATTTCTGGGACATCCATGGGGAATTCTTTCAATGAAAATCCACCACAATCCACAATTCCTTCTGAGGTGCACGTGCATTTTTTCGGACAATCTGGAGCCAAGGAAGTATCTTGATGATTGAGCAGCTCAGGAGAATGTTCTGGGAACTCGTTGCTGTCTTCGTTGTTCTGGCCTTGAATCCTGCTGGAGTTAAGTACCAATAGCCACAGCACTGGAAACAGGAATAGGATCTTCAGGTACATTTCCACTGAAAGCAAGGAATTACAATGTATTGGGGATTGCTGCTAGCTATTTTTCATAAATAGGCACAGTCTTCTATAATGGCGAAACATAATGCACACACACACAAAAAAAAACAGAAAAACAAGTGGCTAAACCTTATTTACTCTCAGGTATAACCAATCAAGAGTTCTGTAAGATGACTACAAAATCTGCCAATCAAATGTAGAACTTAACCTTTTCCACTTTTCAAAATAGGAAAAAGAACATCTATCTTGTGGGCACCAATAAAGCTCCTTTATGCTCTTGTGGCTCCTATTCCTAAACCCTTGATTTATTTCTTTTAGATTATTTTAATTTTAAAAAAATATAAAGATGGCATCCTGCAAAAGGAAGACTCCGCTTTTATTTATAATAGTGCATCTGGGCTATATATATCTCCATAGGTATTCTTAGAAAAATGACAGTAGGTTGCTATACCCAGAGTTTGCTTAGAAGTGGCACATCAATCCTGAAAAAGTAATAGACTGATTATGGATCCATGGAACAACTTGACTAGGATATCAGCTTATACATGGTATTTTGTGATTAATGATGATCAACATAACAGTCATTGTATGATAAGTATTCACAACATAACCTTACCTTTCCAAATATGTCCATCAGCCCCAAAATTCTACTTCTAAAAGTATTGTAACAGAAGACCAATTGTTATTATCTTAGCATTTGTGTATACCAAGAAAAAAACTGCTGATGAACTTTTTCTTAATCTACAGCAGCTCATAACCAAATTTGTCAAGTCTTTCTTACCTGGTATGCTTTTAATAATCACTACTGAAGCTTTTTAAATTTAATTAATTGATTAATTAATAATTAATTATCTACCTTTCTCTCTGGAGCTGTTCCCATTTTCCCATAACAACACTCCTGTGAGGTGGTGTAGCTAAGAGAGTAATTGTCCCAAAGTCACCAATGAGTTTTGATAGAGGAGGGTGGACTTGAGCTCAGTCGCCCCAATGTCAGTCCAACTCCAAGCCCCACAACATTTTTAGCTTTCTAATTACACCTTGATCTATATCAATATCGTATACTTAATAGTATTATTATGCACCTTATGTATACCGAATGTGTATTGCCTACATAGGTATTCACAGTAACCTTATAGAACAGATTTTTCACTCCAAAGACTTAGGGTTCAACAACCTGTTATATTAATAAAATAATTGTTTGGATCCTCTCCATTTTGTTGGTAATTTCTTTGGAGATGTTTTCCACCACACCTCTTCTTTAACTTGACATTTTTCCCAGTGTTTAATTTTTCAGAGTATGACCACTAAGAACAAACCAAAGAGTGACAATTTTTCAAAAACAAAACGAGTCATTTAATTTACTATGTTGAAAGCTAGTCGATGGATAAAATCTTTGGCAGACTTAGATCTTTTCCTATCTGCCTAGTTGAAGGGCTTCCCACCCCTCTGAGTAGGCAAAAAACTAAATTATCATGATATTTGCTCTCCCCCTTGTTAATATCTAGCCTGCCTCTGTTGTCTGTTTTTAATCACCGAGGTCCCCTGACTTCCTTCCAAAATAAGAACTTAACTTAATAACGTAACATAAAATGATTTAACAAATAGTACACACCTTGCAGTTGCCCTTGGATGAAGTCACAACGTAGGACAAAGTCTTACTCAACACTGGTTTAGCTAAGGATAACTGAAGTTTCCCTCAGGGAATGGAGACAAGATAAAAACCACCTCATGGCAGAAAAATAAATATTAAAAAATAATTGTTCTCAAGGGCATGCTTGCAAATGAGCAAGTTCCAAAGTTCATAAATGTGTAATATTCTGTTTCAAACAGAATATTATTGCCTCAAACCATGCAAGCCTTTTGATATTTAAGTTTATGTTCCACATTAATGAGTTTTTCCAGAGACCTCCATAGGGTTTAATTCTAACTTCAGCGTCAGAAACTGATCCAAACTATTTGTTGTCCACACTCCAATTTCAATCATCAGATCTTAAATGACTTCCATTATCAATAAAATTGCTGGCATCTTACTTAAAGGATGATGAGTATGTTTGCTTTTATTTGATCTCTTTCTCTCAAATATGCACATACACATACCCACATAATATACAGTCTGTATAAAGAACAAATACATATGAATATACATCCTAAATACACACATGCGCACACGCACACACATAAATCAACATAAATGGATGCAATGTTGAAATGAAAAGTCACATGATAGGTTACCTAGATTTTTTAAAAATATAACAAAATAAGAGTTGCTTGTTTAAGAATGTGTCTCAACGCTCTGCTTGCAAGGAACAAGATCATGCTTTTGGCATCAATCTTTCCCTCCTCTGAAGCAACAGCAGCTCAGATACCCTGGGACATGTTTGGAATAAAGAAACATCTGCTAGGTTTCACAAAGCAGGTAATCATATCAGGCAAGTTATTCCAATTCCTATTTTAGTTCAAAGAAAATCTTGAGGTGATTTGCTTTTTGAAAACCTCGGTTTATATAAAGTGCCTTAGTCAAAGCTTGTCCTCACTTCAAGCCTCTGCCAAGACTTCACCAAGGGTTGGCTAAGATCCTGTGACTCTCTACCAAGCATAGTATAAAGTTACTAATTTGACGGGTACAACTTTTTTTTTTAGGATCTAAAACAGAACCTCCACCAATCAAGTCATAGAATCTCAGTATCATTGTGGTTAGGAACGATGTCTCTGGAGTGCTTGGGTGTGCAAGGAATTGTTTGAAAGTTATCTCCTGGGGGTGGGGGAAGCAATTGGACATGCACAGAAAATAAAAAGTCAATGACTCTGGTGCCTTCAGGCCTCTGCTTTGCCCCTTATTGTTTCCTGTATCCCTTGATCAGCATTATTAGGTTATGCAGCTTTGGGTGTTCAGAATGATTTTCCAAAGAGCCCCTGCCATTTACCACCTACAACCAGGCAACTAAAAAGTTAAAGTTCAGAAATAAACTCACCTCAACTTTGTGGACAGTGATGGAAGTGTCTGGAAAAAAAATGTCTCTCTGGTCCCCCCCACCAAAGGCTCCGTTTGCTCATGCCATGGCAATTATACACGCCGAGTGCCGAACACTTTCCCCCTTTCCCGAATCAGAGGCTTTCCAGATGTGATCAGCACAACTAGAAAGGAAGGGGGGAGAGAGAGAGAGAGAGAGAGAGAGAGAGAGAAAGAGAAAGCAACTTCTCCACCAAAGAGAATTTCCTGTCCTTTTTTATGCAGGAAGGAATTTTCCAAAGTCACCATATGGAAAAATGTAAGTAAACAGGCTGAAGAATGTGGGAGATAAAATATGAGAGAAATTCGTAGCTGTGATATGAATTCAGTGGCTTGCGCACTCCCAATCATTTTTATCAGCATAAGCTGAGGGAATAACAAGCAAAGTGAAAGAGAGACCAGCCAATTTATCCTAGGCAGCCTAAAAAGTGAAGAAAATAATTCTTAAAGCCTTGCCTTTTTCTAATAGCATTGCCATTTGAATATTTTCTGATTTCTAAATCTCAACCTTGATACCCACTGACACCAATTACTTCGTATATGGATACTTCTTGAATGTAAACAGGGGAAGTTATCATTTGCCCCAATCATTTTTATCATTGCTTGGGGTTTTCCACTCCACTTGATATTCTCCTCAGTGTCAGGTTCACATATTTCACATGTATGTGGGATATGAACAAAGAGCATACTGTCTTATTCATCTCTTTTTTCAAGGGAGAAGTTAATTTCTTCATGGAACTGAAGCAGCTACTGTTATTTCAAACGCTTCCAGGTGAAGTGCAGCAGAAGAGTAAAATAATTCCTTTAAGACCAGCTTTATAATAAGTCAACAATTTAAACAGCCCTTGGATTGACTGACAAGATACTTATGGGAATTATGCAAATTCTTATCTCAAGTACTAGCCTGAGATTCTGCAATGGTTCCTTCTGAAATCCACTGTGTTTATTTAGTTGTGTTTAAATTTCTGTTGTTTCATCTCCATCACCACTTTTGGTTTACTTTCACCAAAAGGCAAGAGCAAAACGAATGCTTTCATCGAATGTATCAATTGTTTTATGCAAAACTACCCAGTATGGAAAATGTATTTTGCACTTTTCTATTCTGTACATCTACAGGCTGGAATCCAGGATCATACACGCAACCTAGATTTCAGAAAGCAGAATAAATAGGAGCCTGAGTGGCGTAGGAGGCTAATGCCTCCTACTAAGGCAGCATTTAACATCCAGATGCCTGCAATTACTGCGAGTTCAATTCTCACCAGGCTCAAGGTCGACTCAGCCTTCCATCCTTTCTAAGGTGGGTAAAATGAGGACCTGGTTTGTGGGGGCAATAAGCTGACTTTGTATAAAAATAAACAAAAGTATGAAGGCTATTGCTTAACGCATTGTAAGCCGCCCTGAGTCTCCGGAGAAGGGCGGCATATAAAAATAAATAAATAAATAAAATGCATTCATTTCAAGGTTCAGAAAAGTCCTGGGTTTTGGGAAGTGGGAAACTTTTCATCAAAACATGAAACCTTAACCAGTACACTTTTCCCCAGCACCTCAGTTCCCTAAATACAGCATACACTTTATTTCTTATGTTATGATTTGTTTCTGTGTTCATTGCTGGCAGTTTCAAAAAAACCTGTAAGTTGTTATAATTTATTTCTGCCCACCAGGCATTCAAAGTGAGTATTGTCCCAAAGGTGCTTTTGCAAAAGGCAACTAGACTTTGTTTTTCCTTGTTTTCCTTCCTTTCCAATGAAAGAACACCCATAACCTGGATGACTGAGAATCTCCATAGACAAAGTAAGTATTATGCTACTTTCAAAAGCAACTTATGGAAAAGAAAGAGAAAAAAAGTATTTGGGGGCGTTAGAACAAAGGGTACTTGAAAGCTTACCTTGTGTTTACTGAAGCTAGTCATAACACGGATGTTATCAATGATGGATTTTGGATTTTTTTCCAGTGGATTGACAAAGCTATGGTTTTTTTAAAATCATCTTAAAATTCTATTTTGAAGTGTTGGAAGAAGTATCCTTCTGGGTTCAGCTCTAAGTGGGGAAAAAGACACTGGAAACATGGAGACTGCTTGGAAAGATGGTTTAATGGTGGACAGGATCACATGGCTTGAGTTCCTGAACAGAAAAGGGGTGAGATACAGCGAGTCCCTGGGTTTTATGCTCTCTCTGGCTTTGAACTTCCTGGGGCCCTGAAGGAGTATTCTGATTGGTTGTCAGACTCCCAGGGGGTGGGGTCTTAGCTAGCCTTCCTGGCTGATGTAATCTTCCCAGGTGCCATGTGGTGAGTTTCTGTCCTAGATGGGTCCCATTGTGTTGCAGATGAGTTTCAAAGATTGAAAGGTTGAGTTTCTGCCTCTGGCCCATTGACAAAGGGGTGGGGCAGGAAAGTGGGAGCTGTTTTGTCTTTAAAACATGCTTCTCCATTTCTCATACAGGGAAACATAATATTCTGCCTTTTTAATATTTCATAAAATATTTTATTCTTCTAGGAAAGGGTTGGATGCTAACTTCCTACAGAAGTGAAATTTGAGAATGACAGGAAAAATTGACTGACTTGTACCACGCAAAATACTTTGTCAGCCTTTTTAACTGGCATTCTCCAGATAGGGTGTTAGCTGGGAATTATGAGAGCTGAAATCACATACTTCTAAAAGTTTTGAGCAGAGTGGCTTGGGGAGAGGGGGATGAAAAGATAAGGGAAGAATAACAAAGTGAACCTGAGTTTTATTTTGCTATCTTTGGGGGACCATACAAAAAAGAGAAGGAGATAGTGAGGAAGCCTTAAGATTAGCTTGAATTATGTGGGGAATTCAGATCTGCCAATTGATCTCTGCCATCCAAAGTCATTTGCTGAGATGGCTATAGAACTCATTCAAACAAATAAATAATAAAAATCACAAGGACCTGATGGTGTGAGAGAAAGAGCTTTTCTGTGCAAGAAGTTTGAGTTTCTCCTAGATTGGTTTCACATCCTGTGGTCTCACACTGTACTTTTTCTTCAACAGTTGAGCCAATTCATTTCCCTCCAAACTGCAATGGGCAACAAGGAAAAGCTTGGCCTAAAATCTAAGGGAGAAGAAGAAAAATTGATGCTAAATTCTGTTAGTTCTTCCCTTTCTCTTTGGTAGGGAATGTGCACCACACAAACAGCAAGCTTATGACTTGGTTTATTTTTATTTTGTATATTCCGTTTATTATTTACAAGGTTTATAAACTGGTAGACAGAATACACTTGGGAAAGGCGATCCCTAAGACTCTGAGCCTTCTAAGGATTGATAGATAAAAGCCAGTTCCCAAGCTGCTTTTCCAAAAGGCAAATGGAATTTCTTCGTTTTTTCTTTGAAAGTGTTTCGCTTATCATCCAAAAAGCTTCTTCAGATGTTCTTGGATGAGAAGTGAAACATTTTGAAGGAAAAGAACAAGAAAGTCAGATTGCCTTTTGGAAAAGATCTTGCATTTCACCCTGGGTAAAATTCTGGATGGTCTTCAAAGAAAGTCTATGAGGATGAGTGTAGCTTCTCCTTGTATAATTCTGGTTTTAGACCTTAGAAAGCTTGCTTCTAGAGCTGCTATTTGTCTTCTGACAAAGGTAAGAAGGTCAGAGTCTCAGAATTGTACATTGCCTTGCCTGTTAGGCATTTCATTGACCACTAGTCTTTGAAACTATATATATTAAGATGTTTATTTCTGGTTGTTTGTAGCCTCACAGGTATCTTCTACTGTGTAGTATTTAAATAATTTTCCTGAAATCTTTACACCCAATAAAGAGAATGAATCAAGGGCAGAGGATGGGAATACAGTACATTTTATGGAAACAAAGTGTATTAAGATTGAAGAGATAATCCTCAGTTAATGGATTTCCTAGATACAGCCCTCCTCCCTTGCATTTGTCCTACATTTTTAGACATTAAGTTTAGATTATGTCGAAAGTGTCTTTGTATTGTATTTGGGAAAGTTTAAATGAGTAGACAGTGTGTGGCCTCTGGGCCCCCTGGAAACACACACTGTCAAAATTCAGTGACAAATCACTATACAGTCATGGTATAATATATCAGCAATTGTACAAACAAGATCAGATGTATTAAACTTTTTAATAAGCTTGAGGTATTTAAAACTACCTAAGATCACAGCTATATTTGAAGACTAAATAAGTTAATAGGAAAAAATGGGGGAAATGTCCATCCAGTTTTGGGATTCAATCCCCAAAATACTAGAAATATTAGAAAAGGTTTCTAGCCAATGCTGAATTAACCTGTGGTACATTATTATCACGGATAGTTCAGAATATGGAGCACCCTGGCCTGTAAACTGCTTCTAGAATACAGTATTTAAGAGTTTGTAGGATCTGCCCCTTCTCCAGTGTCTGCTCCCCTTCAATAAAAAAAGAAGTCAGCCTCATACTGTAGTCTCTTAACTACCTTAGCAGCTAAGCAATCCCAATCATTGATTTAAATGATAGTTTAAGTTAGATTTGAATGATCAGTGACACCGTTTTCTTCCCCTCCTCTTGGACCCCAAAGCAGTTTGAAAGCAACCTGTCTTTGGTAAGGTTTATGGGGCAGTGCAATTTGTAAAATATGGAAACACATATGTAAAGGCACAAAAATACCTCTGACAGGTTAATGATATAATTTTGGCAGGTTTTCCCTTTGGCAGCTTTTCTCTAGCTATTGGTGCCTGTTGTTACAGATGCTGGAACTATGATGGAGGTAACTCCTAAACAATGCAGACAGGATTGGGAATTGCATTCTAAAATGCAGCCAGATTTTACGTGGCATAGGTTCCCCATCATGGGCCTAGACCAGGGCTGAAATCCAGCAGGTTCTGACAGGTTCTGGAGAACCGGTAGCAGAAATTTTGAGTACTTTGGAGAACCGGCAAATACCACCTCTGGCTGGCCCCAGTGGGGTGGGAATGGAGATTTTGCAATATCCTTCCCCTGGAGTGGGGAGGGAATGGAGATTTTGCAGTATCCTTCCCCTGCCACACCCACCAAACCACGCCCAAGCCACACCACACTCACCAAGCCACGCCCACAGAACCGGTAGTAAAAAAATCTGGATTTCACCACTGGCCTAGACATCCTCCCAAAATTCCTTAGTCAAGGTGATCCTGGGTCAATGTTCAGAATTCTGGGAATTGAGGTCTGGAGGATTCCTTGATTGGGAAAGACTAGATGTAATTTTTTTAAAAAATTGTGTGAGAAGCAACTCATCCCACAGTGCAACTGGCATTCCAAAGAGAATAGTTCCACATGAACAGTAGGCAAGCACGCACATGCAGCTCCATTTGCACGACTGGTGGCACACACACTCGCCACTTGCACAAATGCAGTGTACACATGCTTGCCCGCTACTCGCACAAGTGAGGCTGCACATGCACACACTCCCCAACCACTTCTGCCCGGTTCCAAATGGCTCAAGGTCCTGTAGTGGGCCGCAGCCTAGGGGTTGGGAACCCCTGGACTAGACAAAACCTGATCCTAATTGATTCATTGGTCAATGGTGATTACATAAGTGAAAGCCAACTTGGAATGAAGGATATGCAAGTTGAACCATTTATAACTGGAATCAGCAATGATAAAAAACAAAGCATAAATTAAGCAAATTTAAAATGGCAAAATTCCTGAGTTATTCAAGGAAGAACTTCTTGCACATATAACTATTCTGGCTAAAGGTGAGTTAGCGCCACCTAGAGATACTGTATTATGCTGACCATAGCTTCATACGAAGTATCGATAGAATTACTTTAGAGATAAAGAAATGTTATATTTACAGCATGTTTCAGGAAATATAGTAGTGTGTGTGTGTGTTGCAGTGTTCCTAAATCATTCTCCTGATCACAGTTTAATACATTTTTAAACCATAGGACAATTTGCTATCGATTTTGGTCAGAAAAAATAATTTAGTGAACTTTAATGTTTAAGCAAAATGAGAAAATATATTAAATATTTTTATCATTAGCATTAGATGCTCTCATGCTAAGGAGGATATTGGGCAGCAAGGGATCTCCAGCACTTTTGGTCTTGCGCAAGTACTTCAGCGTCTTTCCCATGTGATATTTAGCCTTCCATGATTTTGATCCACAATTTCATAAAATCATGATTCCATCACACTAAATATTTACAGTACATATATTGCACATTAGCTATCTATGGATAATTCTTGTTTAATCTGTGCCTGAAGATATGAAACTCCAGTCTTTTATCTTTTTCCAGGTAAGACGACTTATCAGCTGACTGGTGTTGATGAAAGTTATAGTCTAATGCAAGGGTCCCCAATCCACAGACCAGCACCTCTCTGAAGCCCAACAGGAACTGGGCTGCATAAGCAAAGCTTCATTTGCACAGGATCCAGGCAGTGTGGAAAGCTACGCCCACCCACCCACCTCAGTCTGTGGAAAAACTGCCCTCCATGGAACCAGTCCCTGGTCTAACATAATGTTTCTCAACCATAATCATCTATATATCTTATTTAATATATTATTAATATATATTCTCAAATCTACTACAGCACACTATAAAAACATTCAAAGAAAATAGAGAGATCTCGTACCAGTCACAGGAGTAGCGTATAAAATTATTTTGGTAGAAGTGTTATTAAATGTACAGAGGTATCTAAAGTGTGAAAGGTTTTAGATATACTTTTTAATCCTGAGTCTTCATTACTTTGTTTTAAAAGCCTATATTAATTTTTGTTTTAAGATGGATACCCCATGAATTGTAACACCAATCTTTGTAACCTATATAAATAATTATTTTTAATCCAATATGCAAAACAACCCTTTTCATTGTGCAAAGTGTTGTTTTCATGCTTAACATGATTAAGTTATACTACTTCTGAGTGTTTATTATAATGAACATGACAAAAAAAAAAAAGAAACCACAGATGCAAATAGAAGATTTGATTTAAATTTACTAAGAAAGTTGCAGAACAGAATACATTACCTCCAACCAGAATGGATTAAAAAAATAGCATATTATAAAGGAATTTATTAAAGAATTATCAGTTTCCTTATCTAAGTATATCATAATTAAACCAATTAAGTGTTTAAAAAGTATTTATCATTGTCTTTATAAATATGCAGAAAAGCACTACAATAATATTAATTACAACTAGTGCTGTCTTATTCAGCTCCATTAATGCAAACAAATTGATTTCTAATCCAATCCTTGCAAGTTAGGAAGCAGCAAATTGTTTTAGATAGTAACATCCAAAGAAAAGTATACTTAATTCTATGCAACTGTGGGAACTTTGGACTTCAATACTTCCCTGACAATTCCAAATCACCTTTGGAAAAAAAATGGGTTGTGTATAGCCATTTGTGTTATGTCAGCGGGTTTTATATACAAATATATGTATATATCAGCCAAAGGGGGGGGAAAAAACCCTTCTACTTGTCCTTGTCTAAAATGACTCAGTAGATTCCAGCCAAAATACAAGGGTATTTCTTAATCAGCTATGACAAATATAAAAGAATAAAAATGAAACTGTGGAGACATTTTTGCCAACAAACCACATTTTCTTTCCTGCTGCTGTTCTTAGTGTTAAAAATTGTACAAAAAAATACGGCCAATTGAACTCTCATTTTGCACTTTGAAAAGTAATTTTGGATGGATTTGCATCAGTCTATTACATACCACATAGTCTTGGATACTTTAATGTTAATATTTTACCAACTTTGTAATGATTTTATGGAAGGCAATGCCAAAATTTCAATTAAACAAATGCTTCAAGAAAGCTAAAGTCAAATACATGTATTTGGAGAACATGCTACTTCCAACATCTAGTTCCAGCCTAGTTCTTAAGGAACTTGTTTTCCAAGTTTCCATCTCGAAGTCAGAGTGGCCAAGTCAGAGTGGCTCAAAGCTTAGCTTTTCCTGGTTGGAGCTGTAGATTCTGTAGCTTCATAGCCATGCCCATATTCCCAGAAATTTTCAACTTCCCTTGAAAGAAAGCCTAGATTAAAAAAAAAACAGAATCATGTTTCACTTGTTAATGTATTCATTCAATTCTAAATAAAATGTCTTCTAAGATCATGCCTTTTAAGATGGAAGCCAAATAATTTGAGGCTAAATAGTGATTTTATTTTAAAATGATCTTTTTCAAGCGTGTATAAATCAGTCTACAGATCTAATTTATTTAAATGGGAGATGAAGCAAATAATTTGATAAAAAAGGAAAACCTTTTTACTTCTTTAGACAAAATAATTTTTCAGTGAGGTCTGGATAAAGAAGCCATTTTGACCATAATTAATCTAAAATTATAATTGACAGCAGGGGGATTTTTAAAAAGATTGTTCAGGATACTGAAAATCCAATCCACTCTTAATTTATTGCCAATTTGAAATTACTTTGAAAAATGTATTATTGAGACTTCCGGGGAAGAAATGGTGAAGTAAACATTTTTCAGTTTTTTATTTCTTTTCTACACCTTCTAAAGAGAATTAGAAAAAGAGAATTAAAAATTCTAAAGAGTATTTTTAAAATTCTTTTCTTTTTTAGTTTTTACCTTCACTAAAATTCACTATTTAAAAAAAAAAGCAAAATGTATTTATGGAAGTAGCCTCTGTGGACCACATTTAAGCAACGTTAAGCTAAACTAGAGTCCCTCTTTGAAGGCGATACAGAAATGTGAAAAGCAAATAAAATAAATAAGTATGTACTCACAAGAATTAATGTAACTCTCATTTAATCTAAAATAATTTTGAGGGGAAAATAAGGCAAGCTGTTTTCATTAATCCTCTGCGATAAAGTAATAGAGATATTGAACGTGGTATAATTTATTTTGCTTTTTACTTACGGTCTGAGGATTCATCTTTCCCGTCATCAGTGACAGCAAATCTTCATCACTCATTGCAATTGTACAGTCGGCTTTCTTATCTATGGTGGCCAGAAAAAGAATATTTGAAGTATTGAACAGGACCCTAATTACTAAAATATTATCTTTGTTCTTGGGGATATTCTACTTTCATATTATGGGTGACTCGGTAAAAGTAAGATATCAAAAGTTCACAAATATTGATGGCAGACAAGTAAAAATTATAGCTGATAACATTATGACAGAAAAGTTGTTACAGGTAGCCCTTGACTTACAACCATTTGCTTAATGACCATTTGAAGTTACAACAGCACTAAAAAAAGTGACTTATGACCGTTTTTCATACTTTCGACTGCTGCCATATCCCCATGGTCATGTGATCAAAATTCGGATGCTTGGCAACCGGTTCATATTTTTGACAGTTGCAGTAACCTGGGGTCATGTGAAAATCTTTTGAGAACTTCTGACAAGCAAATGGGGAAGCCAGATTCATTTAACAACCATTTACTAACTTAACAACTGCAGTAGTTCACTTAACAACTGTGGCAAAGAAGGTTGTAAAATGGGCGAAACATATTTAACAACTGCCTTGCTTAGCAACAAAACTTTTGGGCTCAATTGTGGTCGTAAGTCGGGGACTACCTATAGTGCAAACATAACCACTGACAGAGTCTGGGCTATGTATTATCCAGGTCATATTACTCAATTTATAGAATAACTTTGGATAAAAAAAATAGTGATTTGTATTGGAAGACCTGAAAGACCAGTTTAAGAGCTATCATGGAAAAAATCCACGAGGGTGCTAGGAGTCAAGAATGTCTTGATGACATATAATAAATAAGATGATTCAACATTCTGGTGACCAACCACAGCAAGAAAAAATTTAGACTGAGGAATATAAATTTTCAGGGGTTTATGCCTATATAGCAATAGCAATAGCACTTAGACTTATATACCGCTTTACAGTACTTTACAGCCCTCTCTAAGCGGTTTACAGAGTCAGCACATTGCCCCCAACAATTTGGGTCCTCATTTTACCCACCTCGGAAGGATGGAAGGCTGAGTCAACCTTAAGCCTGGTGAGATTTGAACTGCCAAATTGCAGGCACCCGGCAGTCAGCAGAAGTAGCCTGCAGTACTGCACTCTAAACACTATGCCACCACAGCTCATATCTGATCTTTCAGTGTTACAGTAGCAGATGTACTCAAAAAAGTAAGCAGGTCCAGAACAAAATAAAAATTTGATTACATTTAAATTTGATTAAATTCAAGTATAATGTGCTGCAGTTTATATGATAACTCCTTGTGTATTATTATTATTTTCTTTCTATCACCTACAAAATAATAAACCAATAGAATTTTTTAGTAGGGATAGGTGACCACCAACAAAATTTTGGTGGTCTACATTTAAAAATGTTGGTTGCCTACTTGATCATTGCATGAAAACTAGCATTATAATCAATAGCACTTTTAATAACACAGCCAACTAACAGGCAGAAAAGCCAACAATGCTGTATCCAGAAGTGAAGGGAAAAAGGGAACATAACTAAAATATTTTAAACATTTTCTTCTGCCCTACATTTCAGATGCAAGTGTTTTAAAATTGGGACTTACAAGAAAGCATCACATCAAGAATGCGTAGCTTATATTTTTCATGTTTATTAAAAAGTGCATCACAATACATTCATTTTACTTGCAGATCTAATGAAACGTTCTCTAATTATGCCCATTCCTATACTTCATCCACACCCACCGTATATACTTTGTTACCCTTTTAATCCAACAACCTAAGAATTTTTTCTTTAAAAAAAATGACACTCACCGGTGTTATTATCCACACAGCCTTTACCATTTTTCACATCAACTACCCAAGTAGCTTCTTTCCCCTCAGGACCATCTTTTACTTTAAAGGCAAAAATGCCGCCAATTTTCTTGACATACTCTTCTCCTTCCTGTAATCATAATGTAAAAGTTACAATCATTAAAATGCGATCTTAAACTGGGTGTGTGCAACATATTTACAACATGCTCAAGCCTTGTAGACATTCCTCATTAATCTGAGTGAATGATTCCAAACAACATTAGATATGGCAGTCGTTCGGGTCTGAAGAAGATGCGCTATTGTACAGTTCATTTGTGAGCTCCACAACCCCAGTCTGGAAACACAGTGTAGTCACTGTATTCTTTGGTGACACTGCTCACAGTTCTCTATCAGTTTTGGTGGCACCTGCTTTCAAACCAGTGGAGACACACAGCTCACCTGGTTAGCAATCCAAATCACATTAGCAAATATGGTATCGCTACTTTGAGTTAGAGACTTGCAGGAGCAAGTGGAAACACTTAAGAGGATGAAAATTTCTTGGATTAAAGGATTTGCTGTCAGAGGAAGAAACAGAAGAAGAAGTCAACCCAATAAATGAGTGATTAGGAAAAGAAAACCCTGTGTACAGCTGAAATGAAGAAATAGTTCCCACATGCTGTTTATTAATATAACACTGAACAAAAGACAAGAAATTGGGGCCTTGAAAAGCATAATGGCCACAATACTATCTGAAGAAGACAAAGAACAGAATTCTAATAATTGACTTCCCAATAGGAAGAACAGAATGAATGTGTACTTTCCAGACACTCTGTTCATAAAATATCGTATCTTTTTAGATTACAGATCAAGAACATAATGGAGTTGTTGCCAAGGTTTAGCATACCCACTGCCAATGGCAGTGAGTTTTATTTCTTTAGCACAGGGATCCCCAACCCCCAGTCCGTGGACTAGCACTGGTCCGTGGCATGCCAGAAACAGGGCCGCACAAACAAGTGAAGCCCCATCCATGGGATGAAGGCAGCATGTGAAACCACGCCCCCTCTGGTCTGCGGAAAACCTTTCTCCATGGAACCAGTCCCCAGTGCCCAAAAGGTTGAGGTTTTAGAAGTAGTCCAAGGTGGATGAGACTATTTTTTAAAAAAGGTTATTAAAATGACTATCAACAACAATTACAACATGGAAAAAATGAAGAACTTAAATTTGCTGGCACTAAACAGGACAGGATAACTAATAATGAAGAAAACAACAAAATTAAAAACGAGAGTTTAGAGAAATTGGGTAAAAATAAAATGAATGTTACTAGTTACAAAGGTTTTTAACTGAAATGAATTAAATAAAATGCACAAGCAGAGGATGAACTATATATGAATGATATATATGAAAAAATAGAATTATAATCCCAAACTGAGTATCATTCAGCAGTTTTGTGGCTGCCAAAAGGCAGACCCTGGAATAGTCACACTGCAATTTAGAGAGATCAGATGCCCCACTAAGAATTGTGCTCAGTCCTTCCTCTCACCATTTAATAAAGATTCAAACACTGATATTTGGGCAATGAAGAGCAATGAGAAAAATCAGAAGTTTAGAATTTAAGTTCACTGAGGTGTATTTAGACTTAATAAGGAGGATATGTGAGAATTGTTTTAATGAAGAATTGAGAAGAATGGGGCACACAGAAGTTCATTATCTCTTGTCAGTTATCACAGTATAGAGTACAGTATAGACTAATTATTTTAGTAATAGGCAAAAATATTACAGTTGAATGTTGAGGAAAAATCTTGCTAACAGAAAGAAGAGTTTCAGAATGGAATTGACTTCCAAGGGAGATTATGAGGTCATCTTTTCTGGATGAAAGAGTTGGAGATGCTTAAACTGGTATGTTGAGCAGTAGGGTCAGATTTGTTGGTTGCAATAACATCAACTCTAGGGTTCTTGCAGTTTGTATGAAAGAATGCAAGTTTTTGAACTGCAGCTCTTTCTTTAATGCTGCACAAACACTCTTTCCTAAAAAATGTTCTTTATGGAGAGTAAGTAGCTCCTCAACCCTAACCAGTGTCAAGGAAGTAACACCCATGAAACTTGAAGTGGCTTCATTTTGAGCGAATTGTTTCAGGTTACAATGCCAAGCATATGGACATAATTATCTGAGTTTCCAAATACCTATCTCCACAATCTATAACATGGTAGCTAATTATTTTGCCAAGTTGAATCTTGCCCTGTCCTAGATTTCATTCTCTGCCTACAAAAGAACTGAAGCAATTGCAGACAGGCAAGGCAAACAGAGAAATTTAGATATGCTGTAAACATTTTGCTACATGCGTTGTCTTTCCCCCCCTACCACATGAGAGTTCATTCAAGCATATTACTCTCTATCTCCAGTATGAAGTGGCACTTTTAACAATCCAACAGTTCCTATTACAGGATTAATATTATCACCAAAACATAATCAGGTTTTTCTAGTTCCAAGGTTACTCAACAGAGAAAGAGAAATTAATATTACAAGGCACATAGTTCCATATTAATGATCCATTTTTTATTTTTTTTTACAAAGTGCAATTTGTATTTCAGAAATTCATGATAGCTATTATTAAGACAAAGACAACAATAATTACATTGTTCTGTCTCTTGGTTCTGACCTATTTTTTTCTTTATTTTGTAAGGAAAAAAGAACTCATTACAAGGAAAATTAATCTGATAATTAAAGAGACTTAATTTTGGCAGACCAGCCATATTCAAAGAATATAATCATTTGTGTACTTAAAATATTTCTGTGCCGGTACATAAATTAGGTCTTTTGCAATGTATTTATAAGCATATTTACTGTACAAACCTCTTGAAGTTTCTTTTCAATTTCTTTGAATACAAGTGATGATTTAAATCCATCAACCATTGCTCTAGTAGGAATGGCCTGGATACTCCGATTCCTGAAATGGGAAAAAGTAACTTAGTATCAGTGAAATAAGCAGATTCCAACAAGCAATTTTCCATACAATCTAATTATAGTGTTTGCATGTGTCACACATATTAAGCCATAATAATGGTTTACGAAGTATAATTCTTCAAATGCACTAAGCCAAAATCAAACCACCTCTACAAGGGAGGGAAGAAGGAGAGAAATATTTTGTGCATTCTCCTCTTTTAAATAGAAATACAATGTATTCTGAAGGAAAAAAATCTAATCAGAATTAAGAGGTGAACGTGGGTAGAAACAATTTTTGACATGAGAAAAAGGCAAAATTTTATATTAATAATTGCTGTAGTTAAATTGGTCAAAGCACTTTCTGGCAATCAGCTGTGAACAATAGTTATGAAAGTGTAAAATGGAAATGATGAAACAAGCTTACCTTTTCCCTAATTACTCAAAAGCTAATCCTAATGTTCCAAATCCTTGCTGACTGATCAGGCAAGATTTTAGCAATATAATTTTGCTACACACGTATGTCCAGCAGAAAAACAAATTCACAATGTAAGTAAAATCTACACATTCTTTGAAAAGTATTAGGGATAATTTTTGTTTGAACCCAACTTTACCTCTGCCCTCCCAAAATTTCCATCAGCAAAATCTCAGAGTAACCTCCTCCACATATTAATGTAAAGATAAAATAGGGTAAAGATATAAATGATGCAATCTATCTTAAGCCCTGGTGAGATGTGATTAAAAAGCTGAAATGCTTCATTTTCCAGTTGAACAAGATAATTACTTAATACGGCAATGTGATGAAAAATGAATTCACCTTGAGAAAGAATATAAATTTCAGATATTACTACTTGAATTAACTTTTAATCTAAAGCGATTATTTTCTAGAAAAGATAATAAACCTGAGAAAGAGGGAAGTGGGATATAAAAACACAAAATCCCTAGTCTGATTTTGTTTAGTGTAAAATGGATCAAAGCAAAACTTAGATGAAATTATGTCATAGCCATCTTATCATAAAAAATCCAGGCTGGTTTAAAACTGCCAACTATTTCCATTTAAGTTTTTCATACTGGGAACCTAAGTAGTCTTTTCTAAATCTAAAAGCCCCCGTGCATGTTTTATTCTAGTTCATTATAATCTGCTCTTTGTAAAGAATTTTATCGTTTATGCACATTACACTAAAGCTACTTATTAACTGGAAAGATCTTTACAGGACCTCTGCTTTATGTACTGAACTGGTACTTGATCTAATATTTCTAAATGTTGGACTATGACCATAGAGATCCTTGTTCAAGGCTATGCTCATATAAAATGGGTGATTTTGGTCAATCACTATCTCTCTCTGTCTAGTTTTGCAACATTATGGTGTGGAAAAAATGTTGTGGAGTTGGGAATATAGGAGATAAATCTGACAAATAAACAAACCATTATTTATACAAAGAAATATACAAAGAAACTATTAAAGCATGCAGACAGTTCTCTTTCACATATATGAGAAAATGCAGAAAATCAATGTGTAAGTAAGCACAGGAAACAATTAGTTAACTGCTGAAATAAGTTTTTTTTTCCATCTAAATTTCCTTGCTCTTTATCATAACCTTATAAAATGATTTGGATACTCTTAACTGTTGCCTAAAAGAAACATCCATAGGCTATAATACATGAGCAATCTTAATTCAGTTTACAGTATTATGCGTACAAAATTGGCCCTCATCTTTTCTAGGCAATTTAAAACTTGTTCTGTACATTCTCTTAACTTTACAGTTTTTAAAAGCTTTTAAAAAGAAAAAAAAATATGGAACCATATTTGGAAAACATAATTAAGATAGAACTCTTTGATCTATGAGCAAAGCATCTGACAAAGCATGATCCTTTTTCAAAGAAACAATTCTGAGCCAAGGACTTTCATCCACGACCCGATAATTTTCCTGTTGTAAGCAGGACGATTTCCAACTGCCCACTTTAATTATGCAAGAATTAGAGTGGGAAATAATAGCAAAATACGTTATTTACAGCAGGCACATTAATCTGATTTACAAGGAGCAGCTTAATCTGGTTATTCACAGCAGGCACTTTAAGGTTCAAAGTGGAAACGAAGTCGCTGAAATTCCTACAGCGGCAAGGACGAATATTGCACAGGGAAGGAAATGAAGGCATCAAAGGAGGACTCGGCACTCACCGTGCAGCTTCTGGAAAGCCCATTCTGTAGAGAGAGACTACAACTGCACCACCAAGGCCGAAATTATGCTGCAAAGCTAGCTTTGCCCCGGGAACCTGCCTCTTTCCGGCTTCTCCTCTTAGATGCCAGCAAAGTTCAGCACACTGAGCCAGACCTAATGCATCAAACACAGAGCCTGTAGATCAAGCTGTATTACGAGAGTTCATGCACACCCAACTTGAAAGGAAAGGAAAAGAAAATGAGGCGTGTTTGAAATCCAAGATGAAGCCTTCTGATAAAAAACAATAAATTGCACCACAACCACCACTAGGACATTACTTTTTTGCTATAAAAATTCGCCTTGTGATGAGATGTCCGACAAAGAAATAAAATAAAATAAAATAAAATAATAAAATAAAATGAAATGAAATGAAATGAAATAAAATAAAATAAAATAAAATAAAATAAAATAAAATAAAATAAAAATAAAATAAAATAAAATAAATAAAATAAAATAAAATAAAATAAAATAAATAAAATAAAATAAAATAAAATAAAATAAATAAAATAAAATAAAATAATAAAATCCAGGTGTAGGAACTGTATAAACTGGAGCAGAGGTCTTCAAACTTGGCAGCTTTAAGACTTGTGGACTTCAACTCCCAGAATTCTCCAGCCAGCATAGTTTGAAGACCTCTGAACTAGAGTTACAGTTTCCCAAGGTGATGAAGTCTTCAGTTGTACTATATAGTTCTTGTGATAAAAATAAGGTGAGCCTACTTCACAATCGCCAACATAAATATTTTGTGCAAGGCCAAAAGCAGTATAGGTAGTCCTTGACTTACAAACCTAACAGGGACTAGAGTTTTGGCCACTAAGTGATACAGTAGTTGTTAAGCCAGCCATTATATAAGCAGATCCAATTTTACCACCATTTTCACCACAGCTGTTAAGCAAATCACATTGTTATTAAGTGAAGCATGCAGTCATTAAGCAAATCTGGCTTCTCCAATTGACTTTGCTTGTTGGAAGCCAGCTGGGAAGGTCACAAATTGTGATCATGTGACCTGCCAAGATACTGCAATGGTCATAAATGTGAGCCAGTTGCTAAATTCCCTAATTGCAATCACATGATGGTGGGGGTGGTGCAATAATCCTAACTTCAAGAACTGGACGTAAATTACTTGAGGCCATTGTAACTTTGAACCATCATTAAATGAATTACCTGTAAATAAATAAGCAAGCAAGCAGATATTAGTTTAATGTGAATACATGCATGTTATGACCTGCCTGCTTGCCATGGAGTGAGCTAAAGAGGGTTTTTTTAAAAACCATGCAAACTCATTTCCACAGTTAGTCATTGAAGGTAAAGTACACATTAAAACCAATTAGGTATGGGTCTCTCTTATGTTTATCTTTAAAAGTCTTTATTAAATTGACAACAAAAACTACCGGTATCTTTTCCTGATGAGATCACAAAATTGGAGAGGTTCATTCAAAACCCCAAAGCTAGCTTCTCTGTAGCCAATGGCCAACTTATAGTATTCTGGACACAGCTGTCCAGCCTCTGCAAGAAGACATTCAGTGTGGGGGAACTCATCACTTCCCAAAGAATTAGTTCTATAGATTTTTTTCCTAACATTTAAATAGAATCTATCTTCCTGTAAAGCTTCTAAGTCAGTGTTTCTCAACCTTGCCAACATTAAGATATGTGAACTTCAACTTCCAGAATTTCCCTAGTTAAGAAACACTGCTCTAAATTATGCAAGACTTGACAAATATTTTTTTCCCTAATACAGGAATGCTATGCAATCTAGAAGTTAGATTACATTATAAAGCAAAGGGCAAATATAGCTTCCCTCTTTCTTCTTAGAGGCCCTCTCTGGAATGTTGCCAGCAGATAGGTAGAGAGCAATCATTCTGAAAAAATTGAAAAGCTGATATAAGCTCAAACGAAAAGATTTCATCACCTTGTTCAAAGAGCAATTACACTCCTGAAATCAAAAAAGAATGTCAGGATATTTGCACAGAGCGACAAACTAAAAATTAGCTTTCAGCATTAGGACAGCATTTTCTGTATCTGCACTCTTAATATCTGAGCTTTCAACAGCCAGATTAAAGTTGTCTTTTAGCTCAAGAACTTAATAAATATGCTGAAGAATACAATAGTCAAGAACAATAAACTAAACAAGTTGTTCCATTTTACAGATTATGAATAACAGTTCGAGGCAGTTCATGAATGACTTTAAATAAATGAATTTCTGTTATTTTTAAAGAGGAAAAGAGCCCAGAGAGACATATCATCAAGTGAGCAATAATATTTGAATATAAGTAAAAATATAATCTGTCCTGGGTGCAAGCCTCCTAAGATCAATAGCTAAGTTCACGTTCACAACCAATTGAACAAACATGAAAGCACACAAAGGAAAGACTTGTTTGGGGAGAAAATGAATAGATATAGCCAACTCTTTTGAGTTTGACAAGATAAGTACGGTAGGTACTGGCTATACTTGGATGGCATACACAGGTTATAGATTACATTGAGAAGTTAAAACACATTTCTGGAACCCTTTCATATTGTTGCTAAGAAAATAATATGTCATGCAACAATACAAGCTTCACCCAAGGGACAATTTAACCTTAGAAATGTTATCATAATCTTTTTGTAATATTTCTAACAAAAATATTAACGAACATTACTCCGTTTAGGGATTATAAATATTTATCTACCCATGCATAGGCTTGAAATCAAATTCAGTTTAAACCAGTATATTTGTAATGACTATTAGTTGCATGTATTAGTTTTTTCTACATAAAGAACTACCTTCATACTAAAAAAAGTGAAGGCATGAAGATATATTGGGACAATTCCAAGAGTGGCTTAGCAAACCCTATGAAATGCGACCAGGCTTACAATTTCCTTGCCAAATAGTCCATCTGGCCAGAAATTATCTCTTGAAATGACTAGAAATATGTGTTTGTGTTTAAAGGGTTTATGGACATTTCACCTTAACAGGGCATTCAGTAGGATTTCCTGTCAGATAAATCAGCATAGAATAATTGAATATTAATACTATACCTTCTCCTCAAAGGAGCAGGTCTATGTGGTTGGCTGATTGCAAAAGAGAAGAAGGCGTAGCTTAGCCTTTTCTTTAAATAAAATGGCATATTTCCTCCATAAAGATACTTAAAAGCCTTATAGTCGACTGAATTACCTGTAGCACCCAGTGGGTGTCCTTTTGAAATCAAACCACCACTGGGATTTATAACCCATTTTCCACCATATGTTGTGTCTCCTCTATCAATCAGCTCACCAGCTCCTCCTTAAAAGAAAAAAAAAAAGGAAATTATTAATGCATATATCCCCCACTTCTAAATAAAATTCTTGAAGTGTCTGACATTAACTTGACATTAATAGTGCAGAACATTTAACAGGGACAGCACAACAATATCTGTGTAATGATTTCTATATCCTTAAGTTCATAGGAATAAATTCTTTATGCTCTAGCTATATTTATTGATTATATTTTTATCACACCTTTATTACTTTATAAATAACTCAAGACAGAGAACATGTCTAATACTTCTTCCTCTTCTTATTTTCTCTGCAACAACAACCCTGTGAGGTGAGTTGGGCTGAGAGAGTGTGACTGGCCCAGAATCAGCCAGCTGGCTTTTATGCCTAAAGTGAGACTAGAATTCACAGTCTCCTGGTTTCCAGGCCAGTGCCTTAACCACTACCCATTAAGCAATAACTCATATCGCTACTTTTCCCATTCAAAAATATTGAGGGTGTTATATAGCTTTTCTAAGACCACTCTTCAATGGATGTACAAGACAGTATTAAATAAATAGTTAATATGTGTAAAAATATTCTTAATTCCTTTCCACAAAGGATAGGCATTGTTTTCAAATCTTTTTCATAGTCTCTACTCAATACTCACCATTTGATTTCAGCCTAATTTCAGACAGCACTTCCACAACCAACCTCGTATCCTTACAATAGCACACTATATAGGTAGTTCTCATTTACCAGCTGCCTCGTACAGTGACCATTTGCCATTACAACAGTGATGAAAAAGTAACTTTACTACCAATCCTTTGCATTTACAATATTTCCATCAAGCAAAAGAAAACTGAAGCAAGATTATAAGCATAGTTGTGGTTTCACTTAATGTCCCTTTGCTTACTGATTGAGTGACTGATCCCAACTGTGGTTGTTAAATAAGGACTATTGGACTTGGAGGATAGTGATTCAGTCTCCTGTTAATTAAACCTATTCCTTCGAAATCTTAAAGGCTAGTATTGTCTTCAAAGGCAGTGCTAATGAAGAGGAGGAGGTCACTGTTAGAACAATTAATCAGTGCCTCCAGAAGTTGTGAATGCTCCAACACAGGAAGTTTTTAAAAATAGATCGGACAACCATTTGTCTGAAATGGTATAGGTTTTCCTGCCTAAGCAGGTGGTTGGACTATAAGACCTCCAAGGTCCCTTCCAACTCTGTTATTCTGTGCTCTTTTTATCTGCATGATGATAGAAAGGCATCAGACAGGGAGAACTTTCTAGCAATCATCTTGCCTCCAGAGATCATTTTGAAGAGTTAAACAAAGGGAAAACTGCACTTAATTGTGTGGAAGCTATGACCAAGCTGTTTAGTAGTTCTAATATTGAAGGAATACCTTCAGGACAGAGTCCCAGAGCTTCATATGTAATTAATTCATTAGCAGAGAAACAGTCATGAAGTTCAATCACGTCCACATCTTCTGGTGTTAGGCCAGTTTGTGAAAAACATTTTTTGGCAGCTTCCTTTGTCATATCATAACCAACCTAAAAGCAATAAAATATAACCAGAATGCATTTCATTGAATGTTTCTGTTTTCTGAACTCCATTTAATTGTCCTGATGAATGACTTTTTAAAAATTGGAATATGTGTATGGGCGCGCACACACAAACACCACTTAATTAACCATTTGGAATATTATAACCAAATGAACAAATATGAATTGACTGCATATGCAGGGATTGATAATATTTAGACACTGCCCCCATCAAGAAGCACTACTTTGGAGAGACCACAGAAAAAAATGAAATTGTCAGAAATTAAATATGCTGTGTAAATATGCACTTGAAGTTCATGAATAATAAACGGACTTTATATATTCCCTATTACTTTATATCTATTTCCCAATTAATGTACATCAAAAGGCAACATATACATAAATGCACTGAAAGCAACAGCAGCAAATTAAAAAAATACGTCCAGCTATTTCAAGAAAAGTGGGTACTTTTCTTCTGAATTAAGCTACACTGTTGTATGCCCAGGGAAGAGGTTAATTTTAGGCATGACTGAAACAAATTTGAATGATCTACCAAGAATTCTATTAAATATATTCATGGAATTATGAAATTACTTTCTTCAAAAGTAATGAGCGAGTCATTTTACATCTGTTCATTCTTGCTCTTATGACCCATTCATATCCAACAAGAGGTGCTCTTTCAGCAATTTTGTATTCTTTAGTTAGATTTGGAGTATGGGATTTAAACTGAAAGCTTCCTGTTTTCTCCATGGATCTCCTATCCCATAAAAGGTAAAGGTTTCCCCTGTCCAGTAAGGGGCACTCCTCATCTCTGTTTCTTAGCTGAGGGAGCCATCGTTGTCCAAAGACATTTTCTGTGTTCATATGGCCACTATGACTATACGCCAAGGTGCATAGAAGCAGGAGTGGGATTCAACCAGTTCGGACCGGTTCGGGCTACCCGGAGGCTAATTTTACATCTGGCTTGCCGAATCAGTAGTTGCAAGGACTGGCTGGCTCCGTCCATCCCTCCCCTCCCAGGAGTCTCCACGCGGCCCATTTTGGATGCCAGGTAAGTGCAGGAGAATCTGGGAGGGCAAAAGACGGGTCTTCCGGAAGTTCCAGAAGTCTGGAAATGGGTCCGTTTCCGGCCTCCAGAGGGCCTCTGGAGTCCGGGGGAGGCCGTTTTCGCTCTCCCAGAAGCTCGAGGAAAGCCTCCAGAGCCTGAGGTGGGTGAAAACACGCCCCCCCTGCCATGGTGCAAGAGACTAAGTAGGCCATGCCAACCATTGCCACACCCATCCAGCAGCTGGGCAGAGAACTGGTTGCTAAAATTTTTGAATCCCACCCCTTCATAGAAGGCTATTACCTTCCCACCGAAGTGGAACCTATTTATCTATTCACATTTGCATGCTTTGGAACTGCTAGCTGGGGCAAATAATGGAAGCTCAGTTCTCGGGTCTCAAACATGGGTTGTCAGCTTTCCAGATGACAAACTCAGCATCTTTAACCACTGAACTATCACGCCCCTTTCTATCCCATAATGGACTCTTTTTGCTTAGAAATCTCTTGCTCTTCTCCTGGGGAGCTGTTTGCCAAAGAAAGGAGTCCCAGCTCCCACACTTGCTTGCTTGTTTTTTCTCCCACTTCATTTTCCCTTTAAAATATATTCTTTATATTATAGCAAGCAGGGGTTATTTTATCATTTCAGTTTGTGTCTAATCCTTAAACTATTTTCAGTCTTTCATAGGTATATTCATGTATGGTGCATACTACTGTATACATTAAAAGGTCAGGCTTGCCATTTTAATGCAGCTGTTTTCTTCAAATGAGCTCGGAAAATCAGTCCTCATCTCTTGGGCCAAAATTTCGACAGATTTCGACTCCAATCCGTTCTTCTTCACAAATTCTTCACTAGCAAGAACTACAGCTGCTGCACCATCAGATGTTGGACTTAAAACACACAATAAAGGTTGATTATGGACTATTCCATTCCCTGAACAATGTATATGTGTAAAAAGGGACAGTAATACAGTGTAGGGGCCATGCCTCTGGATTTTACTCTGCTTTTATCAACTCATTTCCAATAGCTTTACCGTTTTTCAGGTTGAAGATCAAGTTGTGAATTTCTGAGGTCATGATGGGGGGAGCAATAAGGGAGAGAATCAAAAGTTGGTTTCAAGCTAGGATTTCCATTTCTGACTAAGGCGTCCCACCATATTACGTATCTAGCTAAAAATATTCTACCCATGCATGTATTTCCCCTTAAATGTTTAAAAAGTTTAAAGTGGCAGATGAGAATTTGACCAATAGTCAAATTTATACTATTGAAATTACGAGTCTTAAGATTGCTTAATGAGTTGTAAAGCAATTACGGTATATAGCAGAAATGTGTAAATGTGCTATTTTGTATATTACTGCATAGGAAATCTGCAATTTCAAGTATGTGCAGTATGTTATTACTATCGTGTAACCACTTCTGTAACTTTTGAAATTAACACGTTTGTGTAAGGGTCATAGATTAATGCTTAATACTATGCTTTATGCAAAGTCCCCAATTCAATCTCCAATTTTAAAAAAACATTAATATCTAGCAAAAAGGAAGTGCTCCAAAGAAACAGAATAAAACAGCCAAGAGAAACAAAATCAAGAAGAGAATAAGCTTTTTTTATAAAAGGAGAAATGGGGTCACAAAAGCACTGTAGAGGTGGATTCTTACCAACACTGTAAGACAGTCAAGAAGTCAAAAACCTTGCGAGATTGTAAGACTTCATCTAAACTGTACTCTTTTTGAAACTGGGAATTTCTACAAAAAACAGAGAAAATGGATGCAGTCAGAACAATTCAACAGCAGCGGCAGTGAATTATTGCTTTTATTCTTCAAAATCTTAAAAGTATCTTCCCACAATAGGTCAAATCATCATATAATTTTGCAATGAGTATCTCCTGCTTTTGCCACAGAGGTGGGTTTCAGCAGGTTCTGACCAGTTCTGGAGAACCAGTAGCAGAAATTTTGAGTAGTTCGGCGAACCGGTAGTACAAATTCTAACTGGCCCCACCCCCATCTATTCTCTGCCTCCCGAGTCCCATCTGATCGGGAGGAAATGGGGATTTTGCAGTAACCTTCCCCTGGAGTGGGGAGAGAATGGAGATTTTACAGTATCCTTCCCCTGCCACGCCCACCAAGCCACACCCACAGAACCGGTAGTAAAAAAATTTGAAACCCACCACTATTTTGCCAGCTCCTTCCACAAATTTAGAAACTTTTGGAAATCTCATTTGAACAATGTAGTTGCATAAAGCAGCTTTGCTCAGGACTACCTACCATAATACTGCTAATAGTAGCAGATTCATTTTTTTTGTTGTTCCCAAGGAAGTACAAGAAAATTATAATTCCCTTTTGATATGTATTCATATTCAGAGAAATATTGGCTAAATATCCTAATCCATCATAATTTTAACTCTCTTTTTTTGAGGATTGAAATTTTTAATCTACTAGCCACCTTTACAACACTCCTCCCCCATTTTAAATACTTCTTTGCATTTTTTTCCCAATAAAACACACAATACTTGTTTTTTAGCCTGCATTCTAACACGTCACCTAAAACACTGTACTTACGAATTGTTCACTGAATGCTTATGATTCTTCCAGGCAATTTTTGCAAAGTGTTCAAGCTTTGTCCCTAAAATAATCAAAAGCATATTAAATGCATATTAAAAAGGATGACTTCATTAGTTGATTCAACACAGTTTAAGAAAATATGCTGTGCTTATTGTGATCTCGTGATCTCAGAGGCTCAACAGAAATTAGATAAGAATCATGTTTCAAGACACAAAAGACAAAACAGTTAACAGAATTCCAGCTAATTGTATACTGCAGCTAAACTGTGCCCCTATAGAAATCAGATTTTTTTGGCACAAAGATCTTCACAGTGGTGTGGCACATCAATAATGTCTTCATTGCATGGTTTTTTAAGAACATTAATATTTTAACATACCATATTTCTCCATGTGTTCTTTGCCAGCATTTCCAAAAATTTGTGGAGCAAATGGGGCTGTTTCTAGGCCATATTTATTTATCATAACTTCCAAATGCTTGTCTGTTGGATTCACTCTATCAGAAAACTGAAAGACATAAAATGTATATTATGAATACTACAACAGTCTTACACTGAACACACATAGAAAGGAAAAGACACTATGAAAGTTCTCTTGTTTGAACAGCCACCCTATATATACCAGTGATGGCTAACCTTTTCCGGACCAAGTGCCCAAAGCGCGCACTCAGGCACGTGAATGTGAGCGTGCGTGCCCGAACCCCAAAAATGCAATATGTGCGTGGGCCCCTGAATGCGCCCCACCCCCACACATGCACACACCCCAGCATGTGCCCTGCCCCCGCACATCTGCACATGGCCCCGCCTACATGGATGTGCATGTGGGGCCCCACACACCCCCTGTGCATGCGTGGCAGAGACCAGAAGACCAGCTGGCTGGCAGGAGGTGCGGGTGCATGCGCAGCACAGCTGAGCTGGGGCGACGGCTCGCATGCCTTCAGAGAGGGCACTCCGTGTCACCTCTGGCACGCATGCTATAGGTTCACCATCACAGGTATATACTCTTTTCAGACTGCATCATTTCATTTGCTTCTAAATTAAACATATAGGCAGACAGACATATCAAACAATTTATAAAAATTAAATATATTAATTTTCTGCTGCAGTCCATTGTGTAACTTATAAGTGGGCATAATTTACAGGTAGTCCTCAACTGAGCAGAAAATTTATGTTGTTAAGTGAGAAATTTGTTAAGTGAGTTTTGCTCCATTTTACAATTTTTCTCGCCACATTTGTTAAGTGAATCACTGCAGTTCTTAAATTAGTAACACGGTTGTTAAGTGAATCTGGTTTCCCCATTGACTCTGCTTGTCAGAAGGTCACAAAAGGAGATCACATGACCCCAGGATACTGCAACCGTCATAAATGTGAGTCAGTTGTCAAGAATCTGAATATAAATCGCATGACCACGGGGATGCTGCAACAGTGGTAAGTGTGAAAAATGGTCACAAGTCACTTCTTTCAGTGCTGTTGTAACTTTGAACTGTCACTAAATGAACTGCGGTAAGTCAAGGACTACCTATATAATGTTCATTTTCAGGTAAGAGTCAAGACAATATCATGTTAGAGGTTTCAAAGAAAAAATAATATAATAAATCAAAATGCTACTATATAATGGAACCCAATGCAAATTATCATACATATAAATTGGACAAACTAGCAACAGAGTACAAATGTCTCAAATAAAGAGAGGGTCTTTCAAAGAACCAGAGAAATCAATAAGACACAACTTCACGATAATATGCAGAATTATTTTTCACTTGACTACCATTCTCCAATTCTTGCTTTTGAGTCTCTTGATTTAGATTGAAATTTTTATCCAAATATATTATATCCTGTATTTTTTTTCTACTTTCACATCCATATTGATCCCTCAGGCCATTTGATGCACAGTAGCTCCTTTCTGAAGAAGATGTAATAAATATGAGGCTTTAACAGGCGGCTTCAAAATTCAATAATGCTTCTGGAAAGGGATAGTCAGGAAGTAAAAAGGACACTTGGGATGAATGCTCAGAATCAGGAGATCTGTTTGGGGAATAGGCCCTCATCCTATTTGTTTTAGGCTTAAAATAGTTCAAATAGATTTTTTTAGGAAAAAGGGGGAAAAAAGAACAAATCTTAATATCTATGTGTGCTGTGAATACCAAGTGAGAAACATATCCTCAGGAACCCCCCCTGCCTCATCAGTCTGATCGTATCAGCATTATTAAGACTCCTGATTGTGGGCCAGGCTCACTCAAAAATTGGCTTCCCAGTAAAGAAGCTCAAACTTATTTGAGGCATTAATTTCCTCTTCTTTCACCATTCTCTTTATTCTTTGAGGATGCCTCTTTCTTTTTGTGGCCTAAAGCAAATGACAAGGTGCTCCAAACTTTGCTTCTAACTCTACAACTGCCATTTATACAGTGCTTTGGAGCCTCCCCTATTTATAGCCAGACCGAGATCTTGTATGCCGCACTGAGTCTTCGGAGAGGGGCAGCATACAAATTGAATTAATGATGATGATGATGATGATGATGATGATGATGTTTCGGAACTCCGTTGCTCTGTCTCCTCCCACCGGATTTCCCAATCCTTCCAGAAAAACCCAGATATAGGCTGAAAGCCTTGAGAGAAACTCCAGACCACTGTTTTCCTAGTAGAAGCCTTGAGGCTCCAATGAAAGAGGATTCCAGTAGACCAGAAAAAAATTGCCGCCTTCTTTCTGTTCCTTTCAGTTTGAGCCATAGCTGCCTTTTGCTCCAAAAGGCCAGGCCTCTATAGTAATTAGGATTGCTAAGGAAAAAACTCAGAGGAATCTTCTCAAGGATTACATTGCTAAGATACAGTGGAACCTGAGGTCCTAACTAAAGATGGAAGGGAAAGGGCTCCACAGCTTTGTGCTATTGGAGAAGTATTCAGAAATTACAGAAATGACATGCATTTGCTAAAGGATGTTGATAGATGAAACACTCTCATCCATTTTTCAAATATGCTACAATGTCCTACCTGTCAATGACTACTTCAGCTTCAACCACAACAATATATAAGCACACAATAGATACAAACTTAAAGTGAACCGCTCCAAACTCAATTGCAGAAAATATGACTTCAGCAACAGAGTGGTCAGTGCCTGGAATGCACTACCTGATTCTGTGGTTTCATTCCAAAAACCCCAAAATTTTAACCTAAGACTGTCTACTGCTGACCTCACCCCATTCCTAAGAGGTCTGTAAGGGGCTTGCATAAGAGCACCAGCGTGCCTACCATCCCTGTCCTAATGTTCCCTTTAATTGTATTCATTTTATGTATTCAATTCATGCTTATATATATTATCTAATACATACTCGACAAATAAATAAATAAAAATAAAAAATAAAAATAAATAAAATTTTAAAAAAACATTCTTTTCCTGCATAGCAAAGACTTGAACACTCACATGACCGGCTGAAAGGGACCCTGGTGCCATCTTTTCAAATCCAAGAGCCAATACACAGTTAGCCAAACCTTGAATACAAAAATTATTGCATAATTATGTTTTAAGCTTTAATAAAGAGTTGAACAGAAGTTAGATCTATTGGTAGCTCTCTAAATAATTGGTAGGAGATAGGCAAGGATTAATCACCTCCCCCCCCGCCTCCCGCTGCCCAAAATGTTGCAGGGGAAAAAATCCAGGAGTGGATTTTAGTGCAGAAGGATTTGGAGTTCCATTCACTGTGGACCCTCAAAACAAATTCAAAGCTCAGAATTATGTGTACGCCAGCAGCCTGCACGGATCATGGCTGTTCCGGACGAGGAGGCTGGTGTGGGGTCGCGCCAGCAGCCTGCACAGCCAGCACTCGCGTCGGACTGCGAGGAGGCTGAAGAGGATGTGGTGCCAGAGGCAGAGACTCAGTCAGGGCCTTCAGAACCTCCAGAGGCTCCTTCAAGTGGAGAGAGCGAAGTAGAGGAGCCTCTCCTCAATGCTCGAGCACGCAGGGCTGTCAAAAGGCAGGAGCGGTACTCAGGAGGAGGAGGTCTCCTCGAGAGTAAGGTTTGAGGATAATTGGCCACTCCCTTAGCCTATTTAAGTCGCAAGCAGTTAGTACTTTCTTGCTGGAAACAACGTGTAATTATTACAGAGCATTTCGGAGAGTGAATGTCTTATCGTATTTTGTTTTCTGGGCTGGTTGCCAACCTTTGCCAGACTTTGTTTATTCTTGGTATGTTATAACTTTGATAAGGACCATTGGTGTGCGTCACAATCCTTGGGAATTGGGAGCTGGGGCAGAACAGTGTATTAAATTTATGCTGTGAGAAGACATATGACAACTCATCTCTCTTAAACCAGTTCAACTTCAATTTGAAGCAAAAGTCTGGTTCCCAGCTACCCACCTTTTCAACTGCCTTAAATGCCTCCAGGTCCAAATTGGAATAAGAATGTTCTTAGAAATAAAGTTCAGTAACAGTCAGAGACCAGGCCTTTTTGCTTGAAAGCTCTTATTAACCCATTTCCCTGGATGAAACTGTCAATGTTGTATTTCACAAATGAAGAGAGGGGACAATCCTGAGAAACACTATCAGGGAGATCAAGGAAGGGATTGCACAAGCCTACATGGAAAGCCTGAGGGAAGAGAAAATGGAAACCTATAGCTTCTGTGGCAACAAGCATGGGAAAGTATCAGTTGGGAAGAGAGTGAGTGAGGTTAGGTGCTGTTCAGGGGTGAGTTCTACTTACCTTTACCACCGGTTTGCAACGGGATGGCGGATGATTGTTTCGCTTGCATGTGCGCCTTGCTTCTGTGCATGTGCAGAAGCTTCTGCACATGCGCAGATCGCTGATGACGACATCCAGGGCAGTGGGCGGGGCCTCCCGCCGGTTTTACTACCGGTTCTTGTGAACCGGCCTGAACCGGGGAGCAACCCACCACTGGTGCTGTTGTGTTCTGGGAGAACATTAGAAAAGGGAGCAATTTTGAACAGCAGATCAGGGAACAAAGGGATGGGCTTATGGTCTTTGACTTAGCTCCATCTCTGTCTCATTTTTTAGCTTCATGGTTCTGTGAAATATGTATGTCACAAGTAGCCATATCCAGTCATTTTATGATGGCACCTGCAAGACATCTTCAAATCTATTAGCTTTGAAATGTTGAAGGTACTGTATCTCTTTTGCTCTACTTGGAAAATATCAGGGCACTAATAATAAACAAAACAGATGCCACAAGGTATGCCACAGGGTGGCTAAATTTGGGTAGCTAGGGACGTGCATAACATTTAGAGGAGGGCTCAGATTCAGAACCACTGGGCAGGATCCATATGTACTCGTATGTAAGCCAATCTGTGGATAAGCCAATCCTTGATTTTTTAACCAAAATAAAAAAAGTGCCACCTGCAGATAAACTGGCCTACATTTTTCATGGTATTTAGGTTAAAAATTCAAGGGTCTGCTTAGCTGCAGGTGGATTATGTTTATATGAGATACACAGGTATTTTTAAAAAGTACTAGTCTATGCCTTATTGGCTGATTGTTTCAGAGATATTTTCTTACCTATACACAGTAACCAAGGACAAGCAAAATAGCAGTGGGAACAGGAGTGACTTCCAACTTCCTGCCAGCTTCTCCATCAAATTTCTTTGTGAGAATCTGGCAGGGAGCATCAAAAATTTCTCTTCCCTTCCCTTTCCAACAGGCAGGTTAAGTGTCTAAATGGAGGGAAATGGAGCAAGGGATTGCAAGACTGGCTAGGAAACTGTCACAGAATGTTGAAAATGAATATGACATTGCCATAACCGCAGCCTTTGGGGGTCATGGATCTCAGATTTTGGACACATTCTTTAAGTTAGTCCATTTAAGGTACACTGGTTCAAAAATAGTTGTCCTATGATGCACTGTTTTGCCCAGTTAAAGGTCATGACAAGAGTTTTAGTAATACAGATTACTGTATATACTTGCAGATAAGCCTATGGATAAGCCAAAGCCAATTTTCTTGTTGTCTTGTTGTATTTTGGTCCCTAAATTTTTGGTTTATCCACAAATGTATACTGTATATCCTTATTAGCTACGTGGATGTTGATTGAAACCAAATTGTTAATATTTTTCCTCTCAGTTTTTGGACTTGAATATCATTGAAAATCTGAGATTTCAAACAAGCAAGGAGACCTAACATTATTTCTAAGATGGTAAAGTTCTGCAAGGAAAAGTGGGGGGGGGGGGAAGAATCCCAAAGCAAGAATGAATGGAAACTTTTAGAAAGAGTTATTTCTGCCAAAGGAGCTGTTACAAAATACTGACTGAAGGAATGCCTATAAGTCTGCACATGCTGAAATATTCTATTTCTTATTTTGTATGTGTAAAGATTGCACATGAACAGTAATCATGCATTCAAAAGTGCAGAAAAAAACCACGTGTAATTCAGTACAACTTAGAGAATGTGCCAGCTTCTCTCCTGACCAGGAGTTAAATACAACTGTATTTTGCTGGGGGTTAGCAGATGTAACTTACCTCCTTTTATTACTTGTCCTGCTAGAAACAAAGCTGTTGAACCAGTAGCACAATTGTTGTTAACGTTTATAATAGGGATACCTGTTAGACCCAAACTGTGATAAATAGCCCTCTGCCCAGAGGTTGAGTCACCTTTAGAATAATAATAATAAAAAAAAAAGACACAGAGTCAGTTTTGATAAATTACCAACATGTTCTCTAGTCTCTTTCTAAAGTTGCTAAATTTCTTCATGTTAAACTCTAAAGTGATTCATTAATTTTTAGCATGCCGTGATGCAGAAATGCAGGCATTGGGGTTTGCCAGAGTTTATGACTTAGAAAGTTGTATGATTCCAACCTCCTGTGATTTATTCTGTGATTGCCCTAATTTACTATGAAATGTGAATTAGTCAGGGACTTTTTGGTGGGACAAAAAAGGTCCTTATCCCAAACTGTAGAGAAACATTCAGATTCACAGATAGATTAAAAGAGATACGTTCAATTCACAATTTATCTGTATCTTAATCAAGGATCTTTTCTTCAGTAAATTTTAAATCATGCAACGATCAAAATTCAAGCCTGCAGGGTTAAATGAACTTTCCTGCAAAAAACACTGCAATAAAAATGGCTTCTCCTCTCCATTATCTATTTTACAATCAAATGTACAGATGGAAAGGTTAAAGGTTGTCAGCAATTCTAGCACTATAGAGAGCTTGCTCTGCAACATCTTGAAAAACACAAAGGTTTCTCCTCATGCTTTGCCTCTTATTAGAAGAAAGCTCTAAACACTCAAGATTGTTAGAATATTTAGAAATGTGTTATAAGCTCTGCTTCAAGGAGGAGGACACAAGCTTAAAAAGAGCAAAGAAGAATCAGGATAAAATGTGGGCTTTACCAGTACCTTCACTTACCATAAACATAGCCTACACATGCCTGCTCTATGGATGAGTACGGAATGCCTGCATCAGCAAGAGCCTTTTGACCTGAACAAGGTTAAAAAACATATTATTGATTAGAAAAATCTTTATTAGAAACTTACTGTACAAGCTGCATGTAAAAGGCCAGATTTCAAAAGTGAAGAGTGTGCAAGCACACTTACCCACTCTTAGGCAGATTAAATAAACTTCTAGTTTCAAAACTGTGTGTCAACCCAGACTGTTGTTACCATAACTTTTGGTTACTTGTAGTCCTTGACGTACGACTTGCAATTGAGCCCAGAATTACAATTGTAGTCATGTTAAGCAGATCATTGTGTGGTCACATCTGGTATTATGACTTTTTGCCATGTCTTTAAGGGATTGCAACAATCATAAAGGGAATGCAGAAATCATTACTTTACTTTACTTTTACTTTATTCAAATTTCTATACCGCCCTTCTCCTTTCGGACTCAGGGCGGTGAACAGCCAAGATAAAAACATCTATACAAAACATCACAGTTAAAAAATAAAGTTAAAATAATTTATAAATTTGGCCCATAATTTAAAACTTGTCAATTTAAAATCAATATTAAAATTTTAAAACTAACCCTAAAATCAAGACAGACCGGCTAACTGGAAAAAATAAGTTTTTAGGGCCCGACGAAAAATCCGAAGGTCGGAGATCACTCGTATCTCTGGGGGTAGATTGTTCCATAGGGTAGGTGCCACCACAGAGAAGGCTCTCCTCCTGGGGGTCGTCAGCCGGCATTGTCTGGCCGACGGCACCCTGAGGAGGCCCTCTCTGTGGGAGCGAACCGGCCGGTGGGAGGCTATTGGTGGCAGAAGGCGGTCCCGTAAGTACCCTGGCCCTAAGCCATGGAGCGCTTTAAAGGTGATCACCAACACCTTGAAGCGCACCCGGAAGTCCACCGGAAGCCAATGCAGCTCGCGCAGGAGAGGAGTCACATGGGAGCGCCCCGTCGCTCCCATAATCCCCCGCGCAGCCGCATTCTGCACCAGTTGGAGCCTCCGGGTGTACCCCAAGGGGAGCCCCATGTAGAGAGCGTTACAATAGTCCAGACGAGAAGTGACGAGTGCTTGAGTGACCGTGCGTAGGGAGTCCCGGTCCAGAAAGGGGCGCAACTGGCGTATCAGGCGAACCTGACAAAAAGCCCCCCTGGCCACGGCTGTCATATGCCCTTCTAAAGACAGCCGCGCATCCAGGAGGACACCCAAGTTGCGGGCCCTCTCCGTGGGGGCCAATGATTCGCCCCCAATAACCAGCGATGGCGTCAGCTGGCTATACCGGGACGCCGGCAGCCACAGCCACTCGGTCTTGGAAGGGTTGAGTCGAAGCCTGTTTCTCCCCATCCAGACCCGCACGGCCTCCAGGCACTGGGACATCACTTCCAAGGCATCATTAAGTGGTCATTAAGCAAAACCATCGTTTCCAATGGACGATTTTGCTGAAAACTAGAAATAAGCACTGGTTTCCAGGAAAACAACATGATAAATCGCAGTCACCTGACCACAGGATGGTGGAAACAGCCATAAATGCATTTAAGGGATCAGCAATGTTTACATTTACATTAATGTTATATTTTTAAATAAGTATTTTACGGAGGTTTTTATTGTACCCTGCCTACTCTTCTGAAGCAGAGGCCCAATCTGAAAGGAACATTATAAAATGAAGATAACTTAGTTAAAGTTCACACACACAGCAATTCTTCTATTGCTTTTCTTACTCTTCTGCAGATAATTACATTTTCATACCTCTCTAGCATAAACAGATGAACCTCAAACCCCATGGTTTGAAAACCATGGCTACTGGCAAAACAATACTGTCTGACTGTTTATACCACTATCTATGTGCCTGGCGCACCAAGCAAATAGCTCATCTGTCACTGGCTGTGCCCATGTTTTAAATATAATAGTCAGTATGTTACCTGCTTCCTTTGCCATATCTGGATAATCAAAATTTTCACGACGGCCAGGCTTTTCAAACTGTTAGAAAAAAAGCAAATGTTGAAGATGCTTCTGACGAAAAAAGGTCTTCAAGTCTAAATTATTGTTAGATTTTAATCCCACTTTTTACATATAAATCAAGGTGGTGAATATACCTAATAATCCTGCAACCTCCAGTTTTAGTAGCACAGGAGTGTTATGGGAGAACCTGGGCAGCCTGATGCAACCATGCACAACTTAGGAAGGGGGTGCGATATATGCAAGTGAGAACAAGGAAGCCCAGAGATGGAGGACACAGAGTGAGTATGTGCAAATACAGGAAGGCGCAAGGAAGGACGGCACAGCACCGTATCCAAGAAGGTGAGGGTGACTTATTAGAGTGATTTGAGACCTGCGTCCTATTTTCCCCACAACAATCCTGTGAGTTGGCTTGGGCTGAGTGAGCGTGACTGGCCCAAAGTCACCCATCCAGCTTTAAAGCCTAGGGCAAAATTAGAACTCAGAGTCTCCTGCTGATACTGGAAATTCAAGATCAAAACCAAGAAAACAAATAATTAAATTAAATGTATCTAAAGGACAGATTTCTGAAATACAGGTAGTCCTTGACTTACCACCACAGTGGATTCCAAAATGTCTGTTGTTATGTGAGACATTTGATAAGCGAATTTTGCCCCGTTTTACAATCTATCTTGTCACAGTTGTTAAGTGAATCACTGCAATTGACAAGCTAGTACCGTACTTTTCAAAGTATAAGAGACACTTCCCCCCCCCCCAAAAGAAGGTGGAAATGTTGGTGCATTTTATACACTAAATACAGCCATTTTTGGGCTCCTGAAACCCCGCCCTGCACGCCCCATTTTCGCAAAAAAACAGGCTTGTTTTTCGAAAAACAGGATGCACAGAGGGTTTGGGAGGCCTGCAGAGTGCTCCTGGGGGCTGGGGAGGGCAAAAACGTGACACATGGGGGTATGGGAGGCACAAACGGGCCCATTTGTCACAAAAACAGGGGCATTTTTGCCCTTCCCAGCCCCCGGGAGCACTCTGCAGGCCTCCCAAACCCTCTGCACGCCCCATTTTTGCAAGAAATGGGCCCGTTTTTGGCCTCCCAAACCCCGCACATGTCACATTTTTGCAAAAATGGGACGTGCAGAGGGTTTGGCAGACCTGCAGAGTGATCCTGGGGGTCAGGGAGGGCAAAAACATTTTTTTTCTTCTTTACCTGTTTGAAATATTGGTGTGTCTTATACTCCAGTGCGTTTTATAGTCCGAAAAATACAGTAACCTGATTCTTAAGTGAATGTGGTTTTCCCATTGACTTGGCTTGTCAGGAGGTCACAAATGGTGATCACATGAGCTTGGGACAGAGTAACGGGCATAAATAAGAGCCAGTTGCCAAACTTCTGAATTTTGATTACATGATTATGGGGATGCTGCAAAGTTCGTAACTGTGAAAAATGATCATAAGTCACTTTTTTCAGTGCCATTATAACTTTGAATGGTTACTAAATGAACTGTTGTAAGTCTTTTAAGGGATGTATGAACACTGTACACAATTGTACCCAAACTCTCCATCTCTCTCCTCAGTTATCCTGAACACAACACATAAAAATCTTGTTAATGTAATTTGGAATTTGGAATAGTCCATAAGTCCTAGACAACATGGATTAAAAACCTGCTTCCCCAGGTTGCACAATAAATTAAATATTAACATGGAGAGTTCTGAGTGCTTCAGAACAGGTCGCATTAAAAGTCACAGCAACATGGAGTTTTGACTTTAACTTCAGTCTCCCTTTGTAGTGCAGGAACAAGTTGGACTTTTCTTACAGAAAATGTTTAAACAACATGATCCCAAGGATTCTTGGAAGGGAACAAAACCAAACCATTAACATTTATAATAGCTTGGGAACCATACAGAAGTGCAATTTCTCAATCAAGATGTGATCTTGCAAGGGGATCCAGCTCATCCTTCAAGTTATAAAAAAAAAAAACACCCTATTGAGCACAGTCATTTGCCAAATCACCACCGCCAGAAAAAGGTATAGTAAACTTGATCTTTGGATGGGCTTGGACTGGCCACTGCCCACTCTCATCCTAATCTACCTCACAAAGCTATTCTAAGGATAAAGTTATAAATCAGCCACACATAAGTGAAAGAATTTTACTTTTGGGTAAAGATAGAGCCAGTCTGGTGAAATAGTTAAGGCACCAAACTAGAAACTGGGAGCCAGGGAGTCTTAGACACTCTGCTTATCCCATTTTGGAACACAATGGTGAAAATGGGGAGGGGGTATTAAAAAGGTGAAAAGCACCAATTGTCACTGGAGAATTAAGAGGAGGTCGGAACTGTATTAGGTGGTTCCCTAACCTTTCCCTTAGAATGGTGTTTTTCCAATTTGGCAACTTTCAACACATCTGAAACTTACCAAATATGAAAAACACTGTTTTATAACATATGTAGCTGTGAAGGCTTGCAGACAACAATCTGCAAAGCCAAACAAAGTTGCCCCAACCTTGGACTGATCCTGGCCACATGAGAGTAATTCTTTTAAAGAAACCAATGCCCCACTGCAGAGAGGTTTGCCATATAGGTAATTTAAAAGTATATAGCCATAGCTATAGAGTATAGCTATGAAACAAAAGGGAGTCAACTTGGTTTAGCTATTAAGGCATCAGGCAATAAACCAGAAAACCATGAATCCCAGCTTTACCCACAAAGCACTGAATGATCTTAAGCCAATCACCCTTTCTCAGCCCTAGGAAGAAGGCAATGATAAAGCCCTTCCTAAATGTTGACAAGAAAACTGCAAGACTGGTGCAGTTGATTTGAAGGTACAGTACTGCAAAATGAGGAAAAGAGAAGCAGGACCGTGTCTCTTGGGGAAAATGCTGGGTTTTTTGACTAAGGGATAAGTCCCGCTGAGAAAGGGAAACTGGTTTCGTCCTCCTTCCCATTTTCCCACGCCAACTTCACCAACCCTTTGAAGCAGCCTGCTCTGCTTTCCAGACGCGACCACGCATGATGGCAATTGTAGTCCCACTCTAGAACCCGAAACACACTCCCAAGTATCCCGGCCCAATCCAATTACCTTGGTCATACCCACTCCGATGACAAAAACCCTTTTCCCTCCGTGGACCGGGGCCAGGTTGCTGCTGTTCTTGCCCATGATGCTCCCAGGATCTTGCGTGGCCGTAGCACCAAATACACGCAAAAGAAATGCACAGTCGCTCCGACTTTCCTCCCCGCGCGAGCTTTTGACACCTCCAAAAAAAGGTCGAAACACGGGGCGGCGCCGAGTCTCAATCTCTCTCCACCCTCTTAAAGCGGTAGCATGAGGAAAGACTCTGGAAATCCAGCCTGAATTCATGAGTCGGAAATAACAGGCTGAGCGAGCCTATCCCCGAGTATTGCAGAATGCTTTAGATCCCCAGCTTTGATTAAAATAAGGGTTAGTCTCTAGCCCGCCGAAGAGCAGAGATTAGAACAAAAGGTGCATTCGCTTATTTAGCAAATTTAAATAGCCACCCATCTCACCAAAAAAAAAAAAAAAAGACTCTTGGGTGGTCTACAACAAGTGAGATGCTCTCTGAGCTTGCTAGTTTTCTTGCAGACGTTTCATTATCTAAGAAACACCATCAGTGCTAGTAAGGAGTGCTGTTTGCTGTCAGTTTATATTCGGATGTCTTGTGTGGGTGGGGGTGGACTTAGAGATTCTTTGGTTGAGTTGTTTACTGATGGATTTTCGGCAGTTTCTTGATTGGGGTACTGCTTGCTTTATTGTTGTTCTGAGGTTAACCTTGAAATTAGTCTATGCTGATTTGAGTGCTGATATGCTGGAGTCTTTTTCTCTTTTGGGCTGGTTGATTGCCTCTTTTGCATAGTCTATGGATGTTGTTAATGTCTATGTGTCTATTGATGGCTGATTTGTCAGAGTGCCAAGTTTCTAGAAATTTCCTGGCATTTTTGGACTTGGCCTGGTCTAGGGTTGTCACGTTTTTCCCAATTGAAACTATGGTTAAATCTGTCTAGATGTTGTGAAATTAAAGTATTTCCATCATGTCTTCTGACTGCCAATTGGTGTTCATGGATAGGTTCTGACAGTCTTCTACTATGTAGGACCCCTCAGTTCAACCCTGAGCTACAAATGTTCTCCTTTATTGATACCATAATAGCAATGAATCTCAAAGCCAGCATTGCCTTAAATCGGTGTTTCTCAAACTTGGCAAATTTAAGACATGTGGACTTACGATTTATATTGATATTGTTTCCTGATTGCTTATTTGTACCCTATGACTATCATTAAGTGTTGTACCTTATGATTCTTGATGAACATATCTTTTCCTTTATGTACACTGAGAGTATATGCACCAAGACAAATTCCTTGTGTGTCCAATCACACTTGGCCAATTAAAAAAAAAAAAAATCTATTCTATTCAACTCCCAGAAATCCCCAGCCAGCAAGAGGGGTGGGGAATATGGAATTCTGGAAGTCCCCATGTCTTAAAGTTGCCAAGTTTGGGGAAACTGGATTACGGTGCAAAGAACAGGATCGTGGCTGCATTGGTGTTATGCAATCTCTTGGTTACAGTCAGAATGTCAGATCAAAGTTATTGAACAAGCCTCCTTCCCGCCTGTTATATAAAAGAAAGCAGACTCAAAAGCTACTGTAATTAAACTCGGGTTTGGGTAGTACTCGGACGTGAGACCACCAGAAAATCCTCAAGCTGGCCATTTATTTTTGCATAGTTGCCGAGAAAAGTGTACGGATTTGTCCGTAAGATCATCAGCAGTCGGACTCTTAACGCTAAGGAGCTTTTGATTGTATTTTTGGAATAAAAGAGATTTCGTGCTCGGAAGGGGGCGCTACTGCCTTTTTCCTAAAGTATTGTTTTTTTTTGACCGCTCCGAAATTAATTTGTTGTTTGAAACTTGTTTCGTTTCGTAAGAGATCTGTGTTATTTTAACTGAACCGTAACAACTGGGACTCGCTTGCCCTCCGTCCTTTCTTCGTTAATAGCAGAGCCTCGGTTTGCCTGACTTGTTAAAGTTTAATTCTCGGCCCAGCTGCTACGTCCTAAAAATGCTCCGCCTGGGCCAAGCAACCGCTGTGCTGCGATTACTTTCTACGGAGAGCTCCTTGGGGACTGTGGGCATCTCCCCGAGAAGAGCCGCGTCCGGAGAGAAGAAAAAAGAGATCCTGTTACACGTGCACGGAAAGGCAGACTGCGGTGAGTGACTCCTCCCGAAGGCACAAGGCCACAGAAAGCATGCATGTCTATGGAGATTCTCAGTCATCCAGGTTAGAGTTGTTCCAAAGGTGCTTTTTCAAGAGGCGCTTTCTGGTTTTTCTCTGAACAAAGACATTCAAAGAAAAACAAGAAAATCCAGTTGAAAAAGCACCTTTGGGACATGCAGTGAAATGCCTGTGCCTTGGAAGAGGCCGGCCATCGTGCCGCCTGCTGCCCACTCTAGGCTGAAGGAAGAAGGAACTAACTTTCCCTTTCCCACAGCCGAGCGGTAGGGAAAAGACGGAGAATGCGACCTGATCAGAGCCCGCGCGTTCTTCCTATGGCGATCCAGGACACTGTAGGCCGTGGGCCAATCGTAGAAGACCTCGGGGACACACCCCTTTATTAGCTATGTGGGGAATGGGCCAATCGTCACCGGAGAATTTAGAGGCCGCAATTGTGTTCATTAAGAACACAATTCTCTTAGGTGGTGTGGAGTTCCAGAATTCCTCAGCAAGCTTGCTGGGGAAAACAAACTAGTTTTTCCTTCAGTTAAATTTAGTATATTTCTTGAATAAGAGGTATCCTGCCATGGGTGTCCATAGGGTAGTGTCAAAAAAACCCAAGATGGCAGCCACAATATCTTGGACGAATTCTGGGCAATGCGCATAAAAACAGGTTAAGGTTCGATTGCATTGTTATGGCTACCATCTTGACTTTTCTGACCATACAGAAGGAGACCTCTATACCCTGTTGTTCATACATCCCTAACTTTTGGCTTTCAAAAATTAGTCTCCTGACTTTCCAATAGGAATAACTGTTTCTCAACAAAGGCTGTTATGTCTCAAACGAAATGAAAGTAGGCAATTGCTGGGGAATTCTGGGATTCGAAATCAAAACATCTTAAAGTTTCCAAGTTTGGAAGAAGAAAAAAAAAAAAAACACCACTGCCTTGGAACCTAGTTGTCAGAGGGCCCTGGAGAAAATAGTCTGCAAAGCCAAACAAAATTGTCTTTGGACTTACTTTGGCCATATGAAAACTTAGAACTACACCGTCTTCGGTATGACCTAAGTGTAGCTCATAAAATTATCTGCCACAATGTCCTACCTGTCAATGACTGCTTCAGCTTCAACCACAACAATACACAAGCACACAATAGATACAAACTTAAAGTGAACAGCTTCAAACTCGATTGCAGAAAATATGACATCAGCAACAGAGTGGTCAATGCCTGGAATGCACTACCTGACTGTGGTTTCATCCCCAAACCCCCAAAATTTTAACCTTAGACTGGCTACTGCTGACTTCACCCCATTCCTAAGAGGTCTGTAAGGGGCATGCATAAGAGGACCAGCGTGCCTACCGTCCCTGTCCTAATGTTTCCTCTATTTGTATCTATTTTATGTATTCAATTAATGCTTATACTTATATATATTACCTAATATGTTCTTGACAAATAAATAAAATTAAAAAAATAAATATGAGAATGCTTGATTCTTTTAAGGAAATTAAGGTCCCACCGCAGAGAGGCTTTCCATACTCTTAATTGTAGCAAACGAAATTTGAAATGTTTGTATAGCTATAAAGAGTAACTATGAAGCAGTATGCAGGCAGTCTTCGACTTACAACAGTTCATTTAATGACTGAAGTTCCAACAGCACTGAAAAAAGTGACTTAGGACCATTTTTCACACATGACCATTGCAACATGGTTTCTGGCATGCCATGGATCGATACCTGGGGGGGGGGGGGGGATGACCCGTGTTTCACACTTCTTTGAAATGATTTACTGACTGCTCTCCAACCCTGACCTTAATTAGTTTCTAAACCCACATTTATTCATTAGTTTTACTGCTGCTTTTATTCCTAGATTTGCTTTTTAGGCTTCTCTGAGATGACTGCGCTTAAAAAAAACCCTCCTGAAACACAGTGTTTGCATTTTCTGATATTTTATTATGAGCTTGAACTGAATGTTGGCCTGGAATTGTTTTGATTAAGTAAACAAGACACAAAACCTCTTTTTTTAAATATATATATATATTATTGTTCTTTTGGGGAGTAAAGGAATCGCAGAAATTCAGATGAACAGACCACATGCCAGAAATGCCCTGGGAAAAGTGTTTGTGGATGAAGTAAGTGATGGTATTTAATTTTCTCTTATATACTGTAGATATTGTTTGAAAGGGCATGGGTATCCAAGGTCACCATAATTATCAATGAACAGTAGTTTCCTAGATCTTCATGCAGATTTTATAGTAGAAGCCACATACGAAAAACAAATTATGCACATAGCAGCTTATGTATTTTATCAGCTAAAGTGTGATCACACATACATAGAAAGTTGTATGTGGTCTCAAAGAAAGTTTTCATTGAATTGAATGTTGGATTTATTCTCTTCTTTCATTAGTTATATGAAATCCTTGATGTTCTCCATTTTGATGAAAGTATCCGTGCTGTAATAGTCAAAAGCAAAGTAAAAGGTGTTTTTTGTGCTGGTAAGTAAAGCTGTTTTTTAATTTGAAAAAGCCAAAATAACCTGAGAAGAAGTGGAAGAAAATAAATCACTTATCCTATCCTTTCCACTTGGTAATTTAATAAAATGTATCTCCTGTATCAATGACAACGTTTTTCAGAAGTGGTATGTTATTGCCTCCTCCCTTGGGCTGGCCCAAGGTCACCAACCTGGCTTTGATGGTCTCCCCCCCCCCCCCCCCCCCCCTTTTTGCCTCTTTCCTTTTTCATTACACAAAAATTGCTCTCATTATTTTTTTTTTTTTTTTTTTTTTTTTACAATTGCTTCTAATCACTAATTCAATTTATATAAATTATTTTCTTATCTCACCTTTGCAATTAAGAAAAAAACTTCCTAACAGTGAGACCAATGAACCAATGGAAGACCTTACCTTCAGAAGTCATGGGTGTTTCATCACTGGAGAGTTTTAAGAAGAGACTGGACAGCCACTTGTCTGAAATGGTATAGGGTCTCCTGCTTGGTATAGGGTCTCTAGGGGGTTGGACTAGAACATCTCCAAGGTCCCTTACAGCTCTATTCTGATTGTTTTAAGAGTGTGACTTCTGGCATTATAGACATAAATACATTACACATCATTATTTACCAATGCAAATAATGTTAATAATAATATGTACTATTTATTAAACAGTAGTAAATAATATTATTAAATAATATGTATTTATATATATGAACTGCTTGAGTCTATGGATAATTAAGTGTACTTACTTCTACCATCATACAACTCTTCTGTAGTTCATGCAGCAGATATTGATGCATTTGAAACATTACCTTCAAGCATTTCTCTTTCCGTATTTCCCAAATTATGCCTTGGTTTTGCATATGTAGGTGCCGACTTAAAAGAGCGAGCTCGAATGAGTGATGCTGAAGCTGACCATTTTGTTCAGAGGCTCAGAAGTTTAATGGACAACATTGGTAAGTACCTGGCAAATCCCTTTATTCACAAATGAATTTTTAATATGAAGCACAGTCAGATGCCTTTGTTTCATCCAAAAAGCAAAAATAAATGTTTTGAGAACTCCCTTGTTTTTTCCATTATCTGTCAGGTATCAGCAATGTGTTATCTGCCTGTTTTGAATCTAACTTGTACATCTGTTATATGTCACTCCAAATATCATAGACATTATCTTAATGGCCTGTGAGATCACTGTGATTGATAGTTTGAGCATTCTTTAGCACTGCCTTTTTGGTACTGGAATGTAGAGTGATCTTTTCCTTCTCTTGACCATTGCTGTGTTTTTTGTACATGTTTACAAACTACAAGTACCACTTGAAGCATCATCCTATAAGATTTGAAATGTTTTTTAGGGCCCATTTAACTTTACAAGTAATCCTTGATTTACAACAGCCATGACTAACCCACAGCCTGTAGGCCACATGCAGCCCCAGACAGCTAGTAATGCATCCCCACGATTGTACACTTTTGACATTATTAATGTGATATATATACACATTAACTATATTATATATTTTATATGTGGCCCAAGACAATTCCTCTTCTGTCAAAACGACCCAGGCAAACCAAGAGGTGGGACACCCATGTCCTACAACCATTTGTTTAGTGACTGTTTGAAGCTATGACATTGCTGAAGGAATGGTGGTTATGATTGGTCCTCAGAGCTCCAGCCATTCCTGCATCCCCACAGTCAGGCGTGAGTGACTTGGCAAACAGCTTGCTATTACATCCTATGTTGCAATGCCCCACAATCATGTGATTGCCATTAGTAATCTTCCCTGCCAGCTTTCCCAGATGATTGATAGGGAAACCAGCAGGAAAGTCACTGAGTAAGTCTCCTCCAGCCGCTCTGCCCTTGTGCCATATTGGCTGGCCATTTGCGGATCTCCAAGTCTCACTATGCCTCTCCCAGCACTTGTGCACCTCCATGCACTCTTGCACATCCTCCCCAATGTCATATGTTGAGAACTACCTACCATACCTGTCAGAATGCTAGGTGTAATTTCATCAATGCTAGGTTTCATTTCATCAATCATGGAATCTTTGTTTCTAAACTATAGTTCTAATCATTCATTGAATGACCGTTCGAATTACAACGGCACTGAAAAACAGGACTTATGACCGTTTTTCACACTTAACAACTGTTGCCGCATCCCCATGGTCACATGCTCAAAATTTGGATGTTTGGCAACTGACTCACATTTATGACATTTGCAGTGACTCAGGGTCGTGTGATCCCCTTTTGCAACAAGCAAAGTCAATGGGGAAGCCAGATTCACTTAACAACCATGGTACTAACTTAACAACTGTAGTTATTCACTTAACAACTGTGGCCAGAAAGATTGTAAAATGGGCCAAAACTCACTTAACATCTATCTCACTTAACAACATAAAATTTGGGTTCAATTGTGGTCGTAAGTCAAAGACGGCTTGAATATTACTGCCATTTGTTCTTTATATTTTTCCTTCTCCAGTAGATTCATTCCTAGATTTGTGTTGCTTTTTCTTTTATTATGCCATTTTTGCAAAAACGCACTTCATGATCCTGTTCTGTAATGTTTGCAGCTGCATTACCAATGCCGACTATTGCTGCAATGGATGGTTATGCCTTGGGTGGCGGCTTGGAAATGGCCCTAGCTTGTGATCTCCGAGTAGCAGGTGAGAATATCAGTACAAGTAGTCTTGGACTTACAACAGTTCATTTAGTGGCCGTTCAAAGTTATAACGGCACTGAACAAAGTGGCTTATGACCATTTTTCACAGTTATGACCTTTGCAGTATCCCCATGCTCATGTGATCAAAATTCAAATGCATGGCAACTGGTTCATACTTATGATCACTGCAGCATCCTGGGGTCATGTGATCACTTTTTGCAATCTTCTGATAAGCGAAGTCAATGGGGAAGCCAAATTCACTTAATTACCAGGTTACTGACTTATCAGCTGCAGTGATTCACTTAACAATTGTGGCAAGAAAGGTTGTAAATGGGGCAACCCATTACTTAACAAATGTCTCACTTAACAACAGAAATTTTGGACTCAGTTGTGGCCATAAGTCGAGGAGTATGTGTATAACCAATATTTTTGGTTCCTATTCTGAAAACAGTTAATTTAATTCAACCTGTAACATTTAAAATTCATAAGCTAACTGTTTACGTTATTGCTCTATCTTATGAACTTGGTCCAGCCAAACTGTAGTCTTTTTAAGATTTGTTAAATGTGTGCTACCTTTATACTATTATTATACTACTATTTTGATCTTGTATATGTCTTTTTCTTAAATCAGCATCATCGGCTAAAATGGGTTTAATTGAAACTACCAGAGGACTTCTCCCTGGAGCAGGTAAGATTGCATCATCAATTTTCTTGCCCCTTTTTCATTTGTCATACAATTGTACTGTAATTTGTTAAAAATAGCAAAAGCTATTAATATAAGTTCCCAGATTTTATATTGTATAACTCCTGTTTTCCCAACATGGAAATAGTTTATTTTCCTATAAAAATATGACATAAATGAATGTGATACAAAGGTTGTTGAGGGTTTCGCAAAGGATTTGCACACATGCCTGGAACTGTCAATTAAGATTATCTTCGGATTTCCCAACTTTCCCAGGAATCAAGCTGCCATTGCATGTTGTTTTTTGCTCTATCAAGCAGAAATGTAGATCTGCTACTCCCCTCTCTCCAGCATAGTTTCCCCTCTGTTTTTCCTAGCTCTGGAGATGAATGTAGCCAGGTAAAAGGAGAATGTGTAGAAAATCGACCCACTGTTTATTTATGTAACCCCTCCATTTGCCAGGTGAAAGAGAACTGATTAGCTCATGAAAACTGTCCTGCTTTTGCCACCCAATTGAGGGGACCCCAACTGTGAAAAAAAATTAAGGTAGCATCTCTGCCAGATTAGCTTCCTTTTTTGCTAAAGAAGAAAAAAAATGAAATTCCAAAAGCTTTCTTTGCTGATGGAGGGAATGTAATTGTTTTGAGGTGGCAATGTCAAAAAACGTAGTTATGCTAAACTTTGAATCCAAGTAAATTAATGCAAGATTCCCATGATCGAGAACAAAACCTTTTCATTAAAATTATTACAGTGAAATCTCCATTGATCATACCTCAGTGCAGTGGGCTTCTGCAACACATTACATTTACGTTACTTGTACAATGTTTAGCATCAAGCAACTACCAGACATCACTTTTATAACATACTTTGATATTTAAAAACCATTTAAGAAGTATCATAAAATTTCTTATACCAATTATTCTGTTAAGATGAGGTTCTACTATACCAATATAATTTATACAGGTATAAAGAAATTTAGATATGATTTTGGGAAAAGTATGAAAGAAGTTCAGCGGTTCGAATCCCTAGTGCCACGTAATGGAGTGAGCTCCCGTTACTTGTCCCAGCTTCTGCCAACCTAGCATTTCGAAAGTACGTAAAAAATGCAAGTAGAAAAATAGGGATCACTTTGGTGGGAAGGTAACAGCGTTCCGTGCACCTTCACCGTTTAGTCAGGCCGGCCACATGACCACGGAGACGTCGTCGGACAGCGTGGCTTTTTGGCTTTGAAACGGAGATGAGCACCGGCCCCTAGAGTCAGGAACGGCTAGCACATATCTGCAAGGGGAACCTTTACCTTTATGAAAGAATTACTCAGTAGGGATTTTCAAAAAAGAAGATATAGTTCTAACCCTACCTTGATTTTGTTTAGTGTCACCTGAAACAGAGAGAAACATGGGCAGGTTTTCATTCTACCATCTTATGTTTTTACTATGAAAAACATTCCTTAAAATTCCTACTGCTCCTGTTTCTTGACCTGGCCTATCTTACAGGGCTGGTTTGTAAGAATCTGGTTTGATGTCAGTAGGCCAGTAAGAACTGGATTTCAACCCAAGTAAATCTCCAAAGAGCCATCAGCGGCATTTAGGAGAAATGCCGTAATCACTACTTTTAACTTTAGCAGTATGATTCTTTGTGAAATTAAATAACAGAATAAAATAACAGAAGAGATCTAATCCAATCTCTGCTCAAACAGGAGAGCCTATATCTATATAATTCCAGACAAATGGCTGTCCTGTCCCATTTTAAAAGCGATGGAGCACTCACAATTTCTGAAGGCAAGCCTTTCTATTGGTTAATTGTTCTCACTCTTAGAAATATTTTCCTTAGTACTCTGTTTCCCCAAAAATAAGACATGCCCTGATAATAAGCCCAATCGGGCTTTTCAGCGCATGCGCTAAAATAAGCCTCCTCCCCGAAAATAAGCCCTCCCCAAAAATATTTAAACACAGAGCTGGAAATCAGGTCAGATGGCAAGAGGAGCCCCATCTTGCTCCACGTGCCCCAAAATAATAAGACCTCCCCAAAAATAAGGCTAAGCGCTTATTTCAGGGTTCAAAAAAATATAAGACAAGGTCTTATTTTTGAGGAAACACGGTATTTCAAATTTTTGAAAAATTTCAAATATTTTCAAATAAATTTCAAATATTTCAAATTTCACCTAAGGGTAGAACAAGAAGCAATGGGTGGAAACTAATCAAGGATAGAAGCAATTTAGAATGAAGGAGAAATTTCCTGACAGAAGAATTAATCAGTGGAACAACTTGCCTCCAGAAGTTGTAAATGCTCCAACACTGGACGTTTTTAAGAAGAAATTAGATAATCATTTGTCTGAAACGGTGTAGGCTTTCCTGCCTAAGCAGGGGGTTGGACTAGATGACCTCTAAGATTCCTTCCAACTCTGTTATTCTATTCTATTCTAGCTCTACGTTACTTCTCTTCTTGAAATTGAAATGGCATATAACAGCTTTCTGTAAAATCCGTTTGAGGAATTTTGCATTTTTTTCCTGTCTAGGTGGAACCCAGCGCTTATCACGCTACATTGGCCTTGGCCTTGCCAAAGAGCTCATTTTTACTGGCAGACAGATTGATGGGCAAGAGGCTTTCTCCATGGGGCTACTTAATCACACAGTACCACAGAATGAGGAAGGGGATGCAGCATATAAAAAGGCATTGGCTTTAGCTGAAGAAATAGTTCCTCAGGTTAGTGTGTTCTTCACTCTCCTCTCTATATCGCTGAAGAAGTAATATGTTTCTGCTTTTTTAAAAATAGAGTACTTTTTAAAAATATTTTGTTTATACATTTTTCTTTAACATACATTGGTGCTTAGTAAACAGCGTATTATCTGGGTCCATTTTACTTATACATAGTAATAATAGTAATATTATTTATTTATACATATTAATAAGCTTTCAACTTCTAACTTCTATGTCTATTATCTAACCAGTGATAGAACAAATCCCATGTTAAAAAATATTCTGTATCTTCTTTGTCTTTTATCTTTAGTGTTTAACCTATCCATTTCTGCACATTCTAATATTTTTTAAATTATATTTTCATCTGTAGGAATTACCTCATTCTTCCAGTGTTGGGCCAATACAATTCACTGCAAATTTCTAAAGCCAAATGAAATCTTGAATTCAACCTGTCTCAAATATTTATATATTTCTTGGTGACAAAGAATTCTTTTTGGTTTAGAAGACACCACATCCATTAATAAATTAACTGGATGCCCATAAATCCTGAACAAACAGTAGTGATTTGGCTTTACTGCACCAAAAACATATACTTTGCTATTCCTGTTTCAGTGATTATGCCTAGGTGAACCAAAAGAACTTACAAGATACAACTATCTTTTCATTTGTCTCTGTGAGAATTTATAACATCTGAGGCCATTGCCTTATGGTGTAAAGAGACTTGCATAAGCTAAGTAAAAAACAAGTATTTCTTGTTTTTTTTCCAGGTATCCACTTAGATAACTGAAATAATTCTCAAATGACTTGAAATTTAAAGTTGCTCTGTGCTAAAGAGGCCCTTTCATAATTTGTGCAATATCTTTCTTGACATAGTTGCTCTTTAGGTTATCTTATTTTTAGAACACCAGCATTTTTTGAAAATGTCATTATCATTGTAATATGAGTTGTCTCTTCCATGTCATCAGACCCTTAAATTGATTTTATAATCCATTTGTTTATTTTTCCTCCCTCTATTCCCACTGCTCCAAGGCAAGCATTGCTGAAGCTAGAACTTTGACCAGACTGCTTGAATAAAGCAAAGTCTCCTTAAATTGGGTTCATATCTACTGTATGTGGGAATTTTTTTTTTAGTGATAATACAAAATTGGTTTGCCATTGCCTTCTTTTTGGACAGCAGTCTAAAGTTTCTAATTTAGTTTACGACCCTGGGATTACCATAGTTTCAACTTTGTTTGACATCAGGAGTCGTGACAGAGTCTTTTTTTTGTCTTTATGAAGTAAAATTAAAAAAGACTTCCTCAAAACTCCCGATGCCTCCCTGAATAGTGTATGTTCTGCAAATTAAAAGTATCTTCCGTTTTTTTAGGAATTTATGCAATACACCAGAGGCAGTCTTGTATTTACTGACCTTATTGTGAAAATGATGTATTGCAATCTGTAGCACTTGTTGATTATGGGTTCCTTTATGAGGCACTTTGTCCAGACTAGTTATGTGTGAGATTGAATTAATGGTGTGGGTGGGTGGGTGTGCGGGTGCGCATTGTGTCCATGCAAGCAAACAAATTTCTAATACAAAAGTGCTTTGAAGACACTCCTATTCCAGCAGGCCAGCCTGGCCTAATTTTTCCCCTTCTTTTAAATTTTTAAACTCAAATTTTAATTCGTTTTAAATTATTGGGAGTTTTAAATTGTCTCGGGCAAAAATTATTTAATTGGGTTTTAATCATGTCTTAACTTTTGTATTTATGTGTTTTATTTCGTGCCTGTTCACCGCCCTGAGTCCTTCGGGAGTAGGGCGGTATACAAATTTAATAAAATGAAATAAAATGAAAATGAAAAAAATGTTTCTTTTCTTTTCAAAGGCTCCAATAGCTGTGAGACTGGGTAAATTGGCTATAAACAAAGGGATTGAGGTAATGATTCATTTCAACAAGCTTCTTCAATTTATATTTAAGGTTCCACAGAAAGCTGGAAAAATAATGTTCCCAAAAGACCCACATTTTATTAGAGCTTCCAGAGCTAAACTGCAGAAATTCAGTCCCCTAATATTGTAGCAAGAGTTAAAAGTTGTCCGTATCTTTTTCCTGCCATCTGGTGGCTATCTCTACATTTGCAGTCCAGTTATGGTAATTTGACATGAGCGACAGATCTATTTCATTGTCTGAATCAAAAGTAGAAATAAGAAATGTACACATGACCATAATTGCTTCTTCATTCTGGTGCAACATTTTCAGTATTAGTGCACTCAGCCAGGAGAGAAAAAGGTCCAGGATAGAGAAGTGGAAGAAATAATACCCCTACAAATCACCATTTCCACACAATGAAGCTTCAACTACTGTTACTATAGATTATAGAACATTCTCCTGAGTTGTCAGGAGGGGCAGAAGAACAATTATACAGAATACAGAATAACAGAGTTGGAAGAGATTTTCTTCTAGTGACTAGTCCAATCCCCAAGAAGACTTTAAACCAGGGGTGAAATGCTCCCATTTCGGACCGGATTGCCCGATCCAATAGCGATGGCTGGTGGTTCGGAGAACCGGTAGCAAAAATCCCTGCCCCCTCTTCCATGCCCAGCTGAGCCATGCGATCATCAGAGGCTTTTTTTTTTTTACTTTTAAAAGCATTTTTTCTTTGGCCGAAAAAATGCTTTTAAAAGTAAAAAAAAAAAAAAGCCTTTGATGATCGCACGGCTCAGCTGGGATCGTCAGAGCCTTTTAAAAGCATTTTTTTACAACCTCAGCGGAAGAGGTTGTAGAAAAAATACTTTTAAAAGTAAAAAAAAAAAAAAGTTGGCCATGCCTACCCAGTCACATTACCCCACCACCACCAAGCCACACCCACAGAACCGGTAGTAACAAATTTTACATTTCACCACTGCTTTAAACCATTTCAGATAAATGGCTATTTTCTTCTTAAAAACCTCCAGTGATGGAGCACCAACAATTTCTGAAGGCAAGCCTTTCCGTTGATTGATTGCTCTAGTTGTCAGGAAATTTCTTATTATTTCTAGGTTGGACCTCTCCTTTATTAGTTTCCATCCATCGCTTCTTGTCTTGCCTTTAGGTGCTTTGGAAAATAGACTGGCCCCCTCTTCTTTGTGGCGGCCCCTCAAACAGATAACACTGTTATGTCACCCCTAGTTCTTCTTTTCATTAGACTAGACATATCCAATTACTGCAACTGTTCTTCACTTTTTAGCCTCCAGTCCCCTAATCCTCACTCTTGCTCTTCTCTGCACTCTTTTTAGAGTCTCAACATTGCTTTTATTTTGTGATGACCAAAACTGGATGCAGTATTCCAAGTGTGGTCTTACCAAGGCATTATAAAGTGGTACTAAAACTTCCAGTGAACTTAGTTCTGTTCCTGTTAACGCAGCCTGGGACTGTGTTGGCTTTTTTGGCAGCTGCCAGAACACTGCTGGCTCATATTTAAGTGGTTGTCCACTTAAATGTTATCTTAAATGTAACTTTAAAATGCAACTTAGTTAAGTGTTATTGTAGGAGACCTGGATAGTGTGTATGTGCACATATAGCAATTGCATAGGTAACACTCATTTTCATACTAAAGTTCCCACAAGGTTTACTTCTGGCACAATCCAAAGGTGTCTGTTCTGGGAATCTAATGTAGCTGCACCTATAATAAATCTGTTAATATTTATGTGCCAAAAACTTTGCATGGTAGAGAACCTTGTCTTGTGTCACTGATGAAATCTGGGGGAAATCCAGGATGATTGATTATAATTCATTAAAGCCATACTTCAATATATTATTTCTGAATTGGTAACTTGGTATTGCTTTCCTTTAGATGGACAAAAAGATTTTATTTCTTCCTTTTCAGGTTGATATTGCATCAGGAATGGCTATTGAAAGAATGTGCTATGCCCAGGTATTTTCTTTTTTAAAAAATCTGTTTTTTGTGCCTTTCCCCAAACTTTATCAAATCTTGTGATGTTAACAATTTACAAAGATTAGTAAAAAGAGCCAGATGTTTCTTCATTTTAGCTTCAGTGTGTGTTCTTGCTTCTCAGACATTTGGATTGTTACACTTTTCTCCATTCTTCAGTTCTGATTAATACAAATATGCACCCACACCCATCAGATCAATAAAAGAAACCCAGAAAACCAAATTACAATTTTTGTGTATCCACATACACACGCAACATCCCAAACTACACCTGCCTTTTCTTTATTTAATGATATTTGGAGGCAGCCCTGCTTCAAAATGAGTCCAGACAGTATAGATCAAATAAAAACAATTACAAAACCTAGTGAGTATTACTTATTTATTTTTGAGACACAGCCCATCTATTAGTAATTTTGACTGAAAAAAGATACAACGGGCTGAAAACTGGGACTATACTCTAGTCTAGAGGTTTAGAGCTACAGCCCCAATCATCTTTGGGCTGTTTGAGGGGATGGAAGTTTTGGTGTATTAATGAAAGGCTTGAAAACTTTTGAAAAGATTAAGAGATGAAATATAAAACAATTGACTTATATTTTAAACACAGAATCTCCCTACCAGAGACCGTCAGGAAGGAATGGCTGCTTTCAATGAGAAACGACTTCCAAAATTCACTGGTAAATGAGGCTAAAACATTGTTTCTGAAAGTGCTTGAATACAATACAAGATGATCCGAAGGCTGTGCCTTATTGGAGAGCTGTTCCTTATAAGCTTCATACTTTTTTTTTTGCTTGAAATCTACTTTGGATGTCAAGAACTAAATAGTGATAATGTAAAGGGTATTACTGTTCAAATGTGACAGTAATAAAAAAATCATTTTCCAACCAAAGCATGCATTTATGAGCAAATTTCTCTGCCTGCGGAGGAATAACACCGACAATTGCTGCACAAGAAAACTTTTATCCAACGGGACAGCAGCAATTGTTGACTTCGCAGCCTCTCTCTCTCTCTTTTTCTCTCACATTGTTCACTTAGGAAGATTTCAGTTGCTAATTGAGGAGAAACTGTGTATCATCCCAAAGAGCAACCAATTGCATTTGTTAGATTTTTTATAAGCAATATACAAAAAAATAAGATGATTCTACAAAGAAAATTTACAATAATGTATAAAGTCACCACTGAGTCAGGTTCAGCTTCTGGTAATTTATATGGTTCAACCTAGTGCGGTTTTCTTGGTATAGATGGAAGTGGTTTGCTATAGTCACCTCTGGGGATTTTTTTTAATGGTTATCAAATATAGAATTTCATGTAATTCCCTTAACCAGGGGTCTGCAACCTTAAATACTCAAAGAGCCATTTGGATCCATTTTCCACAGAAAACACAGTGAGCCACAAAATCTGGGTGGGCGTGACCAACTCGATGACACGCACTTCCACCAGTCACATGACCCCCTAGCTATGCCTACCCAGCCTGTCATTAGGGCAGAGAACTAGTTGTTAAAAACACCGGGAACCACAAAATCCTTTTGACATCTCTCTCTCCCCTCCCTTCCTCTTTCCCCACACTCTCTCCCCCCCACCTCTCTGTCTCTGCCTTGGCCGCTTTTCCATCCCCTGCAGTCGCCCTTACCTTCTCAGGCCAGGCGAGGAGTGACTGGGAGGGGAGGGCGAGGGGCAGGGCCAGCCAGTGGTGGGATCACCTGACGGGGAGCCTCAGCAGAGGGCCCAAAGAGTCGCATGCGGCTCCAGAGCCTCAGGTTGCTGACTCCTGCCCTAAATATTTTTAAAACTTCAGTTATTTTATGACTAGTATAAAACCATATGCATTTTCTTTGCATTTCTGAATTGTATTTCTGAATTATATAAAGCTCAGAATTAAAAGACTTAACTGAAAATGTGTAAGTATGCCATTGCTTTATTTCCTTACACCAGGAACATTGCTCAATCTATTAATAGTGGGTAGTTCTAATTTCTCCAGACTTGCTTGCTGACATTTTGTTATTGACTGTTCTTATGAAATCAGAGTAGGTGGCTACCTTTTAAGGTAGCATGTAAATACTTGGAGTTAAACTGTGCCCTAGTGAAATTTGTAGATCATACAAAGTATTCATGGTAGTAAAAAAATCCAATATGCTCTTGGAGAATTGCCAAAAGATCTGGTTATAAACAATTGTCAACCAAATTGAAAATATTCAGTTTAAATAAATGTAAAGTTATGCATGTTGGACAAAAAACATGTAACTTCAATATATACAGTAACCAGGAAAAAAGGTCTTGAGGTTATAATGGATATCTGAAATTGTGAAAAATGTGAATTCTGTACTAGAAAATATTAGGAAAGGGATAGAAAACTGCCAACACTTGTAATGGTCTGTACAAGGGAACTAGAAAACTGTACTGTCAGGAAGCTGTATTTGAAAAAAAAAAATAGATAAAGTGGGGAATAGGACAGCCGAAAGATCATGGTTTTTGAACAACTTTCTTATAAGAAAGGCTGAAATGTTTGGGATGCATTAGCACAGAATAAAGAGAACGGGGGGCAGGAGAATAATTGCAATACATAAAATCATGAATGGCAAGGAGAAAGGGTCTTTCTCTCTGGGCTAGGGTTCATTCAATAAAATTGATCAGAAGGAAATTTATCACAGATAAAATAACGTGCTTTATGCAACACCATTTGCCTGTAAAACATGTCACAAAAGTCACCTTGTGGTCAGATGGGCAGCAAACAAATTTAATAAATAAGTTGTGCTGTTACTAACTTGGAAGTATTTAAAAGGGGGTTGGATAAATTTATAGAAAACTGATCTATTGTTGGCTATTAATTTTGAGATTCAATGGGAGCGAGCTGAGAACCTCTCCAATTACCAGTTGCAATAGCAGGAGGAGAGTGGTATGTCTTGACCTCCTACTTGTGACTACCACAAAGGTAGGTCCCTGGTCTTTGTGAGGAGCAAAATGCTGGACTAAGATAGGACTTAGTAAGATCTGGTGTGGTTAATTTTATTTATAGAGGTTATTAACCAAACATGTTTGTTGCTGTCAAACTAGAAAAGGCGGTTCAGGAAGAAGTCTACTAGTTATAAAATATGGACATTAATAAAATCAAAAATAAAATAGAGTGGGGCTACGTCAAGCAAGACAGGCAAGTATACCACATTAGGGACCGCAAATCTAATGCACAAGTAGGTAGGTGTGTAGGATGTAAAGTTTGAGCTGTCACTGAAATCTGATTTGCTTTGATCAGTGTTTCTCAACCTTAGCAATTTTAGAACACATGTTAAAAGTCACTGGGAAAGTCTGTTAAAGGGACAGTCAAGAACAGGAAGGTTTCCCTTCTTAGTCAACGTCAAAAGAAGTGCTTTTTGGCTCTTTTTGCCTTTTTTTTCTGCCACAGGAGAAAATCCTCCTGCCATTTCAGGAGTCTGGAATTGGTGATCCAGGAAATAAATAAGTGCAAATAGCAGAAGCTAGAGGCAAATTAGAATGTTGATTTTTTTTTGGGGGTGGGGGGGGGTGGGGAGAAAATTATCTGAGTTGCGCTTTTATTACCTGTTCTATTCTGTTCTACCTACATATTTCCTCCTTCTCTGTCCCTGGCTGGAAGAACCACCAATGAGTAAAAAGCAGCAGATTTCAATTATTTCATTCCTTCTCTTTTTGGTTTCACCTCCTGTATAGTTCTTTTCCTTTATATTGGTAATGATCCTTGCATTGATTATCCAATCAGCCCCTCATTCTCAAAGGTGTTATATCCAGCACACAGATTCCCAACTCTTACTGTCCATTTAGCTACAGAAGAGAAGTGGGGGGGTGGGGGGATTTTGCTATTTTCCTTCTCCTAAGTAAATCAGCACAGAAAAGGCATGCTTTGAAAGAAAGTGGATGGAGTTTGCCTAGGAGTTGTGAGAACATCCAGGAATGTTGTGCTTAGAGATCTAGAGATCTTTCTGAGACAAGGGGACAAAATCCATAAATTCTTGTGCTTACATTTGCAAATAGGCCCCATTCTGCAATAATTGTTTGTTCTATATTGGTCTTTAATTGAAATAAGCTTTGACTGACTAATAATTAGCAGTAGAAAAGATAAAAACATTTGACTACACTGACTTTTCCCTTTCCATTAATGAGTTATGGTCAAAATGCACCCTATTTTAGCACTATTTAACAGTATTCTAGAGTGCATGAGATAGTTTAACTGATGATTTTTCCTCATAAGTTTTCCTTTCCCCCATTTTTCCTCAGATATATTGCTTTAACTGTACTAGCAACTTCCCATAAGATAAATTCACCATCTACTGTATTTTTCTTACACCAATTAATCCAAGCTACCCACTTTGGGAGAATGTAAATGTTACACTCAATGAAACCAATAAGAACAGCAAAAATAAAACTCACTTTTACATGGTTAGCTACCATCTATTGAATATGACCTTATGAAAGCTTTATTTTGCATTATGACCAATTTTCTTAAAGACAGAAACAAGCAGTCAGTTTGAAATACCATCACAGAACGTATCTTTTTTTATATAGATAACATTTAAAAAGTCTCTTGAAAGATTTTTCCCACTCATAGAAAAATAGTTTGTATATCCAGAAAAAAATACAGTAACAAAGTGATTTATGCTTACATCATGGCAAACATTTATGTACAATAGACTAAAGCCAGAATTTCTTCTTTGGATTTGCACAAGTTCATAACTGTAGTTTGTGACTGACCTGATTGTTTGCTGCAAACTCATTGTTTTAGTAGAAACAAGCCCAATTTTCTTTATAGAGTTGGTCCTCTGCTCCATTTGTCAATATACAAGAGCCATAAGTTAAAGCAAGTTACAGAAGACTTGAAAAAGATACAAGAAGGGCCATCTTGATAAAAAAAAAAAAGGATTGTGAAACGGATCACCAGTACAGATGTCAACACTATATGGCAGAAGTAGAGATATGACCTCAGTTATCAATCTGAATGGCCTTGTAGCTCTTTTAGATGTTTAGCCTTCCCATAATACTTCACATGAGTTTCCACATAACTTAATATCTTAGTTGTTAAATACCGGACATCAGGATCACTCTGGTCGTTTTCTTTGATATTATATAAGTGCTGTAGTCCATTCTCTTCTATTAACATTGCACAGTATTTGGCAGCTAAGGAGAAATAAAACTGTTAATTAACATCTTCAACATAAACATGACAATGTTAAAATATGTGAGGGTATGTAGAAAACATTGCATGCTGCAACATAATCAACTTTTGTTTACAATATCACTAAAACTGCAAATCATGCTGATTTACAATTCCAGTCAAGATTCAGATATAAGGCAAAGACACTTCAGTGATTTGGAAATATCTGTCAGGCTCACATACATCTTTCTCCCATTGTTCGTAAGTACTCTAATTTTTCATTTGTATGTAGGCTGCCCAACTTCAAAATCATTCTGGGCAGCTTCACAAAGTTCAAAGAAAGAACATTCTATTAAAAAAAAAACTCCTCAATCTCCAGGGTGGTGGGCATATTATATTTATATATCAACTCCTCAGTTAAAAGGAACCCTCCAAAAACCTCCTGATCCGAGTTTAGATCTCCAGATAATGCCATTCTAAAAGGTAAATGCAGTGACAGAGGAGATTCATTTCCTAGGTGACACAGCTTAATTGATAGCATTTTAAGGAAGCTGAGCCTGTTGAGAGTGCAGAGAATGATGAAGAGTATGGGAGAGGCAATTCCACAAATAACCACCCCTAAACCATGTAGGTTTATAGGTGATAATCAACATCTTGAATTGCAACCAGAAGCTGACTGGCAACCAGTACAACTCAGGTAGCAGGACTGTTAAATTTGTAATTATGAATTGATGCAATAGTTCCCACCTTCAGTTTGAAAAGTTAAATAA